CACCACAGCGATCCCAGGGTTTCAATAATTCAAGGATTTGAAATAAAATCCTAGTTTTTTTCGTCAACGCTGGTTTCTTGGGGGTTAATATTAATATTTAATGCATATGGATTAAAATCCAAAAAATCTGACTGTTAGAGACGTAATATATATGAGATTTAACATCGACGAAAAACGTTAGAAGCTCTAAGGCTGCTCAAAAGTCATTGAGTAAGTCTTGTATTTTTTCAGACGTACCATTAGTCGGAAAGTTCCAATGCTCTGCTGTTGAGTTTCACCGGCTTGTGATTTGTCTTAGTCGTATTTTGTCGTTATCCTTCTCGGTTAACTTAAGAATGGCGAAAAATGGTAGCTATGGTCAGTTTATGTTGTTCATTCAATCCGCCATTATCAATTCTAGGCGATGGAAAACCGAACCCACAGGGGAACTAGCAAATGATCTGATCACTGAGTTACATTTGAAAATAAAAGTCAGTTCTTTCACCACCCAAATCGTTTTTGAAGCGGAAGAATCATGCTGTCTTGTTAACGAAGTAAAGTCGATCATACCATTTGTAATTGCGACGTATCGAATTGCATTTGGTTTCCCTATTGCTATTGTACGATTCAGAACCGAGATTTTTTAGTCTTGTCTATCTTCAACGATGAACACAGCGGGCAAATAAGGATACTGAATCGGTAATATAGCCGGTATGCGAATAAGTCTATTAGACGCACTAGTGTTTTCGTCTGTTCTATGTCTGTCCAGATTATTGTGATGGACACATGCAGCACTCGTTTAGTATTTGTCTATCCTTATTCCTAACCTGCTATCCAAATGACAGCCCAATAGATTTTGTAGAGGAGGCAGTTCAAATAACGGTTTTGCCTTATTTTCATCTCTATTCTCAAAGGATGACTACAATTGATATAATTGGTTTATTAGCCATGTAATGTCTCAAATATTGTGCTTGTCGTTATTTGGCGAGAAATCACGTTAACCGGAACCCGTATCTTGTTTCATGGAAAAATGAAAGAATGTTCCCACACTCATTTGCATATTTAATCTCTTGCGACCGATTGAACGAAATACGTTTAGAAACCCGTTTACGTTCTTGTGGCGCTTTCTGTGGAGTTCCTCGTGCATATTATATTGGGTTAGAAGAGATTTTATATGTGGAGTTCGCAAACAATATCTATATAATATAACTGCAGTGGCGTTTTCGACGGAGATGATGCAAAGGTAAAATTCAGCGGGGAAAATGCAATATATTTGATGTTGCCACTAGATAATTAGCATTATTTATGTCTGTTGTAGTTGGGAGCAGTTCGGGTTTACAATTGCAGCACCAAACTCTTGATATCTTTTATAAGCTGAAAATCACGTTATTCGAACCTTGCATTTACTACACTTTCGCATCCGGTTGCAATAACCAATGTTTCCTGTCTTCTGCACTTTATCTCCGTGTCTCCATGACGTCATAAACATAGGTCGTCTGCTGGTCGATCGATCTTCACTTCATTGCCAGAATTGTTTTTGTAACTAATTAAAAACGTCATTTTTATGTAATACACTATTGATTCCAAAATATTTTCGTAATGACATGGTATCGATACATAGGAGGAAGAATAATGTCAGAAATACCATTTCAGGTGAATGTCGCCAATTAGTAGCATACGGCAATAAATAATACTGGAAATAGAGATTGAAATTCGAAAAGTTGTGGTATTTAACGACATTAGGGAGAACCTTTTTTAATGTTGAAGTTAGTAGGGCAGGCTATATCTAGGTATATTCAGCCGTAGTGTCTTTGCTTCTTTGTGTATGCATGTGTATAGAATAATCATGCATGAGAAAGACCAAACATATGTCAGATTTGTACAGGTGAAACTGACACCTATCATAGTAATAATTGGCGGCATTTCAAAGCCTAATTTGGCCATCAAATGTACATTGGAGCAATATCTTATTACAATAAATTCTGCCATAAAATATTCCCAATAAATGTCGCTTTTATTAGCTACCGTTTTTAAAGTTTGTCTTCGTATTTTTTATTTTACGTGGGTGTATTGACACGACAATATAATAACAGATTACGAAATTGTTTAGCCCTGATATAGATAGTGCCGTCATCCGAGCACGTCCCGACAATAATTTTACAACGGCTTCAGACACAACGTCTAATGAAGCCTAGGTTGTCACCCTGTGAGGTATTTCATGTATGTTTAAGTTGTTTTATTTGAGTTAATCATTATAAATTTGATGATTATTTGAAACGCCGCCTTCCCACGGAAGCTCCTCTGTGTGAATTGTGTGCTGAGTAAACAGTAAAAAAATAATCAAGTTTACAGCAAGGACGATGAAATTGCCAATAGAAACTTGTGAGAAACAGGAATACTTCATTTTTATCTTTTAGGTATTAGGTCTGGTTTTTATACGTACCGGGTTACCGTCCACCATAGCTCACATTTGGCAACAAGTCTAAATACTGTATCTAATTTTCCAGTAAGTAACTCTATCTTATGGTAATTCTACGTTTCTTTTCATTGTGTAAATAAACTTTCCAATGTCTTTACATTTAAGGTGTGATGAACCTCGTGATTTATATATTACATTGTTACACTATGTTATATAGTCTAATAAGAATGCGGACGTTTCTTTTATATTATTTCTTCTCCTAAACTATACGCAGTAAGTGTAGTATAAGCAGTAGGTGTCTGTGAAGTTCAGTTTATGTCGAATATAAAAAACAATTAGCTTAGAAAGTTAGTTGTGAAATTCCATGGTGAAGATGGTGTAAAAGTTTATTCATTTACCGTATAGAAATGGATTTTAATAAGATAGCCCACAATGATTGGTGAAACATTACTTCTCGTCCGTTTGCCATCCGAGAAATTTTACCATTCGCATTCGCATTCGCTGTATTAGCATGCTATATACGCAAGTCTTTATCGGAGGTTTATTTTTAAATGTAGCGTGTTCTTTGAATGTTTACCTTTGACGTCTCTACTTTCCTGAAAAGATATTTTCTTCGAATAAGAACGAGACATACTTATTTTTAATTGAAGGTGTTTTATGGCGTCATTAACGTCAGCTTCATAGAGGCCAATTAGGGTTGTTACATCACAAAACGGTGCGAAGTATCAGCATTTATTCAAATAACAAAACGTATTTGTGTTATTCGGCGTCAGCGGTAGTTTATAGTTCACACGATAGCACGACGAATACAGTTAGCAGCTTCGAATATTTTTATCAGTCAATGGTCTACTATTATTATTCAAGTATAGATAGAATCAGCAAGATCTTATCCTCAGATTTAAATATTTTTCACGGCGGGTAAACCGACATCTGTCTGAATATTTTTAAATTCCAATTAGTGTTTTAGAATATTTCTCTGGAATTTATAATTTAATATTCGGTGAGTCTATAATGAAATCTTAGTTTATCCGGACATCGCTGTGTTTTACACGGTTATTTTTGTCTCAGAAGGTTGCCCTTGTTTATCTTTAGTCGTCTATTGTAACTATGTAAGGTAATTTTAGTTGATCACTTTCTCGTTGGAAAGCCATAGAATTTTACTCAACGTGAGTTGACTTTTCTTTTCGTGTTCTGCTGAAATATATTTATATTCTTCACTGTCAATCACGTCATAGGTGAGCCCGAAACCTTTCACTGACTCTTCATTATAGTATTGTACATCTGTCGAAATGCATAAGAAATAAATTAAGCCCGCGTGCACGACAAAAAATCGATATCAGGTTAATGCAGATGCAACGGGCTTTCGTAGAATCGATGTATGCACGTTGAAAGGGCTTGTAATTAGCATTTGTACAATGTAAGGTGAAGACCTTGTATTGATGAGCAATATGGCATTTCGTGTTGTCAAGAAATATTTTTTTCGCCATTGTCCTTTAAGGTCGGATGAATGTTGTTATTTATGCTGAGTTGGCGTCAGTTGTACCGGATTGTCATCGCTGAAGGCTGCATTGTCTTATGCTTTAATATGCAGTGAGAATTGGGTATGAATATGATATAGTTTAAATTTATACTCGGCAATACTAGAAAATAGTTGACGGTTATCTAAAAATGTAAAAGTGTAATTTTTGAAAAACTTTCCATGTATGCGGACAAGAAATTATGATAGTGTGGTTAGCAAAGATTTTGAGGAAAAAGACTTATGGCGTCGCCTAGGTAGAAAGCTACATATATTGTGTATATTTTAATCGTATATCACATACATTTACAATCTATACTCCGCATTGACAGGCTCAAACAGGCAATTCTACATCTATAAAACGCAACATTTTTCGAGAAGAATGTTTTATTTCGAATGGCATAAAATGTCGCGTTCCATATTTGTCTCATTTTGTCGGTCAAAAATGTTGAACGGGAGAATTTTTATTTATTTGCGTAAGCAGTAGTAAAGAGAATTGCGCAAATGTGACCTAAACGTGACGGCATTGTACTTCAGCGTGCTTTGACAGAGTTAGTTATTTTGAACAATAATATGAACAGGTTGTAGCGTGCTTTCCTATAATAGGTAATATTTGGCTGTGGCTGTTAGACTAAACCTTGAACTTCTCGAAAAATACGTGTTTCGTTTTTTTAAACGTGGGGATTGGAAGTTCTCGCCTCTGTCACGACATGAAATATCAATAATTTTCTGAACTTTGTTCAATTTCAATGTTAACGACAGCATTGAGTTGCTATGATACCTAGCATATTAAGTCTTTTTCTAGGGAGGCGAGTGAACGAATCGAATCTTTCACCGTAATCAGGGACGGTTAAAACTAATCAAATTTGTTGATTATTATTTTATAGTCGCGGGCATTGATGTAATTAGCATCGTCTGCGACATTTCTACTTGCGAATGTATTAACAGTCTAATGATGAGTATTTTAGTGTTAAACAGTTTATCTCCTTTCGATTTCTATCGTTTGTAGTCTTTGATAGTTACGTCATAATTTCATATCGTCTGCCGTATTGTCGTTGTATTTAAGTGTCGTCTTCTTTCTAACAGGACTAATTCGTGGCTCTAGTTTATCCTACCGGTCTCGATTCACGTCTTGTACTGCAAGAGATCCAGCTTATGAATCGGACGAATTCGAATACGATTATAACGTAGATTCGAAAGCTTCGTATTCGAGAGTGAACCCATCGCTTCAACCGGACGACGAATTTGAGGATCAGAGATACAATACTGTTGTGACTACGGAATCTGTGAACAATTCAGGTAAAAATACTCAGTGAATTTAAGAAATAACCGAAATTACTATTTGTATCAGAGAGACTAATCTATGACTTGATCAATTAGACTTCGGACTGCACCAAAACTGGCCAGTATGTAGGAGTCGCCAAATTTAATATGAAATTTACTTAAACATTTTTGTCTTCAAATTTCTACAAATGCAGACTTATAAATATAACTACATGTAATATAAATGCAAATTAAAAAATAAATACCATCCGCTGGCTACATTTCTCTCTATATTTTGTAAATTTTAAGCGGAATACTGTTAAATCCTGAGGAATAAGCTGTACCACCTTGTTTGTTATGGTTATTTTAAATACTATTTTCTATTGTTTACAGGTTTTTCCCGACCTCAGACAAAATTGGCGGAGTCGGGTGTTCGTGACGATTATATGGCGCAAGACCGCAACGTTCTTGTGGTAAAGAAACCTGCGCAGCTGATTGGTGAACCTGGTGAAAAACGACGAAAAGAAGATTTGCTGTTACTACGCAACACTGTGACATCACAAGGAGGGTTCATTAACCACGCCCACTCACGTGACTCTTCGTACGACAACAATAATAATAACAATAACACGGGAGAGAACGACAGCTCCAAACCGCCCAGACCAGGGTATGTTTTAAATTAATAAAGATATGGCGACCTTCGAAAATTCCTGTATATTAGTTACCGATAATTGTTGACAAACATGCATTTGATTTATGCAAGATTAAATTGTTAATATTTAACGCTTATCATATTTAAATAGTGACTTTATTTCGCCATTACTGAAAATTCAGAACTATAATATTTGCATATATGGAAATATACAGAGTCCATGTGTCAGGAACAAATAATTATTAAGCTACACCTACACTTGTCCAGGATTGCCGATTAGACGGGAGACTGTGATTTGCATTACTGCTTTATCTTTCACAATAATAAATATGAAAATATTTCTACAAAAATCACCCGCATAACAATAAATTTCTTATCTCCAGCACCAGTTCTCTTCCACTGTCCACAATGACTTCAGCTCCAACAATACCTTCTCCTATGTCAGATGGGTTGCCAGATTTCAGCACCATTGTTGACACTGTGACTGCTGTGAGAAGTAAAAGTTCTCCACATGGTAAGATATGAATTGAGTGAGATCTTCTCGAATCGGGGCCATAAGAATGTGTTAGGACTCTGCTTGCTGGGATAAACATAAGAGAACCAATGAAATCGCTGTTTTTCCTATATTTCTAGATACAAACATATACCATTGTTCCCCGAAAATAAGACCTAGCCTGAATTTCAAAAATGATTTTAATACAAGCTCTCCCCTAACCTAGCGTTTTTAATATTTTATCTATTGAAAATCTCGTAGTTTTCTATTTGTAAATTTGTATTTAATAAAAAGAGAGACATTCCCCCAAAATAACCTAGTATTATTTTTCGAAAAAAATTTGAAATTGACGACCCTTGCTTATTTTCTTCATGTGCGATTTATTAAACATGACCAGATTTAAAATATATTCAATATTTTATATTTGAAACAATTTTAAGTACATACTCATATTAATAGATCAATGGCCTTCCCTGTTCAATAAATCTTCTGAATCTATATTTCTTCTACATTCAGGAAGTACAAGTGGAGTGTCATCATCTTCTTCCTCTCATTCTTCAACTTTGCCGAAGCAAGATCCATTGTCTACTTTGAATGAGAATGATGAATGGGCACAGGTGAGAACTAATTAGACTGAAGCCACCTTTTTAGGGTCTTATCAGTTAACCGTCAGAAGCAAAAACAAGTCTAGTCAAAAGCATTACATGGGGATCAGAAAGTGGCATTTTTTCTATAAGCTCAAAGTCAAACATAAAATCGCCATTTTTCTATGAGCTGTTTGTCACACCTTCTCTCAGAACAAGGCTTTATTCAAGCAACCAGTGATACCCAAAGAACGACCAGTAATCATTCCAATTTGCCAAAGTGTACTTAATTTATATTCATACCCTGATTAAAGTTGAAGTTGTGGTCAACTTGCTACTGTGTATAATAGCTGAATTTTCTAGTTGAAAACTTGATTATATTATTGCATAATATGCTCTACACAAAACTAATACTCAGATAACTTACTGTTATATTATTCCAGATTGCAAATATGATGAAATCAGTTGGCAACACATTGAATAAAGGTCCAGTTTATGCCCAAGAATTTGAGGAAACATTTTGGAGAATTATGACAGGTGTGTAGCATTGTATACTTTCAATAATTTGGTATAATTGTGGACCCGACCTTTTTTCGTGTATGTATACAATGATTTGTATAACATATACAGTACTTGATAAAAAGACTATACTACTCTGGAATGCACACTGGAAAACTATTATATAATTTTACTTGAAATAATTTTTTTTATAACAAATTATATTTTGATCAATCTGAAACTACTCAGGGTTTTTACAAATAATTCACCATATTAAGACACAGGGAATATTGCTGGCAACATGATTTCACACCTTCCATTTGAATGCGACTTTGTACAAGGCCACTAATACATAATGAGCTGATGAGTCATGAATCTTTTGGATTTGACATTGCATCCCCAATTAAGGGGGGAAGGCCTTTATATTTTGAGCCTTATATTTTTTTCTTAAGGGCTGAAAATCATTCCAGTATGGCATTGCTACCCTCTTCATTACACCCAAGTGATGCGCAAGGGGCTTGAACCCAAGGTATCCAACCTGCAATATCCACATAATTAGTCCCTGATATGCCACATACTGATAAAAGCAATACTAATATATACTGCCATCATTATTTTCTCATTATCTTGACAACCTTATCACCTTTGATAAGAACCTGTCTACATACCAGATGTGAAGACAAACAAATTGTGACTGAGTATATTTACTTTACATACAATATAAACATGTACTGACAAGCCCTCCACCTGCTAGAGATAGATATGGCTAACACAGACAGTCCCCGAACTAAAATAAGAAAAATAAAGAATAAAATTATGGCCTAACCCTAATCTGGTACATATACTACGGGAGTACCAAAATTTCAATGGTTTAAAGAAAATTAGTTAGCGTATATCACTCCTGATCCGAAGATGGCACAACGATGTTGTGCGGCACTTCTCATGATTTCTTCGGGCTGAAATAGAGAGAAAGATGATGGCATTTTAGACATACAATTCATTTGACAATATTAAACACTTTTCACATATTTGAACTGGTATTTTTCTATAACAAACAAGTTTATCTTTTAAAAGTGTTTAAAACAAAATTTAAGGAAAGAACATGTCTCGTCATCATAGGTACTTCACAGTTAAAAGCCTAAAACACTCATGTATATTTGTTACAAAGATTTGAACAAATCCACTAAAGCTGAGCAAACACTGAACATATGACAGCTATGGGATTAGTGGTTGTGTACATAACAACACAGTGAAGTGAGTGAAGCTGGTCTAATCAACATACCTAGTGGTATTTAAGTTACAAAATACAAAACATAAAACAGACGAATCTAGTTAGATTTAAAACTGGGAGATCACTGCACCCATATTAGGGATCTTTATCTGGGGTGTGTAATATTGTACAAAAAGATATGCCACGATACAGTCTGCCAGCATGTCTTATTTAGTTCATTATTATGATGCTGCAAACCACAACCACTGTTACTACATGGGGTTTCAAAAAAGTAACTATTGAAAAGCATCAGTTGTAAAATGTTTAAATGGCATTTCACCCCTAATTCATTACTCTTAAAAGGTGTCAGACGTTAAACATTTCATCTTAACTTCTGTTCATTCGCGTTACTTTTTTAACACCGTGTAGATAGTTTTTAATCACCTGTATAGGTCTGGTCATTTTCGTCTTTTTCGAGAAGTACTTTTAGGATGGGCAGTGAATCCTCACATTAACATTTTTGTGGTAATTTCTAGAATTTAAAAAGACTGATTTTGTGAATGAGCTTGAACTCGATTGTTGCTGGAATTTTAGCTCGGAAATTTTATCTGCTTTTAGACCTATGGATATTTACAAGAGTTGTCCAAACTAAATATCAAATGTTATATTTCAGGATCTGACCTCCCTCGTCGAGTGGCAACATGGCTGAGTGATCTCAATCTCTCTCAGTATGAAGAGGTATTATGTGGCAATGGATTCGACAACGTCAATTTTTTGGTGAGTGAAAGGTCTTAATTTGGATAACCACATCTGTAGTTACCGTAAATTTAGCTTACGGTAGTTTAAAAGTCCAAATTGAATTGGGGATCAGAAAATGAGGTAGTGTATATCGACCGGTGTGCTGTGTGTGGTTTGCTCTAAGCAAGGAACTAGACAAGCTGTAACTCATTAAAGGGACTTCCAATGTCCCATGGGACATAGAATACACAGAGCCGTCATCCAATTTGTTCAGGTACCACAGCTTTCCAAAGTTGGGAACATCTTATGAAGCAGGCAATCATTTATGAGTGCTTGAAACTGATATCTAAGAGAGTCTTTAAATATGTGATTGATTTTGTGATTTATTGGCTTTCTTTCCTAAAAATAAGGTTAAGATTGGACCGTTATCCACAGATGGGCAACGGTGTGTCGTAAAATTCACCATCTTGTAATAAAATTAAAATATTTAATACTCCGGAAATGCGTGAACCTGGCCTGGGTTAGGGCATAACTTTATTCCGGTTTTCCTATTTTAGTTCTATTACGAGTTCTGGGACTGTCTGTGTTATCCAAGTGAATATACCCCCTGCCTATAGGTTTCAGTTCCTTCACACAACTTGATGTAAAGTAGGCGAACAGAATTAGTTACCTCCATATTGGTACACAAACTTCTGGAGCGCCAAATATTCTTATTTTCACTTTTGTCTTCAGGCATCTGACATCCTAGAAGAACAAGATTTGATTGACATGAACATTCAGAATGAGTCGCATCGTCGTCGCATGCTTGATTCAGCGAAAAATCTTCCAAAAATCAGGCCTTTGCCGCAATTATTAAACGGGGAGTTAAGTGTAAACGACAATCGACCGGTGCCATCTTGTGTTAGTGAATGGTTACTCTCGATTGCGCTCGGGGATCTGGAACAAATCTTCGATACAATGGGATTCAATACGCTCGATAAAATCTTAAAAATGAAGGAAACAGAAATTGCAGGGGTGAGTAAAGAAACCATAAACATTTTCAATTTGCTTTAAACATGGTCTCTCTCCTATCGTAAAGAAGCGAGTTTGTATCTTTGAGAAATTTTTTCATGACTATAGAAACCCACCCAACACATAATTTTACAGAAAGAGAGTCCAATTTATAACCCTGGTGCAGGCCACACTGGCATACAAAGATCTATATATAGGTATCCCTGAGATACATATGTTAGTAGATAGCTTCTCATCTTTATTGATTATGTTTGAACTGATATTGCCGAGCTTTTGTGCCACCTTTAGACCTCGAAAATAGACACTCAAGAGTAAACTTGCATCTCGCATAAATATTAAACTGTATATCTAAAAAGTGATCGGAAGGCATTAAAATTCAATTTTCATTTTCTAACTCGTTTAGTATAAACATGAATTTTTTATTCAGATGGTCCGCCTTCGTGGTCACAGGAAACGTATCCGAGCATCACTCGGACTCAACATTCCGAAATCAAAACCGAGATCTGCATCACTGACCAGTGGAAGGACAAATAATAAGGTTTGCAAGATTTCTGTATTTCTAATAGAAAGAAATTTTAAAAAAATTGGTAAACAAACGTTAAAAACTTCTCAAAATTAAATTCTATAATGCGGATTACCAAGGTCACTGTTTTGAAATTGCCATATTTTGCAATCAATAGAAATTTCAAAATATTTGCATCTAGTATTCCACAAATTTATGTTGATTAAACAAAATCCAAAATTTATTCAATTCAAAAAAGATCCATTTTATATATAATTTAAATATATTAAAACCACTATTTTCATTATAAATAAAAAAAATAGGTTATATATTAACGCTTTTACTGTAAAATAAATCCATTTAAAATATTCATAAACAAAATTAATTAACAACAGACTTCCAGATTTCAAACTATTCTGATATGTAAATCAATACCAACAAAGTTAGTTCATTTTGGGCCCTGCATAATCCACTTCCTGTAAAAATATCATCTTATTATTAGACTTTACACGAAGGCTAGGCCGTTACCAGTGGTTGAGGCATCCAGTTAGTCTGCAGTCCATGAATAAGAAATTCACAGGTTTATGACTAGGCAATGGCTAATTTGAGTCGAGAAAAATTGATGCCATTTTTTCAAAGCATCAATTTACTCTGTAGTTTCATATCACAGGAATTCATTTTTAGAGTATTTGGCGATATGATAAAGTTTCATGTTCTAGGATTGTTTTTATTAAATATAAGCTAATAACCAGTTGATTAAGAATAGTTAGTTGCAGTTGATTTATTTATGTATTTCCAATTTATTATTTTTATTTTAAGGAGTTGGTTTGAAAATATACTGTAGTTTGGAATTCTAGAAATTTTATGCCACTAAGTATTGTAGATTGTTAATTGTTTTATTGATTTGCTCAACTAGGAAGGAATCAAATTGTACAGTTAGCCAATTAATTGAATGTCTATTCAGACAAACTTCTTGTCTCGATGAAATTTGTCCTTATCGACATTTAAAAAATTGGCAGAAATTCTTTAAAAATGCGAAGAGAATTAATCGATATCATATATTGTTTTGGCCCTCACAGATGTATTAAATGAAGTAAAAATACTTGAACAATTACCAATTGAAAAACAACAAACCTGGTTAAGATATATTGAGAACTAACTTTGTGACACAAAATTGAAAATTGTAAAGCAATTTTATGGACACCCTGTATATCATTTGATTTTTACCAGTTGTGGGTGAATTTCTATGAATAAGCATGGTAAAAACACCTCGTAATTGTAGTTGTGTTTCATACATAACTCAGATTTTAAAATTAATCATACATCAAGTATGAATTATATATGGTCCGTACATAAATGTTGCAATTTATATCCCATACTTGACTGAATTGAAATACCTGAATATTTCCAAACTGTGGTGTTGATACGGAATTAGGAATTTCCTTGGGCAGAATATAAAGCGTTGAAGTGTGAGAATTAACACCATTGGTGTAGGAAATGACTTAAAGAGCTAATAATAATGTCACTTCCTGTCTAATGAGCTGCTGTCGAGAGGTCGATTCAACTCGGTAGTCATATTGTCGTTGTGGGTATGGTTATAGTATTTAATCAGTAAGGTTATAGAATAGAGGGAGGTATATACATATAGGGAAGTAATTTTTTTAAATTTGGAAATAAACCACTTCACCTCAGAGTGAGCTCGAATAAACACCCATATGAATGTACAGCAGGAATGTTCAAAAGATTGGCTTGCTCAGTGCTGGTTATATTCAGACCCAAAGACTTTCAGTTTAATTTCCAATAAGGTCAGGGTTCAAAATAATAATTAAGGTCAAATCATCGGGTGTGCCGCCTTGCTGCATACTTACATGAGTTTGACTAGCGCCAGCTTGCTACTGGGCAAGCATATTTTATAATGAAATTCTGTAAGTTCATGCATCGTAGAACAAAACAACTGGCTAACTAATCCCATGGACTAGTAACTGGACGAGAGGCCGTGGTTCCCCTTATGATTAAGTCTTATCTTCTTTTCTCCCCCTCAGGATGGAAATGTAAAGCCTATTCTTATAGTTGTGCTGGTGGGTGGCAAGCAATGTTCCCTCTAATTTTTTGTAGTATGTGTGCGCAGACATTTTGGTGTGTGCGCACTTTTTTGGAAATGAATAATATTTGTGCAAAAAACAATGAAGAAATTTTGGCGTTCTAACCGGGTAATAAGTGGGCCAACAACAAACTTTCTCAACCTGCCAACCAAGCACATTGTTACATTACATCGAAATACGTCTGTGCGCAGTAAATCTATGCGTGTGCGCAGCCTCTGAAAGCTATGTGCGCGCGCACACGCGCACACCTTAGAGGGAACACTGGTGGCAAGGCACTTAGAATAATGTAAAACGGCCTTCTCCTCAACTCCATTTATTACTAAAACCTATGTCTGCTAATTTCTATTTTTTTTTATATATTTCAGGCGAAACCCAGTCCTCCTCTCTCTCGAAGCCCTCTGCTTGACACAGTGAATTTCTTCAAGGATTATTCGCAAACAACCACATCTAAAGTTACCACAAATACTAGCTTAAATTTATACGGAACTGCAAGCAGTAGCAGTAGTGCTTTGACAAACTATAGTTCGTTATCGGACCAAGTCGTTCCCATTGCAATATCAGAAGAACCAGAAATTGACGATTTCGCAAACAAACGGGGCCGAAAAAGCGGTTCGACAACGCAATACACTCGTAGCCAATCTGCGAGTACCGAACCACTCCACAGGAGGCAGTCAAGAGAGCAAAACAAAGACTATAATCGGTTTCCGTCACAACCTGGTAGTTCTCTAAACTCCCGAAATCACAAAATTGAAAAATCTTCGTCTCAAACAGACTTTCTCGATACTAACTCAACGAACATTTCTCAAGAAGACGATTTATTATCGTTAGCTATTTCGAGATTAACTGACGGATCGGTGAAGAAATCTGTTGGACTTACGAACCAGGAAAATAAAGAAAACATCAATATGGTAATTTACTTTATATGTAAATTTGATTCAGTGAGATCATATCAGAAACTGATAAAGTATTCAAATATTATCAAAATTAATTAATCTTTTTCGCGGTGCCTTTATTACTGTAAGGCTAAGCAATAGCTGCATTCTATTCTCACATTTTCTGCAGTGCTCTTGTTGTCACCAACGTATTTCGTTGCTGCAGGCTTCAATAACGCTTGCTTACAACATATTGTGATGTAATAATTCATAATAGGGGGTGCTTGACACCTCGCAGCCACTTGCTTTGTAGAATTTTCAGCAGTTCAGTAGCCTATTTTGCTACTCCGCAAAAACTTTTTTTGTGTGGCTCATCTAGATGTCTGTAGTTGGGTTTATGGCCCATGACAAAAAATGTCACACAACCATTAACCACGATTATTCTAAATATTGCATTTTTCATCCAGAGCACATCAGATTCGACAGAGATCCGAGTACCAGATGCGAGAAGGGCTTCCTATCTATCAAGTAACGGAGATCTTGTCCTACGACCTCCCAATGAAACTACAGAGGAAGAAGTCACTGTTAGTTCCTGGTGCCACGACCCCAACGTACTTATCAAAAGCTGTTGCAATTATCAGGCCTATGTATGTATTGTTGTAATGAATGATTGAATGTTTATTTCATTTTTTGTATCGAAATGTATTGCACTATTTTAAATTTATTTTTTTTAAATTTCCATCAGTTATTTTGAAAACATCCATAATGTAGTATTTCTCCCAATCTAGCTGTGACTAATTTCATTTGTAAAGCCATGTACTTACTGTGCAATTTTGAGTCGATATGACCCCCTATCTTCCTGATGAGTTATAGATGAAACCTATTTCTTATTGTGTGTGACAACTCGGCAAACTGACTAAGTCAGTGGTCGGCAACCACCGGGCCGCGGCCCATTGCCGGTCCGCGGGAAGATTGCTACCGGTCCGCAGAAAGGTGACACAAAAAACGTACAATGCCCTAATAGCATTGTTACCAGTATGTAAAGTCAGGTTTTCAAAATTAACAACTACGAAAACGAAATATTTAAGTAGGTCGAACGTAGGAAACACGTTATACCTTTGTTTTTGAATGTATCGTTAACATAACTTTTCTAGCGCATATAATTTATTTAATTACATCAGTTCGTCTCCGCCAAAATTTTGGTCAGGCTCCACCGGTCCGTCATTGAAAAAAGGTTGCCGACCACTGGACTAAGTGATTGATTCTGTGTTTTTAGTAATTTATGTGCCTACATCTTTCAATTATTCAAATTCGATTCGGAAATCATCGGATATACTAAAATGCCCAGTCCTAGTTGTATTTTATAGTGCAATACTTTCATTAGTACTCCTTCCAATTCTAGATGAGGGCCTATGACCTTGATTTGAGGAAAATGGTTGAAAAAATACATCCACCTATAGGAGTTATAATATTCTATTTTCATTTCTTCATTCAGTATCTTGGATCCATGCTCGTTCAAGAAGTCAAAGGAGTTGAATCCACAGTTGAAGCTTGCAATAAGATGAAGAAATCGACAGATTCCATGAAGAAGATTCCAACGATCACTCTATCAATCAGCTATAAAGGAGTCAAGTTTATCGATTCCAAGTCCAAAGTAAGATGATCTTCACAGTGTTTTTTTAAACATGCTATCTCCCGTTAAACGTATTTACTGGCGCATAATGCACTGCCATAGAAGTACAAGTACCGTAACTCAATGAACCAGAGTCACTATTGTGGCCCGCGAACAATGCAAAAATAATTTTGTGGCCCGCGAAGCCGACAACCTTGGACCACCCTGATGTAGAATTTCCCCCAATCTAGCTGTGACGCATGTTTCACTATGCAATTTTGACATATAAGTCGATATGACCTCCTATCTTCCTGATGAGTTATAGATGGAACCTGTTTCTTATTGTGTGTGACAATAACTTTCCAATCTCCCTCTTTGAAATGTAAAAACAAACATTTTATCAGGTCACACGTAGCAATTTTGCAGAGCTCGAAATACTTTCTATAATCTCAAGACTCTTTGAAAACCTTTGGTCCAACTTGGCAATTAATATTTCAGAACCCTCTTTCATTACTTATCGATTTTAACCCTTTCCGTGCGGTGGGCACGTATACGTACCAACGACAAAAGTCGCTAGATTGCGGCGGGTACGTTGATGTCGGGTTTTAGTTTATTGATAAGAAGTCTTCTTCGAGATTAACATAAGCGACGGTAAATCTCGCTTTCGTTTACGACGGGAATTTTATTTGCGGCGGAACGAGGGAGTGTTTTTGAAATTTATGCAAATTTCGGTGTTTTTTGGGTGGTAATAGAAGACATATTATCCCTTCCATCTACCAAAGTATTTTGAGTTAGATCACGAAATTGCTGCAGCAATATTATGCTATTGTTTGCCAGCCACGAAGCGGTAACAGTAAAGGATTTAGCGAATATTCCTATTTTTTATCACAGTTTGAAGTTTCAACTCCCAAGAAAAAAATGCCTTTTTTCTATCCGGTTTGTGACTCAGACCACCACTTTTAAAAAAAACTTTTTTTTTTTAATCGCCAATTGCAAGCTCTTTAAATAAGCTTTCCAACGAGCCGTCAGTGGGCAGCAGAGGATCATTAGTTTTTCGTCAGTCGATAGATTAGTTGTGGGGGTACAAATGCATAAAATCGGCGTAGCAAATATGATTATTTAATAAAAAATAAAAATCGCATGGAAAGGGTGAATCGGTGAGGATATTGATAAGTATTTGTCTGTCTGTCTGTCTGTTTGTCTGTTAGATGCACGCGATATCTCACGAAAACGAGATTGAATCTGCTCCAGATTTTGCATGTGCATTCATCTTATCTCGGACCAGAAGCCTATTGATTTTGGGCGAATTATGTCGTATAATTAGCGAGTTATCAATCAATTATTGATATAGTGATCTAGATTCTTGTGAAGCGAGAGAATTTTGAGACCCGCCGAGTGTGTGTGTGCGATGCGCAGTGCGCAAGTTACAAGAGCGGATGAATCAAAACTGCAGTTTCTGTTTTGGGGGATCCCCTAACTATCGATCGATATGTCTTCGGTTTCCAACCGATATTCTCGTTTGAAAGTTCCAAGCTATGCCCCTGCTAGGCACATCCGTGATAAACCGTGACTACGGTAAAATATGAGTCTCATTACTTCTGAACGAGTGTTCATTACTTTGCTCAAAGATTGATCTAACTTCTGAGCGAGTGCGCATAACTTTCCTCAAAGATGAGTCTTCTTTACTTTTGAGTAAGGACCCGTAAATTCGCTCGGAAATGAGTAGCGCATAACTTTGCTCGGAGATGAATTTTCTTTACTTCGAATGAGTGCCCATTACTTTGCTCAGAAATGAATTTTATTTTTTACCACTGACTTCTGACTAAGTGCCTGTTACTTTGCTGCTGAGTAAGTATGCGTAACTTTGCTCTGAGATGAGTTTTTTTACTTCCGACTCAGTGCCTGTAACTATGTTTGGAGATGAGTCTCTCTTACTTCTGTGTTACTTTTTGGTGTTTCATTGCTCGCTTGTAACTTTTCTCAGTTTTACATTTGTCCGCCATTTTTATTGAAATTGTTCTTTATCCACAGCATGAAATTGCCGAACACGAGATCCACAACATATCGTTCGCTTCACAAGATGCAGATGACCTTTCAACTCTAGCGTATATAACCAGGGATGCCAGGACTGGGAACCATTATTGCCACGTATTCAGGGTTACAACACTGGTAAGCATGTTCATTGATACAAATAAACCTGTTATTTTGGCGCTCCAGAAGTATGTGTACCAATATGGAGGTAATTGATTTTGTTCACCTACTTTACATCAAGTTGTGTAAAGGGACTGAAACCTATGGACAGGGAATATATTTACCTAGCTAACACAGACAGTCCCCGAACTCGTAATAGAACTAAAATAAGGAAAAAAAATTATGGTCTAATTCTAACCTGGTACACATACTATAAGACAGTGGTTCTTAAACTTTTTCAAGCGCGACCCAAATCTGAGTTTTATGAATACTCGCGACCCAATCCTAAAAAATGCAAAATGTGTTTTTAATGTTAGTACAGTTTGACTCAAATACAGACAACTATTTATTAGAAACAGTCCATTGACTCAGTGAGATTGATGAAACTGAAATTTCCTTTTTCATTATATCTTCAATACACAGCTCTATTTTACTTAACGCAATACGCAAGTTGTCACGGGTATCGAAGCGATTGCGAGCTTAGTTTTGATAACCGTCAGTGCCAATATCCTCGCTCGCACAAGTGCCTTGTCGCGAATTGTAGCAGAAAAGGCGTCCGCTGTCCCTCGCAAACACGACATCCTAGCTGGCCTTCGGTTACAACTTTTTACTCGTCACTTGTGCACGCACTGCTTCGTTCGCGGTAAATGGTGCCTCGAGATGAAGTCACATTTTCTCTAGATATTGAATAATCTAATGTCGAGAAGCGAGCTTTTTCATTGCGTCGTCTATTACAATTTTCATTACCAAAAAGACACCCATTTTTGGTTATTTTAATCCACTAAGACGACATTCCATGCGGTCAACACAACGACAAGCGACGTGCATGGTTACCGATACCATAAAAATAATACACGTGACTGGCATATCAGAATTGTGATGTAACAATGATCTCAAGACAGTTCTTTCCGTGAATGAAATTTTATATTTCATTATTTTTAAATACCAGAGTTTAGAAGCTAAATTGAAACATTGGGAAAGCTGAAAATTCGTCCTTCTCCTCTTAGATTGCCCTTGCATTGACGACCTTGTTGCGACCCATTTTTAAACCTTCGGCGACCCATGTTTGGGTCGCGACCCATACTTTAAGAACCACTGCTATAAGAGTACCGTTTTTTTTATGTTACTGGTCTGTCATGACTTTCATTTCACGGACTTTGGACTAAGGGGTTATCCTGCCAGCAGGGGCATACCAAGGAGAGGTTGTGAGTCGTAACCCCCCTTTTTGAAATGTAAAAAAGGCATTTTTCCGTATCATACAGTTGAGGTTGCGTGAAACTAACTACCTTTCATTGCTCTCTATGTCTTTGCGCGGGTGGATCCGTATGCGTACGTATTACGCAAGGATGCTGTAGCAAGAGTGTAAATGGCTATTCTATTCAATTCAAAAGTCTTGCTGCACACGAACACAAATATATTTCTGTAACGTTTCGTCTGACCGAGGTCAGACTTCTTCAGACAAGCATTTTACAATCAATATGTTTTTGAAACCAATATTTATGTGCATGCAATTGCGTTTCTTGTTATAGTTGTAAAATGCTTGTCTGAAGAAGTCTGACCTCGGTCAGACGAAACGTTACAGAAATATATTTGTGTTCGTGTGCAGCAAGACTCTTGAATTGAATAGAATTCCCGTATCATACATAGAAATTTTTTGTAGCTTGAGACACTCCACCCTCTAGACTCCTAAAACCTACGTTTTCCAACGGGACCCACTATCTGCTACGATCAACTGGGAACCCCTCCCCCCACCCCCCTTTTAAAATTCCTGGCTGCCAGTCAGCATAGTTAGGTCCAATCATTTTAGTGTTATGAATGTTTGTTAAGGTTTTAAGAAATTGATTTTAGACATGGTGGTAATATTCATATCTATTGAAGGGAAGACGAAAGTGGATAAAACAACTTGATAGAATTTGACGAACAACAAAGATTCCTGTTGTTCTAAAGTACAGTTGCTGGGGCTCCCGAAGTATGCGAACCAATATGGCGGACATCGGGATGTAATATGTGTACTAGGTTAGGGTTGGCCATAATTTTAGGTATAAATACTACGGGAGGCTCTTGGCTAGTCTTCGAACTGATAATATGACTAAAATAAGGAAAAATGGAAAAAAATTATCGCCTAGCTCTAACCTGTTACCCATGTTACGTTCCGATGTCTACCATTTTGGTTCGCATACTTCGGGAGCACCCAGTTGCTAATAGCCTTGCTCAAATTGATTTTATCTGAGAACGAAATATAAGTCATCGAACTTTCGATTCGCTGTGTCTTGTATGAAAACATATTATTTCTTGTTTCAGGATGTTGCGTATGAAATCATTCTCACACTTGGCCAAGCATTTGAAGTTGCTTATCAGTTAATATTAAAGGAAAAATCAATGCAAGAGGAAGAAGGGTCATAACCTTACAAAGGTGAAAGTTCACAGTGATAACTTCCTACTTCCTGCCGATATGGGCTGGGGGGAGTTAAATACCCAAGGTATATCCTGATTTCTTCAAACAAAAATTTAACCTTGGGAATGTTGTCAATGACCTTGAAATGAATGCATAACTCAGTTTTGTTAAGTTATGGTCCTTCATTGTGACTCAGAATACTGGTTTTGGTCATGGTACTACAGCATCAAGCAAAAATCTCGGACTCTGCGGCAATTAAGAGGAATCCCTGACACCTGACCTTTTTATTTTCTGCCATGTTACTGTGTTTGTGCGCAAAATAACCAACATTATTATCAGTTGTTTTCCGCTGAGATACAACTGCTGGTTTAATAATTTTTGGAGAAGTGGTGGCATATCTATTTATTTTTGAAAAGTACTCGTTATCTCACTATGATAAAGCTTTGTAACATTGTCATATTTTGGGGAAATGTTTAATCATTTCTGAGCTAATCTCGTGCAACGAAGCGCAGGGTGCGGAGGCAATGCTTTCTTAACCATCGTTTTGACAAAGTATTATGACATGTATGTATTATGAATTCACACCCTGTCTTACTTACCGGTGGATTGTCCGCACTTACTCTTGCAAATGGTTGATAAAAAGATATGGCTCTAAAGGATTCTTGATGTAATATAGTGCTGTTGTTTTCATTCCTTGTTCTGTCATAATGTATGAATTATTTCATCATAATGAATGTTTTATTTCAACCGTTCCTGAATTGTTTTAACTTGTTTGTTTAATTTATGGGGAAATGACCATTTCTCCTATTTTTGTTGCAGTTTTTCTTCGCCATGACCTGGCTTTTTATGTGTTTTTATTCCAATCATGTATTTTTATTTTGTTCGTACTTCTTGTCTTTTCTTTCTTTTTTCATTTATGGAATATATCAGTGATATTGCGATAGATTTTGTCTGATTTATGGGATAGGATTCACATATTTATCCTGGGAGAGAAGAAAACCAGTATGACGGCTTTATCATATGGCGAACGAACCATGGCTTCTCGTTTACCAGTCCATGTCGGATATGAAATTAGTTATTTGTTTTCGAAGGTATGAACGTGATGGTGGAGGTAGACGCAACCGACCAGCGGTTACGTGTACCACCCTATGCCAGCCAGGAGTCCAGCAATGCTTTCGCACATAACCATAATATTATTATCATGAGGTTGCGCTGAGGTCCCAGAGAGTAGTATTTGGGTGATGTGCCAGAGTATAGGGGACACCCTTCTGAACAAGAGCACGTGCACTCACTCAGAATTACAGAAGACTTGTCTCTGAGCAAAGTGGGAGGTCCATCCGTCTAGAACAGTTATCGAAGCTCTCGGCAAGCGGAATTTACTAGTCAAGTGCTGTGGAGTTCGGCACACTCTGAAATTGATAATTTGAATTCTTTGATGTTTGAGCGTTGCGTAAACTGCTGTGCTATTTGCTATTAGGCTATCGGTGTAGTCACAAAAAGTCCTGTTGCATCACAATGAAGTTATTATGACCCGTCCTGACGCAATAACTTTGTGCAGTTCGACCATAGTTTACTGAAATTAATTATGGTTCGACAGTGTTTACATATCTATCTCGAGGGAGAGGAGAGCTTGATTGTATTGACTTTTGCCCGTTTATGTCTAGAAATTCAATTAAAATTCGTATATAATGAAATGCATAATTTACTTTTAAAGAAACCACGGAAAATCGATGAATTGGTCAGCGAAGGCGAGAGCTGGTACGGTAGACCAGTGATCACCAAAGTGTGGGTCGCGACCCCAAGTGGGGTCGCCTTGAATATTTCTGGGGGCGCTGGCGTTGTCTTCTTCTTTTATTATTCTGTTGCGCGTTTGCTATCTTGGGTATTATCAAATCACCAGTAGACAGAAATATTACAGTTTATTATAAGCAAAGAAAGACGTCGGTATAACACAGCTTCGCGCTATATATTTCAAATTGAATAAATAGCAAGCACGTAAGCAAGTAAAAGCAATGCGCAATTACAAGAAAACAATTACGACATCATAATCACAAATCTAGTACACTTTGAAAAACGACGAGCTATGACGCAAGTACACAACAGCGTGTAGTCTACATTGCACTTGTCTAGCGATGTTTTGAATTAGAGTGATATCTTTTATAATAGGGCTATTATGTAACGACAATAATTTAAAGTACACCATTGTTGTGTTTTCACTGTAATGCACTATGACCGTTGCAACAATAGTCCACGATTTCATAAGCTCGGCGAGAGAAGCAATCGCATTCTTCATACTTATTAAATATGTGATTAGTTTTTGGTTTTAAATATTTATTTCTTGTCTGTAGTGTACATATATACCTTGGGGTCGCGAGTGCTTATCATATGTAATAATTTTTGAAACGGGGTCGCGTCTTAAAAAGACCACTGCGGTACCGTATTCTGTCGTGGCTGAATTCTCGGTTTATATACATTCTGTCCGTGCTAAATATTTTTTTTAGTATACTTATAATGTACAAAACATCTATATCATACAGCAAGAAACTTTAATCAAAATTATCAAATCCACTCAAGCATCACCGAGACATGACATCACAAGGAGATTGTTCTGCCCAGTCATGCATCAATGACTCTATCTCGTGTTCAAGTCAACCAGACCATATCCGCTTATTTTAGAATGATTTTCGCTTTTTTATGTCTGAAAGTGTAACTAAAAATCGTATATATTAAAATACATCATGTACTTTAAAAGAAACAATGGGGAATTGTTGAATTTGCCAGCAAAAGCGAGTGCCGGTACGGTACTGTGTTATTAAGTTTGATATTAATTAATAAAAACGGTAAAAAAGTAAAGTTTTTTGTCCAAATTTGTAAATTCGTTAAAGTCTTATCGTAGTCTATTCTCGCGGTTTTGGCGAGCAGTGTCACAGCGTCATCTCGCGTTCAATTCGTACCGGTACTCGTCGTCGTCTGAATTTATATAACCTAAATCACTACTTGAAGACATTTTTCGAAAGTCAAATATTTTTTAGTATTTAATATGACGTACAAAACATCTATATCATACAGCGTGAAACTTAAATCAAAATTATCAAATTCCCTCAAGCATCACCGAGACATGACATCACAATGAAATTGTTCCGACCAGTCATGCAACAATGACTCTATCTCGTCCTAAAGTTATTCGCTTATTTTTATATTGATTTTTGCTTTTTTATGTCTAGAAGTTTAATTAAAAATTGTATATATTAAAATACATAATTTACTTAAAAGAAATAGCGGGGAATTGTTGAATTCGAGCAGCGAAGTCGAGTGCCGGTACGGTACCGGTAATCTACTGTATTATGGCGTAGCCTACTGCATTCTGTCGATAATCCCGCTATATATGCATTTTTTCTGTGTTGGTCTGTTATTGTATGTGATATTAATTAATAAATACGGTAAAAAAGTAGAGTTTTTGTCCAAAATTGTAAATTTGGTCAAGTCTTTCCGTAGTCTATTCTTGCGGTTTCGGCGCGCAGTGTCACAGCGTCATCTCGCGTTCAATTCATACCGGTACTTGTTGTCGTCTGAATTTATATAACCTAAATCACTCATAAAAGACAGTTTTTAAATTTCAAATATTTTTTCAGTATATAATATGATATACAAAACATTTATATCATACAGCGTGAAACTTAAATCGAAAATATCAAATCTACTCAAGCATCACCGAGACATGATATCACAATGAAATTATTCTGACCAGTCATGCAACGATACCTCTATCTCGTGTTAAAGTTAACCAGACCATATCCGCTTTTTGTAAATTGATTCTAGCTGTTTTGTGTCTAGAAGTTTAAATAAAAATCGTATATATTAAAATGCATAATTTACTTTAAAAGAAATAGCGGGGAATTGTTGAATTGGCCAGCAAAGGCGAGTGCCGTTACGGTGCCGGTAGTCTACTGTAATCTCTTATAGTCTATTGTATTCTGTCGGTAGTCCCGCTATATATGTATTTTTTCTGTTTTGGTATGCTAATAAATGGGATATATATTAATAAATACGGTAAAAATGTGGAGTTTTTGTCCAAATTTGTTAATTCAGTCAAGTCTTTCCGTAGTCTATTCTCGCGGTTTTGGCGCGCAGTGTCACAGCGTCATCTCGCGTTCAGTTCGTACCGGTACTTGTCGTCGTCTAAATTTATACAACCTAAATTACTCCTCGAAGGCATTTTTTGAAAGTTAAATATTTTTTTAATATATAATATGAGGTATAAAACATTATATCATACAGCGTGAAACTCAAATCAAAATTATCAAATCCCCTCAAGCATCACCGAGACATGACATCACAATGAAATTGTTCCGACCAGTCATGCAACAATGACTCTATCTCGTCCTAAAATTATCCGCTTATTTTTATATTGATTTTTGCTTTTTTATGTCTAGAAGTTTAATTAAAAATTGTATATATTAAAATACGTAATTTACTTTAAAGAAATAGCGGGGAATTGTTGAATTCGAGCAGTGAAGTCGAGTGCCGGTACGGTACCGGTAGTCTATTGTATTATGGCGTAGCCTACTGCATTCTGTCGGTAATCTCGCTATATATGCATTTTTTCTGTGTTGGTCTGTTATTGTATGTGATATTAATTAATAAATACGGTAAAAAAGTAGAGTTTTTGTCCAAAATTGTAAATTTGGTCAAGTCTTTCCGTAGTCTATCCTCGCGGTTTTGGCGCGCAGTGTCACAGCGTCATCTCGCGTTCAATTCGTGACGGTACTTGTCGTCGTCTGAATTTATACAACCTAAATTACTCCTCGAAGGCATTTTTTGAAAGTTAAATATTTTTTTAGTATATAATATGATGTACAAAACATCTATATCATACAGCGTGAAACTTAAATCAAAATTATCAAATCCCCTCAAGCATTACCGAGACATGACATCACAATGAGATTGTTCTGACCAGTCATGCAACAATGACTCTATCTCGTGTTAAAGTTAACCAAAACATATCTCCTTATTTAATATTGTTTTTTGCTTTTTTATGTCTAGAAGTTTAATTAAAAATCGTATATATTAAAATACATAATTTACTTCAACGAAATAGCGGGGAATTGTTGAATTCGCCAGCAAAGGCGAGTGCCGTTACGGTGCCGGTAGTCTACTGTAATCTCTTATAGTCTACTGTATTCTGTCGGTAGTCCCGCTATATATGCATTTTTTCTGTGTTGGTGTGTTATTAAATGGGATATATATTTATAAATACGGTAAAAATGTGGAGTTTTTGTCCAAATTTGTAAATTCGGTCAAGTCTTTCCATAGTCTATTCTCGCGGTTTTGGCGCGCAGTGTCACAGCGTCATCTCGCGTTCAACTCATACCGGTACTCGTCGTCGTCTGAATTTATACAACCTAAATTACTCCTCGAAGGCATTTTTCGAAAGTTAAATATTTTTTTAATATATAATATGATATACAAAACATCTATATCATACAGCGTGAAACTTAAATCGAAAATATCAAATCTACTCAAGCATCACCGAGACATGACATCACAATGAAATTATTCTGACCAGTCATGCAACAATACCTCTATCTCGTGTTAAAGTTAACCAGACCATATCCGCTTTTTGTAAATTGATTTTAGCTGTTTTGTGTCTAGAAGTTTAAATAAAAATCGTATATATTAAAATACATAATTTACTTCAACGAAATAGCGGGGAATTGTTGAATTCGCCAGCAAAGGCGAGTACCGTTACGGGGCCGGTAGTCTACTGTGTTCTCTCATAGTCTACTGTATTCTGTCAGTAGTCCCGCTATATATGCATTTTTTCTGTGTTGGTATGCTATTAAATGGAATATATTGTAATAAATACGTTAAAAATGTGGAGTTTTTGTCCAAATTTGTAAATTCGGTCAAGTCTTTCCGTAGTCTATTCTCGCGGCTTTGGCGCGCAGTGTCACAGCGTCATCTCGCGTTCAGTTCGTACCGGTACTTGTCGTCGTCTGAATTTATACAACCTAAATTACTCCTCGAAGGCATTTTTTTGAAGTTAAATATTTTTTTAGTATATAACATGATATACAAAACATCTATATCATACAGCGTGAAACTTAAATCAAAATTATCAAATCCCCTCAAGCATTACCGAGACATGAAATCACAATGAGATTGTTCTGACCAGTCATGCAACAATGACTCTATCTCGTGTTAAAGTTAACCAAAACATATCCCCTTATTTAATATTGTTTTTTGCTTTTTTATGTCTAGAAGTTTAATTAAAAATCGTATATATTAAAATACATAATTTACTTTAAAAGAAATAGCGGGGAATTGTTGAATTCGCCAGCAAAGGCGAGTGCCGTTACGGTGCCGGTAGTCTACTGTAATCTCTTATAGTCTACTGTATTCTGTCGGTAGTCCCGCTATATATGCATTTTTTCTGTCTTGGTATGCTAATAAATGGGATATATATTAATAAATACGGTAAAAATGTGGAGTTTTTGTCCAAATTTGTAAATTCGGTCAAGTCTTTCCGTAGTCTATTCTCGCGGTTTTGGCGCGCAGTGTCACAGCGTCATCTCGCGTTCAGTTCGTACCGGTACTTGTCGTCGTCTAAATTTATACAACCTGAATTACTCCTCGAAGGCATTTTTTGAAAGTTAAATATTTTTTTAAGATATAATATGATGTACAAAACATCTATATCATACAGCGTGAAACTTAGATCAAAATTATCAAATCCCCTCAAGCATTACCGAGACATGACATCACAATGAGATTGTTCTGACCAGTCATGCAACAATGACTCTATTTCGTGTTAAAGTTAACCAGAACATATCCCCTTATTCTATATTGTTTTATTCTTTTTTATGTCTAGAAGTTTAATTAAAAATCGTATATATTAAAATACATAATTTACTTTAACGAAATAGCGGGGAATTGTTGAATTCGCCAGCAAAGGCGAGTGCCGGTACGGTACCGGTAGTCTACTGTATTTTATCGGTGAACCGGCATATATGCATTTTTTTCTGTGTTAGTCTGGTATTAAGTTTGATATTAATTAATGAAAACGGTAAAAAAGTAGAGTTTTTTGTCCAAATTTGTAAATTCGTTAAAGTCTTATCGTAGTCTACATCGTGGTTTTGGCGCGCAGTGTCACAGCGTCATCTCGCGTTCAATTCGTACCGGTACTCGTGCCTCGTAGTCGTCTGAATTGATATAACCTAAATCATTCCTTGAAGGCATTTTTCGAAAGTTAAAAATATTTTTTAGTATATAATATGATATACAAAACATTTATATCATACAGCAAGAAACTTTAAATCAAAATTATCAAGCCCACACAAGCATCACCGAGACATGACATCACAATGAGAATGTTCTGACCAGTCATGCAACAATGATTTTATCTCGTGTTAAAGTTAACCAGACCATATCTGCTTATTGTGATTTGATTTTTACCGTTTTATATTTAGACATTTAATTAAAAATTGTATATAATAAAATACATTATTTACTTTAAAAGAAATAACGGGATATTGTTGAATTGGCCAGCAAAGGCGAGTGCCGGTACAGTACCGGTAGTCTACTGTATTCTCTTGTAATCTACTGTATTCTGTTGGTGATTTCGGCATATATGCAATTTTTCTGTGTTAGTATGATATCAATTAATGAATACGATGAAAAAGTAGAGTTTTTTATCCAAATTTGTAAATTCGTTAAAGTCTCATCGTAGTCTATATATCATGGATTTGGCGCGCAGTGTCACAGCGTCATCTCGCGTTCTCGCGACTCATTTTTCGACACAGCGCCAACTTAATTATACAACATTGTTACGTAAAAGCATTTATATATACTAGTGGATAATTGAAGAAATAAATTAGTTTTATAATCAAAGATAAGACAGGTATATTGTTTTTGCATTAATACCTTAACAAGTTAAGTCATCAATGGTTTTTGTTCGCCTGCCCTAAACTCTCGATACGGAACCACGAAATCGATATTACACGTAAATGCACGCTTGGGTAATCATCGTGGGAAAATTTAGCTTCCACTTCCTTTTCGTGTCGTGACGTCGGAAATTTGACGTTTTGAACGGTGAATGCGTGGAACTTGCCGGCTGGTATTTGTGTTTGTTTTCTGATATTTTTGAACTCACTGGGAAATTGTCACACTCATAAAAGGTATGTTTTGCATGGTTTTGTATTATTCATATAGATTTCTTAAGTATCGAAAGGAGCTCAAGAGTTATTGATATATTTATTTTGTTTTTGTCAATAATTTTTCGTAAATTATGCTGATTATGGAGTCGAAATAAACTTATAGACTACTTATATTGTGAAATTTCGATGAAATTAGATTTTTTTATGTAGAAAGTGAGCTTATATCTGTATAAATTGACTGAAATAAGTATTAAACCTCTGTAATAAACAGCTAAATATGTTTTTGGAGCGCCACAGGAGTACGGTAACCCCCTGCTCATTTATAAAAATACCTTGTTTCACTTTCAATGTGTCCTATCGGTCCTGCATTTTGAAACATGTTTTGTGTTTCATAATTATCCACTGAATTAAAAGCACTTCAATCTGCGAATGCTGGAATGAAAGCGAAATAAAAACAGCATATCGATCAAATATTTCAACATATCCTATTTCAGCATTTACTTTAGTTCAAATTAATGCATTCATCACAAAATGATACCTAGAGAAGGCAATTGAAAATATATATGATGATATTATATTGGGACCTTCTGAAGTATGCGCACCAAGATGGTGCACAACCTGAACTTGGGTTGCGTATCAGGTTACTGGGTTAGGGTTCAGGTTATTCGACACCTTGGTGCGCATACTTCAGGAGTACCTTATATTGATTTGCTAAAAGTTTTAAGCAAAAAGTAAAACATCGTCAGCATTTAGACTATAACTGCAGAACTGCGCCATTTTGGACAGTAGCCCTGTGTTCTAAACTGTGTTTATTATATTAATTTCAGATGAAGTTGTTTATTAGTCTCGCTCTTCTTTGCTTTGTAACCTTCGTACATGGAGATGACGTTGGACCAGCGAAATTAATCGTTGTCAAAGATGTCACGAACGATGTAATTGCTCAAGGAATGGATTTGACAATAAAATATCAGATCTTAAATATTGGAGAAAGGTAGTAACTATTATGTGACCTCTTCATGTACTCTCATTATTTTCAGCCCATGTCATGACTATTTATTCATCTCTGACTGTTCTGTTGAATATTTCAAAATTGACTTTGCCTTTATTGTATATCACTAGGCTTTTCAATACACAGGTTCTCATTGCTATGTATTTTCTCATTTTTATTGTGCAGCGGCGATAAAAACTCCATGATCCTTGGCATTTTCACAAGTAAAAAAATAGTCTTAATTTAAATTAGACATTAATGTAGCTTTTTCCTCTGAATACACTGTAGAGCAGTGGTTAGGGCTGTCCAAGCGAACCAAATATTCGAAATCGAATCGAATCGCAAATTATTCGAATCGTTTTTCGGCTTATTTTCGAATCGCTAAAATTAGGTACCAGTACATAAAGCGGAAACCACCTTTACCGGATGTTTTTCATCGGGGCAAGCGGAGGCGCTCCGAGCTCAGACCACTCTCGCTCCCGGCTTGCCTAATTGGTTTCCCGATATTTCTCTCGCCTTCATTTTGTGATAAACATGTCATTACTAATGCCCGCCCGGTGACACTTGATTAGCCATTTCATGCGTGGTCATCACAACAAAGTATAATCGATCGTGACGTTTTTGAGAGAGAACAAGGAGAAAAAGGAGACAATTTAGAAAAGGATAGTTCTATAAATAGAATCGATTTGAAGCTGTTGAGTTAGTTATCATAGGAACATGGTACAGGCAACTCAAAGCTGAAACGGGTGTTTTGGGATCCTTATGATGGCAATACCTTCTTTAAATGGAATTTGTAATTTCTTATGATGGCATTACTGTATTATCCATCTATATACTAGGGCTGTCCAAGCGAACCAAATATTCGAAATCGAATCGCAAATTATTCGAATCGTTTTTCGGCTAATTTTCGAATCGCTAAAATTAGGTACGGGTACATAAAGCGGAAACCACCTTTACGGGATGTTTTTCATCCGGGCAAAAACTGACACAAATTTCATTGTTTTTTCAGTGCTGCTACTGATGTAGAGCTTGCCGACTCAACGTTCCCAGAGATTGATTTTGAGCTTGTTGCAGGAATGTTCAACGTAAAATGGCCCAAGATTGCTCCAAGCACCAACGTATCGCACGCTGTTGTTGTGAAACCACTGAGGAGCGGAGATTTTAATTTCACTTCGGCTGTTGTTCAGTACGTTGCTACTGAAGGAGAAGAACCTACTGTGAGTTAAAATATTTTTTGAGGGAATTTGCTCAAAGCTTAGTGCACTCGCTCAGAAGTCAAGGAGACTCATCTCTGAGCAAAGTTACACACACTCACTCAGAAGTAAAGGAGACTCATTTCTGAGCAAAGTTACACACACTCACTCAGAAGTAAAGGAGACTCATTTCTGAGCAAAGTTACACACACTCACTCAGAAGTAAAGGAGATTCATCTCTGAGCAAAGTTACACACACTCACTTAGAAGTAAAGGAGGCTCATCTCTGAGCAAAGTTACACACACTCACTCAGAAGTAATGGAGACTCCTCTCTGAGCAGAGTTACACACACTCACTCAGAAGTAATGGGGACTCATCTCTGAGCAAAGTTATGCATACTAACTTAGAAGTAAAGAAGGCTCATCTCTGAGCAAAGTTACACACACTCACTCAGAAGTAATGGAGACTCATTTCTGAGCAAAGTTACACACACTCACTCAGAAGTAATGGAGACTCATCTCTGAGCAAAGTTACACACACTCACTCAGAAGTAATGGAGACTCATCTCTGAGCAAAGTTACACTCACTCAGAAGTAATGAAGACTCATCTCTGAGCAAATTACACACACTCACTCAGGAGTAATGGAGACTCATCTCTGAGCAAAGTTACACACACTCACTCAGAAATCAAGGAGGCTGATCTCTGAGCGAAGTCAAGAGTAGCCGACCACTGAAATACTAAGAGCCAGGGCCGTAGGCCGGCAGTTTTTAGGAGGGTGGAACGCTGTGAATATGCGGGTCAGGATCTGGTTACGCTCCTGCTACAAGCTGCTGGAATTATTTAGAAAAATAAGAGCGCACACTATCAGTAGGTGCTACTAGTTTACTCCAGAATATATTCATGCTACTTTATTGCCAATTCATCAGAATTATTAGATTAATAGTGATCTGTCCCGATATTCAAAAATTATCTTTAGTTATTTATCGTTCATTTTAATTTTCATTTTTCAGTTTGGTTTCAGCAGTGAGGTCGGGGAAGTCACAATCTTAACTGAGAAAGAATACCAGAGGATATTTGCAGATCATTTTGTAAGTTCATATTTGTTGCTCCAATCCTTCTATTTGATTTGAAGTTCTTCGTTTTTGTTTCCTTTAAACTACTGTCAGTACTTTTTATACTGTTGAGTAGAAATGTCTGACCTACAAATGATAACTCTTAGCGCATTACTGATTTCTTGCTTCCCTTCTCTACTTTCAGTTGAGTCAACTTAGCTATTCGTGGATAGTTCGCGTCAGGTTTCCCCAACTATGGGTCCCAACCCAGAACTGGGTCGCCTGAAAAATCTTATTGGGTCACTTGTTTTTTCATCAAAACTTTGAAATTATCGCTATCATTTGTTAGTAAAGCCTATTTTTTTTAATATTCAGTAATGAAGTGTTGCTAGTAAATGTATATGTGGGAGTTATCACAGTGTAATAACTTTAGCATCTATTTTGCTTATAGCGAAGTCGCTTTTTCAAAAACTCCTTCATGTCAAACCAACTCAGCTTTCTCAATTTCTGGATAAATGAATGTTATGTAAAAATGCTCGTTTTCATATTAGTTAGTATTTTAAATTTTTGGCAATAAAACCACTCCATGCCATTTAGTATTTTAGCATATTCTTGGGTCGTGGGACTTTTTTTAAAATTTGTGTCTTTTGAAAGAAGGTTGTGAAAAACTGCTTTACGTAACTTAATACTGAGAGATTTCTTCTGCAGTGCAAGTCCATGAATTGTAACATTTTAATTTGTTAAACAATTCTTGTTGGCTCCCTTCTCCCCGGGATAAGTATGAAATCTTTTTCTACTTTCTGAACATTCTTGGGATAAAATTTCATTATTTATGCGAGAAAAAAGAGCTGTTAAGACGAATTACCTCTCGTTCAGTAAGCAGTCCAGCCCAATTGTGGGATTTATTGACCAGTTAATTATTCGGTGCTCCCGAAGTATGCGAACCAAGATGGCGGACATCGGAACGTAACATGGGTAACAGGTTAGGGTTAGGCGATAGTTTTTTTCCCATTTTCCTTATTTTAGTCCTATTATCAGTTCGAAGACTAGCTAAGAGCCTCCCGTAGTATTTATACCTAAATTTATGGCCTAACCCTAACCTAGTACACATATTACATTCCGATGTCCGCCATCTTGGTTCGCATACTTCGGGAGCCCCAATTATTCTAACCTGAGCTTCCATAGCAGCAAGAGAAATATCCTACTTTGTTTAAAATTTAGTAAAATTTTATTTCACAACTGCGCATTCTCTAATTTACATAATTCTTTTTCAGATTGATTGGGCTTTATTCATGGTCTGGTGCATTCCATCGCTCTTCATGCCATACCTGATGTATTACAAAAGCAAAACAAAGTATGGTGTCAAAGCAAAAAGGAATTAGAAACTGATTTAGTGCAATTTTTTACATTGGAGAGATTTCCAGCCAAATATTCATCTGATTTGACATTTATCAAAGTTTAACAAATACTGATATAAGCTCTCAATTTTGGGGGTTTCCAGGTGGCCAAAGCACATTTGAATTTGTAAGATTTTCTGTTTCGATTATATAAAGTTGAAGTTTATTTAACGTTAAAGTTATGAGTTTGAGCAAACTTTTGAGTCTCTCATACCCAACATTACAACAACCCTTCTTTACATTTGCAGACAAACTTATTATTTTAAATTTTGAAATTATTAGAAGTGACCATTATATTATAATATTAAAATTATTTTAACTTTGAATTTCTGAAACTATCAGAGTGTGATACACTAATATTCATTCCAAATCCTTGATAATCATCGAATGTCTCTACATTTAGAGACAAATTCATTATTATAACCACGAAGCCCTAATTGTGAAGCATTTCTGGTTCAAATTGTATACTGTATTTTGGCCAGAGGATGTACGAGTTATATTTTTGTTTGGTCTGTGTTCAAAATAGAATTTTTTGCCTCTGGATTGTATTGAAGCCTGCATTCTAATTTTCTTGCAATTATGAACTGTTTTTGGGTTGAAATTTGCACTTTGTCATCAAATATAATGAAGCGAAATATTTTTCTGAAATAAAGTTTCATGTGGTGCCATGGCTTGTTGTGATGGATGTATTTTTTAATGCCTGTTAGTGTTGTGGAAAATATTTACACAGAATTGGAGTTGTGTTATATCATAGTTTAAGAATTGAAATTTTGAACTTTATATTCTCTAACCCCAACTAATCCAGGCGGCTGAGATGGAACTCTGCAGCTGTGGTAATCGTAAATAGAGCTTTTCAAATAGTATATTATTCGAATCGGTTCGTATGAAATTTTCTAATTGCCGCCATCTTGATTTTTTGATGTACGATTCATTTCTCTCTTGTGAGATAGCTTTGAACAGACCGAGGTAAATTCAAATATTAATGTTTGGCACATTAGGATTTACGTATTTGTCCCGGGGGAGAGGAAAGCCGATAAGACGGCTTATCCATATGGCGTACCACGGCCTCTCGTCCGGTTACCATTCAAAGTCGGCTATGGGATTAGTTATATTGTTTGTTTTCGGAAGCATGGACTTGGTGGTAATGGAAACCGTAACCGACCAGCGGTTACGTGAACCACCCAACGACTGCGAGGAGCCCAGCAGTCCTCTTGCACATAACCATCCCTGCATGGGATTCGAACCCACGCAGAGTAATTAGGGGTGCGGTGGCGAGAGTATTCCTAACGCTTAGCCCGTTGAGCCACACCGCCGCGTCACATAGTACTATAGAATTCAGGTGTGGGTAAGGTTTTTGAACCAGGGGCCAAAAAATTTGCACATCTCGACTGGCGGGCCATGTAAGTGTGACATAAAAAGTTACATTTTTTGAGAAATATTTACAGTGTTGTAAAAGTAGAAAACAATAAGCCCTGTGCCAAAACTAAATTTAATCGCAATCTCAGCAAATTTCTCTTTTAGCTAAAACATCAAAGTTTGGTTGTGGCAGAATCAGGCAGGGATAGATTGAATTACACAACTAGTCGGATTTGGCTCGCGGGCCGCAGTTTGCCCTTGCCAGATATAGATGCACCAGCTGGTTTCCAAAGTTGGTTTTGGTGAATGTGTTCAATCTTTTAACTACGTGCTCATTATCCGTTCGTTTCTAAGTTTAAATGCCTGATTGTGAATTGACAATTAGAAACTGACAATCGATGTTTACTATTTCTGTGGACGTTACAGTCGATTTTTTGACAATCTTTTTCCAAAACGGAGGAATCATTTATCGAGAAAATCTTTTGCGCGAATAATTATATGGACACATTGGTAAAATAGTATTCGAAAGGTTATCCTTATACACAACTTCAGCCAAATTTCTAAGATAAGAATGAAGAGTAAGATTCTTGAACAAAATGATGCTTCGTGGGGAATATTTTCACGCAAATCACATTCTTCACCAAAAAGATGTCAAGGCCGCTCATGCATTATCCTTAACAAAGTTATTCGTCGATATAAGATTGGATTTTCATCATCAAATAATCTAATATAATTAGTAAAAAATCCTAAATTTAAAGTTAAATAAGTTTAAAAACATATCAGTGTCTCGAATGACGTCAGTGCAAATCCTTCACGCATCGATGACTCTTGTTTTTTCTTTATATTGTTTATCGACCTGAGCGGACATTCTCGTTACTGAATGAGTCATATCAGTCTCTGTGGGTTCGTGTTTTTTGTGTATATTTGTCGATATTTTAACACAAATCTGGAATAAATCGGGAAAATAAGACGAATTCATGGCGCATGATATCAAAAGGTGAGAAATATTATTCTTTGATTCATTTTTCGGGCCTGAAATCGAATTGAATTTCAGAATTGTTTTAAATTGAAGGAAAATCAGTAACTAAAGTTGTCTGTAATCACTAAAAAGGCAAAAAAATGAAATCTTTTTGTAAAACTGTCAGCTTTAATTGACTGCGAAACTTTACTTCAAAAAATCATTCTGTGTTATTGTTTATGGGCTTAAAAATTCAGATTTATTCAGTTTCATAGTTTTTTCGAGTCTAGCGAAGTAAACGTCGAAACTACTTAAATTAACACAAACAAAAGCTGAAAAGTCTGATTTGAACTAAGGGCCGAAACTGTTTGAATACCGAAATAACTTAAACACAAAAATGTCATGTGAAATTTTTATGTTTTATGAAAAAAGGTATCGGTATGTTTGTCGAGAAATGAAATTCTCGACAGACGAGTTTAGTTAAATCAAATTCGATTTCCAACTAAGCAGGTCATGCCAAATAGAGTACAAATAGCGTTCCGCGCAAGAGAGAGACTTATTTTAAACATATTAAAGTTTGGGCTCTATTTTCTCATCCCATTTTTGTTTGGTGTCATTTAATCACCCTCTCACTTCGCTGGGCGGTTTTTTTTCAATTGCTGACTATTTTTAATACATTTAATTTTTTACCTGAATTATAACACTGATTTCAGCTTCTCTTCATATCTGTACAAAAATTGTAAATCAGAGCTGTACAATAAAATATAACAAAAACTGCTTAACGATTGAATTCCTCAGTAAAAATAGTCTGATTCACCAAAATAATTTATTGCAACATTTAAGAATATTCAGATAGAAAAATCTAAAAATTTTGCACATAATGACTGATGCACATTGCGATTAATTTATATTAATATGCCGACAAATGTCGTCCATTCCAACATGGCACTATTGAATACCTGTGTTATTTTTTAATCTTTTTTTTTTTATTGTAGAGTTCAGAAAAGTGCTGACATTTACAAAGGTCCTCGTACTGTGCTTATCAAGAAAACTGACACTGGATTTGGATTCAATGTCAGAGGACAAGTCAGTGAAGGAGGTTTGTATTCCTGTATTCATTTATGTAGAATAGAGGAAATGTTACATCAGACTATAAATCTGACATGGGCAAACCACGGCCCGCGGGCCAAATTCAGCCCATTGGGTAATTCAAACTGGCCCGCCTCAAGTGCAGTTTTAAGTATTCTGTGGCGTCTGCAGCTGCCGCAAAACCATGGCGGTATTTCCATACCATGGCCACTACGGCCAAAACTATGGCGACTGACTTTTTAGCTGCCACAAACCAATGTCGAGCTGCCGTTACCGCGGCCGCAAATTGAAAACCAATGGCAGGTAAAATTTTGCTGCCGTAACCGCGGCAGGTGGGCCGTAAAGATAGGGCTTTCCCTTAAGGTGACAAATATTGGATAAGTTGGAACGTTTTTCTTATGGATACAGTTTTGATGGAATTGGGGTTAGGGTTGAGGTTTAAGTAGATATAATTCCACATGATCAATTAAAATCTGGTACATTCATTTGTGAATATACCGTTAATACTGATTACTGAATATTGAATAGCGCTATAAAACCATGGCAAGAGCTGCCGCGGTTCGTTCGTGGCAGGAGCTGCCATGAAGTGGTAAGAACTGCGCCTCCCGCCTGATGCTGCCACAATTAAACTGAAATCAAAATTTTGATGTTTCAGCTAAACTAGATCAAGGAATTTGTTGAGATTGCGATTAAATTTAGTTTCGTTTTTTCCACTTTCGCTTTTGTAACCGTGTCAATTTGTCCATAATGTAATAATTTACAACACACTTACATGCAAGTGCTTTTTCAAGTATTCTGTGGCGTCTGCAGCTGCCGCAAAACCATGGCGGTATTTCCATACCATGGTAGCTACGGCCAAACCTATGGCAACTGACTTTTTAGCTGCCACAAACCAATGACGAGCTGCCGTTACCGCGGCATCAAATTGAAAACCTATGGCTTTGCTGGTTACGGCAGGGGGGCCGTAAAGACAGGGCTGTCACTTATGGTGACAAATATTGGGTAAATTGGAACGTTTTTCTTATGAATACAGTTTTGATGGATTTAGGGCTGGGGTTAGGGTTTAAGTAGATATAACTCCACATGATCGATTAAAATCTGGTACATTCATTTGTGAATATACCGTTAATACTGATTACTGAATATTGAATAGCGCTATAAAACCATGGCAAGAGCTGCCGCGGTTCGTTCATGGCAGGAGCTGCCATGAATTGGTAAGAAGTGCGCCTCCTTACATGGCCCACCAGTCTAGATGGGCAAAATTTTTGGCCCCTCATACAAAAACCTTGCCCACCCCTGCTCTAACAATAAGCCATTCAAATCACAATCAAATTCTCGACTTCTGGTTGATGAAAATTTTGACAACGTTATGGCTGACTCAAAAGTTTGATCCTCAAACTCGAAAAATGAAATATTGACAATAAAAACTTTGGTATATCCAAGTTAACATATTGCTTTATGATTGTCAAAAGTTTTGACCGAGTATGATCATATCTGGCTCTGAGGGAATAAAAATTCCTTCTTTATTTTCTGATTTACCTCTGAGGCATTGAAAATACATTCATTCCCAGCTTTGATTTGAATACCGATATGCCAAACTGTAACTATGAGTTATGGAATTTTGGAATTGTGGTCTGGTTGGTAAAGTTAAATAAAGTTCACATTTCTAAGGTTGGACCTTGGTCAGGCGAAACGTTACAGAAATATATTTGTGTTAGTGTGAAACAAGACTCTTGAATCACTTAGGATAGTTATCTTTACTCTTGCTACAGCATCCTTGCAATATATGCATACGGATCCATCGACACAAAAACATAGAAGGACAAGAGAGCTATGCTCAAATATATGGACACGTAGCGCCACCCAATGGCAATAATTTTGATGACGTCATAGCGAAAAAAAAAGTAATAGCCTTCTGGAGAAAAATTTTATCTTCAACCACTGAAAATTTCAAAGCAATTGGTCCAGTATTCGAAGAGAAAAGCGATTTTTTAAAAATGGAGACGGAGACAAATAACAATAAAATTTTGAAACGATCGTTATGTCCACTTCGTGTCCAATAAGTAGTTAGTACCGTAGAAATCCAATCAATAACAAAATTTCATATTTACTTGAAAGATAATAGATGGCACAGAGTTGTGGTTTCAATAACCGAAGTCAAACTTTGACAGGAATCATACTGTGCTGTATTCATGGACTTGGACTGGCAACAAGACTAATATATGCAATTGTTGTTTAGGTCAACTAAAAAGCATCAATGGAGTCCTCTACGCTCCCCTGCAACATGTCAGTGCAATATTAGAAGATGGAGCGGCAGAGACGGCAGGAGTTCGTCCAGGAGACAGAATACTAGAAGTGTGAGTATAAAAGTGATGATTTTATAACACTGAGTTTGCTTAAGGTGTCATTTCATTTGCATTACTCAATGAACATATATTTATGATTGCAGTACCGTCATTGAGTGATGATGTAGGTAAATTGTAAAAGGAATTGCCTTTGGACTGCAGATACCGAGCTAATAGTTGGTAGTTATAATTTTGAGCGATCCTGATTGACAAAAACCTTTTTTTATACTGGATATTCCACTGCCGAAACCAACTTCAAATGCTACATTTATAATAGCTTAATTTTAAGTTGATTTTTTTTTAAATTGTCCTTTTGCTATATTTGCTGCTTAAAGTCTTTCGCGATCCCTCAGTAATTGCTAGATTCAATGTTTTCTGTTTCTTTGTTATTTTTATTGTTTTACAACGAATATCTGATTCAATTTATAATAAATCTTTTATTATCTTAACTAAAATCTGCTTCATTTAGATCAACTTTAGGATACTCCCGTAGTATGTGTACCAGGTTAGGGTTAGGCAATAATTTTATTACGATTTTTCTTACTTTAGTTCTATTACGAGTTCGGGGACTGTCTGTGTTAGACGAGTGATAATCCCCTGCCCATAGGTTCCAGTACCTTTACACAACTTGATGTAAAATACCGTATTTGCTCGCTTTATAGCCCGGGCCCATATTTTTTTCAACCAACTCACTAACCGGGCCCTTATTCAAATCGCCCTTATTCAAGCACGGGCGCTTGTTATTTTCGATCGTTACAAAAATTAATATATTGTTATTTCCAGTTCTCAAGTAGGCCTATGATTTAAACAAGAATAACGAAAATTTTGACTTTTTCTACGCACCGCAGGTACAAATCTGCAAAATAAGAAAAGTTTTGCGACGCCCTATCAATATTGAAACGTCGCACTTGGGCGTCGCGACGCCCAGTTTGAGAACCATGGTGTTACGTAATCAATGCTATCTGTTATGTACTAGGACGTCTAAGGCGTGAGTGTTATCTACCGGCACTTAAAATTCAACAGCGTTGTGACAGAAGCGCTTCTTATTTCCTATTGTTCTCTACCACTGAAAAATCAGCTTTTACACAGGGCGGGTATTCAAGCACCGGCCCTATTTATTTTTACGTTCTGTTCACACAGGCGGCTATTCAAACGGGCCCTTAATCAAGATCGGGTGGTAAAACGAGCATATACGGTAGGCGAACAAAATTAGTTACCTCGATACTGGTAAACACACTTCTGGAGCGCCCAACTTTTAACTATTTGATATTGTAAAATACAGGAATGAGGAAAATGTGGAAGGTGCAACTCATCGACAAGTTGTTGATCTAATAAAAGCAGGAGGAGATGAATTAAAGTTGACTGTGATATCTGTTCCGGCTAAAGATGCTCACAGGTCAGTTAATCGTTTGCAGAAATAAATTACCGTATTTCTCCGTGTATAATACGCACTTTTATGGTCATATTCAGTCTCACAAATATGGGGGTGCGTATTATACATTGGTTTAAAAAATAAAAAAAAATTTTAATTCTCATTTTATGCTTTACCTGGCTAATAATTGTCACATTTATTAATCTTAAGTTCTTAACTTTATGTGGCAAAGTCTGTTAGAATCAGATCATGCTTGATTCGGTAGAAGCATACCCATTGATGAAGGCGCAAAAAAATGGTTCAAACACGATGTACATCCGTTAACTGCTGTCATTGTCTGGTCTGTTTCTCCCGTTTCGCCGAATGGGCAAAACTTTACCATAATAAATCACCATATTAGTCACTTAAGGCCTTCTCTTTGAAGTGGGCGACTGAAAACACGTTCTGATATCGAGCCTTGTCAGCTTGTAAAGGGGGAGGGGCAAATAACTATACAAGAAACTTAAGTTTCAAATTCCATCACATCATGATTGGCAGATGTTTCACAGGCAAATACATAAAACATATTACCATATATATGGTTAACAAAAGACAAGCAGACAGAATGCCTCAAACGTCCGGAAAAAAACACCTACAAGGCAAGAGAGAACGGAATTTTGATATGCGTATTATGCATGGAGTTTGAAAAAATCTTGTTAAAAATGTACTAAATCAGGGGTGCGTATCATCTATGGGTGCTTACTATACGTGGAGAAATATGGTAATTAATAGGTAAATATGTGGCCACTTAGACCAATGGTTTTCGACCTTTCGTGGTCCATTTTTTTTGCACAAAGCTGCTGGGAAAAACAAAAACTTCTTCTCTCAAAGATCGGCACTTTTAATAATTGAAATGAAAATTACCATTAAGTAGCAAAAACAGCATTATCATTCATTTCTGATACAATAAAATTCAACTTATTACTTATCGATTTTAATCGGTAAGTATGTTGATAGGGATTTGTCTGTCTGTCTGTTAGATGCACGCGATATCTCACGAAAGCGAGATTGAATTTGCTCCAGATTTTGCATGTGCATTCATCATATGTCGGACCAGAAGCTTATTGATTTTGGATTAAATATGTCGTATAATTAGCCAGTTATTAATTAATTAGTAATTAGACACAAGGTGTCACTATGGAGTAAGAGTGCTGTTTTGGGGGATCCCCTAACTTTCGATTGATAAGTCTTCGGTCTCTGACCGATATTCTCGTTTGACTATTAATTCTAATTCTAGCAATGTTTAATAGGTTTGCGGCCCAACTGAAAATGTTTTTCTTGCCCACTTGTTGAGAACTCGTGACTCAGACACTTCTTTCGCTCAAACTGATATTCAAGCATGGTTGTAAACATTGCCTCATTTCGTAGTTATGCGTATTATCTGTTAGTCTTCGTTTGTGTTTCCAAAAATTAGTTGTGAATCAAATAACTCAAGTGTCATGATCATGATATCTTCCAGGAAGCTTTAGTTTAGCTGCAATAATCAAGAATTAGTATCAAAAAAGCTGCGATAGACTGGGCTAACGAGGTTGAATATTTTTAACAAAAATAATGGTACCGAACGTATAAAACTGTTTATAAGCACTCCCCAAAACATTATTAAAATAAGCATCAAAATTTTGCAAAAGTAAAGTTTAGGGAAAAATTTTCTGGGGTCAAGGGTCAGGGAAATATCCATTTAATACAGAAATTCATGAACACTATGTATTATTTATTATACAGGTAATACCCAATTATCACACATAGACGAACCATGCAGCCGGCGCCTCATATTGATTTCTATTATTGATTCAAACATTTTTGAAGTCTCAATGACTCAATGTTATTAGGTTTAGTGAGAGTGTTTATTTTAAATTATGACTATTGATAATGTTTAAATGTATTCAAGGATGGCCATAACTGAATTTATAAATGAAACTAAGTGAATTTATGTTTTCACGTAACTAATATTTTCTAAATTGCGTTGTTTTTATCAATTAATTTGTTGAAGTAAATCTTTATGTAAAGAGTTTGGATATTTGAAAAAATAAAATAGGAAATTTATTTAACACTTCAAGTTGAACATCTATTTATGTATAATTGTTCCTGAAAGTTTCAGAAATCCAGAACAAAAGTTATTTCTCTCTATAACAGACATGGGCAAAGTACGGCCCGTGGGCCAAATCCGTCTGATTGGGTAATTCAATCTGGCCCGCCTGATGATGCCACAACCAAACTAAAACCAAGTTTTGATTATTTCAGCTAAAATAGCTCAAGGAATTTGTTGAGATTGCGGTTATATTTAGTTTTGGGGTGAAACGTATTGTTTTCCACCTTTGCTTTGTAATACTGTAAATATTGTTCATAAAATGTAACTTTTTACGTCACACTTTCATGGCCCGCCAGTCTAAATGGGCAAAATTTTTGGTCCCTGGTTTAAAAACCATGCCCACCCCTGCTATATAAGTTACATTCGCTTTGTTTTTTAAATTCAATAACATTGTTATGTCACAGACTCGATCCAGAAGATGAATTCTTCTACGACTACACTGATGTTATCACGATCAGACTTGATCTTCCGAGCTTCGAGCATGTGGAGGAGAACGGAATGAAATACGTGGTAAGTCGGTAGAAAATTTTGCGCTCCAGAAGTATGTGTACCAATATGGGGGTAGCTAATTTTGTTGGCCTACTTTACATCAAGTAGTGTAAAGGGACTGAAACCTATGGGCAAGGAGTATGTTCACTCGGCTAACACAGACAGTCCCCGAACTCGTAATAGAACTAAAATAAGAAAAAATCGGAATAAAATAATGGCCTAACCCTAACCTGGTACACATACTACGGGAATTTCTAAAATTTTAACTTTCTGAATATTCAAACTTGACCATATTTCTCCATGTATAATATGCACTTTCAAGGTCAAATCTTGTCTTCAGAATAAGGTTTGCGTATTATGCATTGAAGGCAGTAACTTGAACGTAGTTTTTTAGCACCCTAAAACGCTTATTGCGAAATGCTCAGTCAGTGGCGTCATAACCTATGTTTTGATTATTACTTTACAAATAAATCCATTCGCAGATACTGGGTTTTAGTTCATTGAAGTTAACAGCACACCAAAGCATTATACAATCATAATGAAAAATGTTAAAGCACCAACAAAACATGACTCAGATATAAAACCATGCCAAGTATGACTCAGCGGATAAATTACTGTTGCCAGTAAACAGATAAAGTTAAGGATAACAAAATATGCAATCCAATTTATATAAATTACCACAAGACACAAGTTTTATGTGGTGCACAATATTGAACCTAAACATTAACCAGCGCTTAGTGCAAATGAGTATTGCTTGCAATAATTACAATGCGCTCAACGGGTATGCGAAGGGGCTATACACATGGGATAGTTATTAAAGTGTTCACACACGAAGAAATAAGAGGGAAAATGATAAACGGCACAATGTTTTGTCACAGGTTACATTTCCATACTACAGAGTTTTCCGAATGGTTCGCAGTGGCAAAAATTAACAGAATTGTGTTAAACATTACTAAAATGATTGAATATTTTACACATTGTATTTACTATAAATGTTTTATTGTTTCTTACTTTCAATACTGTGTATATGAAGAGTTGAACTTTTTCCTTTATTCCTTAGGCCTACATGTCCACAAACTTTGATTGAAGGCATAGGGTACACATTAACGATCACAAAATTGAGTTTAGAAGCTGTAATTTTTTTGCGTAAGTGTGCCATGATTTTTTTCTCTTGATAATTTGGCGGCGCACGAACAAAATGTTTAGAGAACCGCTGCCATACTATATATAGGCTTGTAGCAAATACTTTTTATAATTTTGAGACAGGCACCGCCACAATGCCATGAAATTTCACCTTTGGATTTAGGTCTACGTAATCACTCTCTCAGAGAAAGTCGTAGCGAGACGTCGATACAGTGAGTTCTTGTCATTATACACCGAATTAGAAAAGATTTTCACTGATTTCCAATTTCCTAAGTTTCCTGGGAAATGGCCGTTCCAAATGTCAGATCAACAGTTGGAAAAACGAAGAATTTCTCTGCAGAATTTCATCAAAAATAGTAAGTAAAAAAATATGTGATCTTTTTTGCATCATTTGTAACGATGTATGTATCTGAATTTTTTGGTGTTTCAGGATTCTATCCTGCAATTAAAATAATTTTGATATTGATCAGGGGTACGCCGCAATAGGCAGCTCGCGAGCCCCGTCCCGCCAAGCCATTTGGTATGGGTATGGCCCTTGTTACCACTAAGATTATTCCCCATCAAGCATTAAATCTTAATTCGATAGCTTATGTTTAAAAAGACGCTTATTTGAGTAAAAATACATTATGATTTTTGCTCTTGTTACTGCGTTTAATCTTTCGCCGTTTTGTCCTGTGCTTTTTTTCTGTAAAGCTAAGTGATAGCTTTTACATTGCGAGAGTTTTTTAATTCAGTGCATTTTTTTTCTGTGGCCCTGCTAGATGTCTGAAGTTGGCCCATCGACGAAAAACGTTGCACACCCCTGCTTTAGATTGGTCAATTTTGATTAATATTAATTTAAATTCATTGAAGATCCTATCTGTCTTGCCTAGATATCATTCAGTTTCCAATGTATTCATCGAATTTTTTAGCTTTCAACATCAGAGTGATCATGGAATGTGATTTAGTCCAAGATTTCCTGAATCTTAATTCAATAAATTTGGATTATGAGGCCGAGAAGTCGAAGAAATCTTCGAAATCAGCTGACGAACCAGAATTACATGAATATAACGCTGATGAAGAACTCGGATCAACGAAAGGTAGGTTTGACATTTTTCTTCATTTTGCAGAAGAAGTGGGCCGTTAGCTAGATTGTTGTCATGGTTGTGAAAAATCATTTTTCTTTTCAAATAATTGATTGATTTGAAATTTCCATTATTAAAGTTGTATGAAGCCACTTATTTATTTAGTTTATTTTTCAGATTTTCTTGTGCCCAACACAATTTCACCTAAATATTGTTACTTATCGATCTTAAGATCGGTAAGTATATTGATAGGTATTTGTCTGTATGTATGTCTGTCTGTCTGTGTGTCTGTAGATGAACGCGATATCTCGCGAGTGCATGTGCATTCATCTTATCTCGGACCAGAAACCTATTGATTTTGGGCGAAATATGTCGTATAATTAGCGAGTTATCAATCAATTATTGATATAGTGATCTAGATTTTTGTAAAGCGAGAGAATTTTGAGACCCGCCGAGTGTGTGTGTGCGATGCGCAGTGCGCAAGTTACAAGAGCGGATGAATCGAAACTGCAGTTTCTGTTTTGGGGGATCCCCTAACTATCGATCAATAAGTCTTCGGTTTCCAACCGATATTCTCGTTTTTATAGTCAGCAACTATAGTTTGATACTTCACTCAAATGTAATGTTGCTGACGTTGGTTACATTATTTATTCGATGTTTTTGCCCATATGTTTTAGTATTGCACTCTTGTTTTTTATTGGGAATTTTGAAAAATTTGCCCGGAACAGATGGACATGTGTTTTGCGTATCTTATATGTTTACTTAGCTATCATGAACTACTTATCTTGCTCAGAGTAAGCAGGTGAAAATATAATTAAAATATACTATTTTTTTTCAGTTTCACCTCAAAAAGCGGAAGTGGACACAAGGCAACTGAATGGTGGAGCCAAATCAAAATCCAATTCTACGGAAGAACAAAAACCCTCAGAAAAAGTCACTGAAACCAAAAAACCAGCCAAACCATCCATTCCAACGTTAAAACCGAACCAAATATCTATCTCATTGTTTGATAATAGTGACATCATAATGACTATTGAAAGACAGACAACAGCTAATGATGTACTTGAAGTAAGTTCTTTTTTTTAAATCCAAATTTTGTTCGTACTGACATGTTTCTCGGTACTCCCCTAGTATGTGTACCAGGTTAGGGTTAGGCTGTAATTTTATTTTGATTTTCTCCATTTTGGTTCTGTTATGAGTTCGGGGACTGTTTGTTTTAGCCAAGTGAATATACTGCCTGCCCATAGGTTTCAGTCACTTTACACAACTTGATGTAAAGTAGGCGAACAAAATTTTTACCTCCATATTGGTACACACACTTTTGGAGCGCCCTTTTTTCTACTTCATTTTTGGTGATTATTAAATCTCTAATAACTTCAATTTTGTTTCAGCATGTCTTTGACAAGTTGGGAATACCAGAAAACAAAAAAATATTTTTCGGCCTTTTTTGTCCGACAAGAGAAAATTTTTGTGAGTATAATACTATCTTAGTTGAAGATTATTTTCTTATACAAATATCTCAAATCATGTATGTTCGCTTTTTTAGTTGTGAAGCTGAGGACCGATGACCTTATAGTGCCAAAGTTGAAAGGTCGTAAGAAGCGGGAAGTAAAAATCAGGAAGTGGTTATTTTCACGAAATCAAGAAAGTGATGTTTTATCTGGAGATTCAAAAATTTCAGAATATGTTTATCAGCAAGTAAGTTGATACCATGAATAATTTAATATTCCGAATACATACCAAGAAAATATTTTTAAATTTTAAATATTAAATACATTCTAAATTTGGGGCAAGTTTATGTGGGAGATTACATGAATCATTATATCTTCATGTTGATCACATTTAAAGCGAAACAAACAATATCGAACTACATCGAATACAATGAATTTGGAGCCTGTTTGAACATTCGATTTTGCAATTTTTTATATTTTAGTTTTAGCTCTGAAACTTTAAGCCCCCTCGAGTTATAGAACCTCCTTACATCAGTGACTACTTGACCAGAACCCGGTTCACAGTGAAAGTATGGAAACATTCCTTATATCAGCTGTTTTCAACCTTTTATGGCTCGCGTCCAACTTACGGAGACTTTCAGCACTCATGGCCCTTGTTTATCATACCAGTTATATTTATAGTGTTATTTCGGTTAATAGATTCCGAATTTCAATAGGTTTAAACAATCCATGCTCACCAATGTGAAAGCACCATGTCAAATCAACGATGGGTTTTCTTGTCGATTGAAAAGCAAAATCTGTTTTTGGCCAAGCATTGCACCCCCCTTCCAACTGCTCTTGGGCGAAGGCACCCCAATTGAGAACTGCTTGCCTCATATATAGATGTGTTCTTTCTTCATTTAAATTTTTTGTACTTAAATAAATTGAATGCATTTTGTCACTGCCAACATTGGACTAAATGAGAGCCCTCTGATCAGAATTTCTTTTTTTGGACAAATTTGAAAATCCGATCGAAGTTTTGAGTAAAAAATTGTGCGTTAATAATTTCACTTTACAGGCAATTGAAGATGTCAAGCAAGGCCACATAAAAACAACAGGACGAACCCTCGCTCAGTTGAAGATGTTGGCGTCACAGAACAAAACTAGTGATGTAAGTATGTTTCCTATTTTATGAAGGTTTTGCGGCTTTACTCTTTAAGTAAACGCTGATATCACTCAGTAAAAGCAAATTAGCTTATGTCACATTTGAGGTTTTCTGTCACATTTCTGTCCTAGGGTGTTCTCCTGGTCCATAATGACAAAAAGTTTTGAAAAATGTGACATAAAACACACCATAAAATCAAAACTAAACAGGTTCAAGTTGGAGAAACCCAGAAAAAAGGGGGTCACTGGTTTCTATTGACAGAAGATCCAAAAAGTCATTTCCTGAAAAATGTAACATGACCTGCTTTGGTTATACTGTACCATTATGTAATCGATTCAAATTGATTTATCATATTATAAATCTGAGATATAGTGGTCGTTTATACAGAGCCATTTTAAAGGTAATTGTGTCCAAACGTCTCATAGAAATTCAATTTATTAATCTTTTTTATTCCAGTACATGGAGATGGTGTCACAGGCGAATGATTATAACCATGTGACGTTTCCGCACTGTCCGTGTGACTCTCGAAAGAAAGGTCACGTTATCGTCGTGGCTTCGTACGAGACTTTCAAATTGTACGCCTGCTCTGAAGAAGGAGAACTTGAGGTTTGTGGTAATTTTTTGTTGTGGGGGAGAGGAAAGCTGATAAAAGTGATATTTATAAGAATAGCTGTGTAGGCGTAATAATTCATATTCGATTTCAAACTTTGAGCCTTCAGAAAATGTTGTCGACTTTACTTGATGAATATTTTGGCCCTGACTTCACGACTTGTTGACTAATTTGACTTCTTTAGTAAATCAAATTATAATAACAAATATTTGAGCATATGAAAGCCGTGTTTAATTTTAATTCGGGAATGGTCAACTTTATACTTTTGGAATTACCATCTGAATTATCATCATAAGAAGTCAGACTTGAGAGAATTTGAATCCTGGGATTGCGAAAATAAGGCTTCACATATGTTTCCATACACAAGTGGGCTAGTTCCGGCCCATCTATGTGTTTCATTTGGCCCACTTGTGCCTGCTGCTTATGTCATAATAGATGTTTGTTGTACATTAGCTTCTAGTTTTTTGCAAATAAATGTTAGTTTATAATTCATATTGGGATCTCGGCCCAGTAAAAATATTGATGAAAATCATGTCATAATGACTCTGTTACATTGTGCTTTTTATTATTATATAAACATTGGCCTAGGTCAGGGTGGTCCAAACCCAGGCCCGCGGGCCACATGTGGCCCGCCGCTTCGTTATCTGTGGCCCGCGTCGCATTCGGCGAGGAATCAAAAAATCACATTTTGTGTTGTTTCTTCATAAAATTAACCAAAAAATCTTTTGACATATTGTTGCATCACTAATGTCACTGTATTGACTAGTGTTATGGCTTGCTGAGGCAACTAGCAAAGTTAAACGAGCGAAGTTCTTGGCACTATTGTGGCCCGCGAACAATGCAAAAGGTAATTTTGTGGCCCACGGAGCTGCCAATCTTGGACCACCCTGGCCTAGCTGTTGTATTCATAGTTTTTCATATTTAGTTCTGAACCTCTGGCCCAGTAACCAAGTCTATTATCTGTGAGTGGCCCATTTAGAAAAGTAATTAATTGCCCTGCTTTAGTCCCCTGCTTTGGATAAGCCTAGTAACGACTAGGGCTGGGTATTTCGAATCGAAAATTCTAATCGATATGAAATTATTCGAATCTGTTTAGAGCAAAATTTCCAATCGCCGCCATCTTTTTTTTTTTTCTTTCCAACAATGGTCGAGGTAAATTTCTCATTTTTTTCATTGAAGCCATATTTTTTCAATGCAATTATGACATGACTCTTTTCTGTAGTGAGTTATCGATAAAACGTGTTTTTTATTGTGTGTGAACGCTCAGCAATCTGTCTGAGTGATGTATTCTATGTTTTCAGTAAGGACATAATACAATAAAAAAAGTTACATACAATTTTTTATCTGCACAAAGTATTCGAGATTTGATTCGATTCGAAAAAATTATTCGATTCGATTCTGAAATCATCAAGTATTCGAAAATACTTAGTAACAACCCTAGTAACGACCATCCACTAACACATGAAAATGTTCAGAATCAAGTAATCCAGTTTTCGTGGGATGAGATGAAAGAGTGGGAGACCGAGGAGGAGGAGGAGAGTGAGAATCGAGCATTCTGTTTCCAATATCAACGCGGAGAGAAAAAACCAAGATGGGTCAAAGTGTTTTCAGAATATGTGAGTTCTTATTTTTTGTGTGTTGGGCGTCGTAATTCATCATTTATTTTTGAAAATTTCTATTTTATACCATCACTCTGATCAAGGTCGTTTTCAGGGTCAAGGTCGTTGAAATTCAAAATTTTGATTTTTAAAGTTTTTTTAAGATTTTGCTGCAAAATGAGTCTATTTCAAGGGGTAGGCAAATCACAGCCGGCTTGCCGATATGTTTCATCCGAACCATTTGTGTCTGCTAAGTTACAAATAGTTTTTATGGATACACATTCCCGTTGAAATTATTGATAAAATAACGTCATAATGACCTCGATTGTTACATTTTGCTTCTTATTATTATATAAACGTTAGCCTAGCTGTTGTAAATAAACTGATTTTTATTTATAATTTTTCATATTGTGTTTTGAGCCTTTGAACCAGTCTATCATCAGTAACTAGCTCAATAGTAATTGCACACATCCGGTCTATTTAGAATCAACATAGATGCCTAAATTCTGGAAAAATATTCAGGTATTACACTGTAGTTTTTTTCAATTGAATTCTTCTTTCTACAGTGTGAATACATGAAAGATTGTTTTGAGAGAATTTTAGAAGAAAGAAAATGGAGCAAAGAGGCTGAGCAAGAGGGTGATGTATCAGAGGTATGACCTTATAGCTGACCTTGACATGATTTCTTGACCTTGACATGATTTATTGACCTAGGCGTGGTTTTTGACCGTGACATGATTTCTTGACTTAGGTTTGGTTCTTGACCTTGACAGGATTTCTTGACCTAGGCGTGGTTTTTGACCGTGACATGATTTCTTGACTTGGGTTTGGTTTTTGACCTTGACAGGATCTTTTGACCTTGACATGATTACTTGACCTTGTAGTCTGTGTTGACTGTTACATGGATGAGAGATTGTTCTGAAGTCAGTTATGAAATCACTTTGTCGACTGTCCTCCTATATAAACAGTAAACTGACTGATCTGGGCATTCCAGCACCCAGAAACTTGTCTGGGAAGTATGTTGATAGGTATTTGTCTGTCTGTTAGATACACGCAATATCTCACGAAAGCGAGGTTGAATCTGCTCCAAATTTTGCATGTGCATTCATCATAGTTCGGAACAGAAGCCTATTTATTTTAGATGAATTATGTCGTATAATTAGCAAGTTACTAATTAATTAGTGATGGGACACATGGTGTCACTATGGAGTAAGAGCGCTGTTTTGGGGATCCTCTAACCTCCGATCGATAAGTCTTCGGTCTCCGACCGATATTCCCGTTAGCCAGTTATTTGTTTTCGGAAGCATGGACTTAATGCACCGACTACAAGAGTTCTATAGCAGGAGTTCTATAGCAACAGAAAGATTTGATTCTGTTCCTTTTTTTCTGAAAGTATCCGATTCTTATCGTGAAATTGTGCTTATTTGTCCCTAATAAATAAAATTTGTGAAAATAGGATGTAATATTTTTGTAACATTCATTTATGTACTGCTCCGTCTTAATAATGTCTTATTTCACAGGGAAATACATTTTCGAAGCAACAAGTTTCCTCCGCAGAAGCAGAAGATAATTCTGATGATGACGATGGAGGACTGTAACTGTGGCTATCTTATGATGCCATAATAGCAATTATTGGCGACATCACAATGACTATATAAATATTTTATGATGTCACAAGTTTAATAGAAGATTGTCTTCAGCAAGCCCAATTTAAGAAAAATTAGATTTTTTATAAAAGTTTACTTTAACCGACAACAAACACGCATCAGAAAATTTATTAAAGCTATTCAAAAACAAGAAATTGATGCTCAAATATATGGACACGTAGTCCAAAGCGGAGTAGCACGATTATGCAATCTGTCACAGCAGACTGCCGGTACAGAAAAGCGGAACTGCTACAAGGCGCGCAATTTTTTATGACGTCATTGCACAAACAAATCCCATAAAGCTCACAAAAATTTTTGAAATAAATAAAAGTAATGGCCAGCACAAAGTACAATCCTTTGCCAGTGAAAATTTCAAAGCAATTGGTCCGGTAGTTATGAGAAAAGCGATGTTTTCACAACAATGAGAAGAAAAATATCAACAACAGTAATTTATGTTAAATTTTATGGAGTAAATTTTTGCAAATAATATAGTATTTCTGCTTTTTGTGTCAATTTAAATAATTTTGAATTGGATTAAATTTTAAAACGAATTTTTTTCCAAACGATTTCTCTAAAATTGTGTTTGCTGAGATAATCTTCTTCTCTTCACGTGCAATGATTTATTTTTTATTTTAATTCCCAATGTCATTGATTATTATTGCATCATAATCATCCTGTTGTGACATAACAATTAATATATATAAATGAACTTTCACATAATCTTGAGTAACCACACAATATATATATGACCCCATGAAAGCTCTATTCTATCCACTGAATCAAATAATGTATCAAATTTGAGAAGCCTGGTGCTTGGGAATAAAATTAGCAAGCGCCTGTGATGGAGGAACTGAAACATAGCCATGATTTTTCTAACCAGGAAGGGGGGGTTGGTTCTGAGGGTCTGAAAAGTGTTTCAAGGGTCCTGTATGGTACAGAATTTTTTTTTTCCACATTTCAAGAAGGTGGGGGGAGGGGGGGTTCACTACCCCCAACCCCCCTGGCTATGACCCTGTTTAGGAACCAGTCATAAATAGATTCAGCCTCTGAATGCCAGTGGATATCATGAATTTCAATAATACTGCCTTAGTTCACAGACCATAAGGCACACTTAAACGTTTTTTTTTCAAATTGATCGTGCGCCTTGTGAGCCGGTGTACCTAATGTATGGGTCAGCGCATACATTTAAAACCAGTACCGATACTGCAGTTTTATAAACGAACCGCTGTTTCAAATTATCTTTGACTAAAATACAATAACCATATAAAGGATTGAATTTTTTTTTGTTCAATGAGCTGTGTACCCAGTACTTCTCAAAAACTGTTGCGTCCTATAGCCCAAAGCGTGTTCTAAGTCCTATCTCAGCTAAGCTTTTAATCTTTTTGGAGTTGCGCCTTCTGGCCCAAAAAATAATGAAAAAAAAAAAAAAATAATGAAAGCAATGAACAAAAGTTTTTTGGATGCCCACGACATCTTCCAAACGAGAAAAATCCATTCTATACAGGAATGGTCGCTCTTTCGTGTCATTGGCCGTTTGAATACAAATAATTTGGGAAATCTTGTTTAATATTTTGTATAGAAAGCAATGAACAACTGTTTTTGGATGCTCACGATGTTAACCGAATCGGTGAAATCTAGTATTTTAAAAAATGGTAGCTCTTTTCGAATCATTGACCGCTTGAATACAAAGTACTTTGAATATAAGACTTGATGTCAGATTTGTAAGAATCATGTCCACGGGTCAGCAAAAAATTTCATCCACCAATTATTTTCTATTCTCTCAAAAAACAACTTAGAAATTATTTGACTTATTTTATGGTGAACTCCCAAGGAGTCAAACTTTCATTTCTGATCCTGGGGTTTTTTGAAAATTTTAGTTTCTCATTTTATATGACTTATTTTGTTCTGATAAATTGTAAAAAATTATCAATCCATTCTGTGGAATAAATCCTATACTGATACGTACTTTATTGATTTTAGCTTGCAATTATTGCTTTGTTTATATATTTGTTGCATTTTCACTTTCATCTAAAAAACTCTGAACAAATTAAAAAAAAAAAAAGCAGTTTTGTAAATACTCGGAGGTTACCACTGAATAGCTCTGCTACATCTAAATATCCCCCTCCATGTACTTAACCAACCAGATTATTTTGAAAGCTATGGCAACCCTCTTTGGTCTTCACAGCATCCTATGTTGTCCCATATCTCAGTTTTTGGGGCTCCCGAAATATGCGAACCAAGATGGCGGACATCGGAATGTAATTTGTGTACTAGGTTAGGGTTAAGCCATAATTTTAGGTATAAATACTACGGGAGGCTCTTGGCTAGTCTTCGAACTGATAATAGGACTAAAATAAGGAAAATTGGAAAAAAATTATCGCCTAACCCTAACCTGTTACCCATGTTACGTTCCGATGTACGCCATCTTGGTTCGCATACTTCGGGACCACCCAGTTTTTAGTAGGAATTCATAGTGCTAATCCTGTGAATATCCAGAGCAGTGGTTCCTAACCTTTGATGACTAGGGCTGGGCATTTGGAATCGAATATTTGAATCGAAAAGTGAATTGTTCGAATCGCCGCCATCTTATTTTTTTTCTGTGGTCTAGGACTCTAGGTGAATTCCAGATATATGACTATTTTCTGTAGTGAAATTTTGATAAAACGTGTTTCTTATTGTGTGTGAACGCTCAGCAATCTGTCTGAATGATGTATTCTACGTTTTAAGTAATTTATTTATTGACACGACCAATTACACTAAAAAGTCGCATACAATTAAATATATCCCAAGTATTTGAGATTCGATTCGAAAAAAATATTCGATTCGATTCTCATCAGGTATTCGAAAATGCCCAGCCCTATTAATGAATGACCCTATGCCACCTTCATCGCCCTCCTGTTTATCATTCCAGTGGTATTTATAGGGGGATTTTGATTGGTAGATTCCAAATCCCATTATGTTCAAACAATTCATGCTCAACAAGGTGAAAACACCTTCTGAAATAAACCTAATCAAGCAATGAAACCAGGAAGAACAAGGACTTGCACCTAGTATTGTGGCCAACCCTCGAACTTCTTTGTGGTCCTCTTTGGGTTACTACAGACTTCTACCTAACATTGATATCTTGAAAGGTTTTAGACTTACTCCAACTGAGATGAAAACCGACAATATGATTATTCATATTTGAAACCATAGCCTATTATCTGGTAATTAGGCCATATCAGATGCATTGCATTTAGTGATTGCACTGCTCAGCCAAACTGACTATTCAGGAACTTATGGCTTATCTGTGGTCCTCTGTTTCTTTTAATCCAAATATTCTCTCCAGTTACTCGGTCAAACAGACTATTTTAAAAGCTATGACAACGTCTTTGGTCGTTTGCATCCTATGTTTTTAGAAAGATTTCATGGAAGTCATAATCCTGCTGATATATATAAAAAAGCGCATTTATTGTTTCTATTCACATTGTTACACGAGCAAGAATCCTGCTTCGCTACAGATGATATATCCTGATTTATTTTTCAAAAACAAAGCATCTAATCCTATATATATTTTACTCTGTTTTATGCATTCTATGTGTATCATCCTAACTCATGGTGTTCTATATTATTTACTGTCTTTCTATTGTTGACTATTTACTCTGAGCCTGCCCAGTAGCGGCTAGCCAGGAATATTTCGAAGGGGATGTCCTACAATTTCTAATTGCCAAGTTAAACCATAACAACTAGAAAGTCCGGTAAATGTGAGTTTTCAAGAGTCTTGCGGATCTAAAAAGACCTTTGACCTTCAACTCCTCCTTTCTCTGGCCACACCCTTGCTACCCAGTATCTTGCTAAAAAGGCTCTTTATAATCATTAAGTATTCAAATTCGCCTTCAAAAAATATCGCTTCTGAGTTACTGACTTCAGCAAATAAACTAGAAGAATTTGGAACTTGGATCAATTGGCTTCAAGAAATGAAACTTTAGAAAAACGTAACTGCCCCGAACAACAGAATGAACATTTGATTGAAAACAGTGGGTGACTGCCCTGTCTTGTTTTGGGTGAAATGCAGAAAATCTCATAAAAAAATGATAATGTGATAATGATTGTAAGTATTTCGTTGATGAAAGTGAATAATCCTGTATTTAGGAAGGGGGGGTTATTAATAAGTTTGTTTCATGATTAATCCCATTTACCAGACTATATAAGTATGCCTATACACATGTGCATGACCTGAGTATATTTACATAGCAGGTTTGATTGACGCTGTTGAAAAAAGGTGTTAGAAAAAATAGAGTAAATCTTTGTGCCGAAAACTTTTGATTTACTATTCATCTACATTTATATGCTCTGCAGGCAGAATTTTTTAAACAATTCTCACTCGCAATTATTTCCCATTTGTGAATAATTCCGCAGTAATAAGTCCATTATTTTGTGTTCCCTTTTGATTTTTACCTTTGATTATGCTTATTAACCGCTTCTGTGTTATATATTTCATACATCGCAGAATATTTCATGTATAATTAGTTATATAACAAATGATTTTTGGTCAATAATATTCTGTCTATAATATGAGGATTGTTGGTAAAGGAGGGGGGAAATACCAGGAATGTGGAAACGAAATGATCCTACTCCAGCGGTAGGGTATGATGGTATTTTTATAGTTATCTCGAGAAAGATAGTAGCTGATATGATTCAGGCAGGTGGCGAACCACAGCTTCGAGTACGGTGACCGTACATTTGAACCCATGTGTATATCCTCGGGTTCAATCTTTATGCGGGTGCTAAACCCATGGGTTAGGGTTAGTATGGGTTCAAATTTCCGTAAAACAGATAAAATTTCCATAGGTGCAATTGTTGTGGGTTCAAATGTAATGGAACCCTCGATTACTATTACGAATTATGAAAGTGAAGGCAAAGTCACAACGATCATCAGTTACGCAAACCGCGCTGCGAAATCTTCTGCGAGGAACTATCGCGGTGAAAATAAAATTCAGAAATTGGTAAGTTAGAGCTTAATACTGCCGCCATTATGAGAACACAGTAGAAGTATCTTACGGATATAATTATGGCGGAGTAAAAAACTGTCGAATTGATAGCCAATCATATCTCAAACACCTGATCACGTGATATGCGCAGAATGGCATCTGCCATGTTGCTGCCATGCGCAGACTGATATCCTAACCGGAAGTATCTACTTGCCATGCGCAAGAAAATGCCGATATTTGATTGGTCAATTCAATATTTCTCAACCTGCGCATTAGATTAACGGCCATCTACTTGCCATGCGCAAGATTTCTGGGAAAACGACCGTTGCCAGATATTTTTGAAAACAGATTCTAGAAGTCTGACAACCTTCAAAACCATAACATTTCCGCGCATGGCAACCGCATGTCCGTTCTAGCACTGCGCATGTCACATGACTTTAAAATTTTATCATTGGTTAACTCTAAGCCAATTAAAATAGCGCACGAAGATATTACATGAATAGTTGAAATACTAGAAAGAAGTACAATAACAAAGAGGCAAATCTCTGTTGTCCGATGCGGCGCAGTCAGTAAGACTACTGAGAAGTAATCTTGTCGTTCGAGTTCAATACCAGACCTATCCACTCTTTTCTTCAGTTGTTTTGGAGTAATCGAAAGATAAGTATCAGAGGTTAGAACCTTATCTTCGTCGGCCGCTGTGGCGCAGGGAATCTGTCGCTTCTAAGTAATCCCATCGCCCGAGTTCAGAGCCGCCCCCCCCCCCCCCCATACACTCCTTTTTCAGTTGTCTTGGAGTAATCGAGAGATAAATATCAGAGGTTAGAACGTTGTATTCACCGGCCGCTTTGGCGCAGGGAATCTGTCGCTTCTAGGTAATCTCATCGCCCGAGTTCGAAGCTGTACCCATACACTTCTTTTTCAGTTGTCGTGGAGTAATCGAGAGATAAGTATTAGAGGTTAGAATACATTCCTCGACCACTAGCGTGGCGCACTGACAATGACGCAGGTGAGGTGTTCACCTGGACTTGGGCTCAAAACCCAGGTCCGAGTTGCCGATGAAGCCGTCCTCTACTTTGACCTACGGGACTTGTCTCGTGGTCCGGGGAGGACGGTGATGTATCGGTGACTCCCCAAACCCCAATGATCCTGCAGAGTCAGTGCGATGGACGCAACGGGTGGTCTTTTTGTGAAATATTTAATATTATTAACAACAATAAAAGCGGGGAGGATTTTATGTTTCGAGCCGAATGATACTTTACATTGTGCCTCTGTTCTTTTGGCACATACCTTTGGGCCTTGCGTTAAGAGCTATCGCTTGGTGGATTCGAACCTTCTAGCCTTCGGCGCAATCTTCTCACGTCTAACCGAGTGCGCCACCGCACCATCTCAAATACAGCGATGTAACCCGGGTATACATGTCACGTACCTTTCTACTACGAATTATTCTCTCGTCATCCCATCTTGCGTAGTCAGTAAGACGACCAAGAAGTAATCCTGTCGTTTGAGTTCAATACCAGACCCATGCACTCTTTTCTTCAGTTGTTTTGGAGTAATCGAAAGATAAGTATCAGAGGTTAGAAAATTGTATTCACCGGCTGCTGTGGCGCAGGGAATCTGTCGCTTCTAGGTGATCTCATCGCCCGAGTTCAAAGCCGGCCCCATACACTTCTTTTTCAGTTGTCTTGGAGTAATCGAGAGATAAGTATTAGAGGTTAGAACATATTCCCCGACCACTAGCGTGGCGCACTGACAATGACGCAGGTGAGGTGTTCACCTGGACTTGGGCTCAAAACCCAGGTCCGAGTTGCCGATGAAGCCGTCCTCTACTTTGACCTACGGGACTTGTCTCGTGGTCCGGGGAGGACGGTGATGTATCGGTGACTCCCCAAACCCCAATGATCCTGCAGAGTCAGTGCGATGGACGCAACGGGTGGTCTTTTTGTGAAATATTTAATATTATTAGCAACAATAAAAGCGGGGAGGATTTCATGTTTCGAGCCGAACGATATTTTACATTGTGCCTCTGTTCTCTTGGCGCACTCTCTTTGCGCCTTGCGTTAAGAGCTATCCCTTGTTGGATTCGAACCTTCTCCTCACGCGCAATCTCCTCACGCCTAACCCAGTGCGCCACCGCACCAACTCAAACAGATCAGTTTAATCCGGGTATTTATCTCACGAGGAGCTGAACTTGTATACGAAAAATAACTGTAACTATTACGAACCCGCGGACACTCCGAGATCTACTCCAGGTTGGAATCGAACCTGTAACGTTCGGCGCAACTTGACCACGTTTAGTCCGATGCGCCATTGCACGGTGTAACGTTCATCGATTTAAATTTTGGTATTTACCAAACGAAAAGATTACTTTTTCATTTGTTTCGGAGTAATCAAGAGATATCAGAGATCAAAACGAATAATTAATACGCTCAAATGTGAAGGTAGCGATAATGTGCGGGCTAGCGTGTCGCGAGTATGAGCTGTTCGAAACGCGGCGTCGTAATGTGTTGTGTATCCTATGTGTACTTTCTATGTGATCTTAATACACTGCGCTGTATATATGTAACTATGAACTGTATCTATCTGCAGACTGTGTTGTGTATACGTATATATGTGGACTGCGTAGTGCGAGTGTCAGACCGTAACCGATCTCCGAACATGAACGCGCTTTTCCCAATTCAATAATTTCAAAACATATGATAACATTTTTTTTTCGAGGCAAATATTTATTTTTCAATTCGAAATTTATTTTATCGTACTTTTCTGGGGCAATGCGGTATATTTGTAGTATTTACGTTTCTCCCGCATTTAGTTATCGCTATTGTGATACAGGGTTCTTCCACCATGTCGATCACCCATGTCGTCTGCGCCTCTAATTCTTAACTTTATAAACCGGTCCCGTTTGAGTTTAGAACAATTTACAACTTTCAATATTTATTCAACAAAATAAATTAGGTATATATATGAATTACACTTGCTCTTATGCAATAAAGAAACCTGAAATGGAACAATTAGATTTCAGAACGGAACAGACTTCAGAAATTTCCAAATCAAACACTTTAAGGGAAACATTTAAAAATACAGACCGTGGATTGAAGACCTGGTTCTTAGTGTCTGGATTCAAAGGTCAGCATTAGTTTGTCATATCCATTTGATTTATTATCTCAAACAGAATATTATTCCCTTATACACAACTTCGAGAATTATTTGGGGATAAACGAATTATAGATGTTTATAGTAATTAAAGGTCAAAATAGCGAATTTTTTCATTACTGAAATCCTCAAACTCACCCCTATAACGCCCTACAAAGTGGCGGCCGCCTCCCCAAACGAGCCCCTTGCAAAGAATGATGCCAGCCGAGGCATTTTATATGGTTATTGCGCGGTTTCCAGATGTTTTTCACATTTTTACCGTTTACTATTTCCGTTTTTACCGTTTACCAGTATTTTCATATTTGAGGTGGCATAAACTCAGGATCACCGTCATTCAATTATAAAATAAAATCCATAAAAAACGCATAAAAAAAACACCGTATATGGATATGGACACATTTGTCAAACAACTAGTAATAACTAGTCACAAAATAAAACACTCAAATGTTAAAACGAAACCTAACGATCACAAAACAGTATGATTCACAAACTGCAGAGCACGCAATGAATCTTAGGGGTCGCAAAGGGTACACCAATTTCAAACACAGTACTATATCTATTGCACCATTTTAGACTTCTAACCCGAAACATATTTATTGAAATTAGTTCAAAACATAAAGCTCACGATTTCGAGAGAAAACATAGGATCAGAGAAGTAGCGCGCTTGCATTACAATGCCGAATTAATAGGGGTCGCGGAAAATTTAATATATTGGAAGGGGTCGGGCGCAAAAGTTCGGGAAGTCGTGATCTAATACATATTTAAATGTAATTTGAAGGAACAAATTATAGATGTTGTTATGCACGAGATTTACATAAATCAAAAGTCAAGTAAGAGTGAAATGTTTGTATTATCATTGTAAAAGCTTACTAAAATAACAACATTATCTCTATATTATTATTCGAATCTACAAACCAAGCAAAAAATTTACCTCTAAGGCAAGCTGCCTTCTCTGGATTATAAGTTATACTTGTGTAGACCGACACAATACCTATTATTTATTCAACGTTGCCCTTGTTCCTAACATCCTTGAATAAATTTCAATACTGTAGTACTCATGGATTACGTGGTGACGCAGAGAAATTGTTGTAGTTTTTAGGTTCTTTTTGTACGAAATCCGACGTAATCGAGTAAGTTACCCTAAAATGATTTCCACAACGACAGAAATGACTTCCCAACCATATTATGTTAGATAAATTCAACACCAATGCCAACCCCCCAAGTTACTCTTTTCCATGATAAAAATGATGAATCGATATGACGTGCTGGCATTATTACCCTGGGATAATCAGCGTTCTTGTTTTGGCAACTGCAATTCCTGTTCCCATTGGTCCATATTGAATCCAAACCGTCCAATCAAATTGCAGAGAATCCAAACCCCTCCCCTATCTACAAATGGATCAGAGAAAATGTGACCCTTGACCTCTACACTGACCATGAGTTCATTAACGTTCTTGTTTCATGGTAAGTTTCCATACAAATTCGATAAGAAAAATTGCAATAATAATATATTAAATCAGACAGTTAGTTTCTGAAAAGGAATCCGAAAACTCTTCTATTAATCAAATTCTATCATCCAAGGCCTTGTTCAGAGGTAAAAACTCAACATAATTGTAATATTCTATTTGCAATTTGTTAACAAATTATTTTCAATTAATTTTTTCATATGGCGAAATTCTTCGCAGGGGATAGGCATGAATAAGAATACAACAGTTTGCAAAAAATTTTCGCTGATCAACTAGACAGTGGTTCCCAAGCTTTTTACAAGACGCCCCCAAGGACAACTTTCAAGTGTCCAGTGCGACCACAGGTCAATATATATATTTTTCATGAAACTTCAGAGCTTCTTTCACTGTACTTTTGAGTTTGGTCATGTGATGGTATTAAGTAAAAGAAGCTAAAACCAAACAGTGATGTCACAATAAGCACGTACATTTTCTATAGCATAAGCATAGAGCGATGCCTATGGGCCCGTTTTACAGTAAGCCATGGTACAAGCTGCTAAATTTAACATGGTTTGTCAAATCTTGGATGATTTGTACATTCACCCTCTACCATACCTCAGCGACCCCATGACCTGTTTGTGACTCTACCTACATATCACTCCGACCCAATTTGGGGACGCGACCCCTGGTTTGGGAACCCCTGAACTAGACAGTGGTTCTCAAACTGTGTGCCGCGGCATACTAGTTTGCCGTGAGAGATTCTCAGGTGTGCCGCAAAGCTTTTTGGAATTTTAGAAAATAAGCTTATCATATTACACATAGGCATGCATGCAACGGGAAAGACTTGAGTGCGCATTAGACTGATAACATCATTACATTTGCCTTGTCGTTGTAGTAAGGGTAATTGTCATGCTATAATTGCATTGTTATAATGTATATTCAAACAAGACATCCATCTTTCACCATGTTGACTTGCGCGCCTAGTTCGGTTAACAGGAAAGCAAGTTTGTACAAGTTTTGACTGCGCAAAATTCATCGAAGTAACCTGGCCATTTGCATCTCCATGGCTCTGTGAAGATGTTTTTTTGCTCTGACTGAAATTGAAAGCAAAAAAGGGAATGATGTAACCTCGTTTCAATCGTTTCTCAAAACAGGCACACACATCGAATCAACATTTGCAGAATAAATTTGATTAAAGCTAACTTTATTTTTTACAAGTGTGCCGCAAAAATTTTTTATTTGCTCAAAGTGCGCCGCGAGCAAAAAAAGTGTGAGAACCACTGAACTAAGTCAGTGATTCTCAACCTTTCTCTTTTGTGGCCCATTAACTTTTGTATGAGAAGGAAAATACAAAATCATTCTGCAAAAATGAACACTTTTGTGACTTTAGTTATTGGAATGAAAATTACTACTAATTAGCAGAAAACTGTAGGTTTGTGACACATCTGGGAATGATACTGTGACCCAGAAGTGGGTCATGGCCCTCTGGTTGGAAACCGGTGTACAAGAATTTAGTCAAGTCATCTTTTCGTGTTCACTATTTTCTGCTTCTTTGTGACATAATAAAGTCCTCTCTTCTCCAACCCACTGTTGACTTTTTCCGCACATTCATCGCTGTGTTCTTCTATTTCTTCAGATCTGTTACAATACCAGAAATTAGTGTTATACACAGAGTGTTGTACTTTTATTGGCGGCGTCTTCAAAATGTCATGTCCCACTTGTCCCACACTTGCCCCATGTATCCCACTTAAACAAGTGGGACACAACATTTTGGAGACACCCCTTTTACTGGCCAGCAGGGTGTCCATAAATTCAAATAATTTTTTGAAATTGCAAAGGAAATTTATCGATACCATATATTGTTTTGGCCCTCACAGATGTATTAAATGAAGTAAAATACTTGAACAATTACTGGTAAAAAACAACAAACCTGGTTAAGATATATTGAGAACTGAATTCAAATAAAATTGAAATTGTGAAGGAACTTTATGGACTTTATGGAAATAGATTTTCACATTACCTGTACAACTGCCCACACGTAGGGCATTTCACCAGTAGACAATTTTTGAACAATTCTCCGTTCATTCGAGCGTGGTATGGTTTGGGTTGCCTGAAATAAATATAGTAGGAAAGTAACTTGAAATATTAACAGGCATTCAAAGAAAACGTGAATGCATTCGTTGGCAACAGTTGGCTTTCTCAGAACTGGAATCTGAATCCCAATTTCCTTCAACCAGAAGCCAGAGTCAAAAATTTTTTCATTCACGAGTTGAGAATTTGAAATAGGAGCCAGGTCTGCATTTTCATCGACTCCACAATCTGACTGCCAATCATGAAAAACCATCCCATGTCATCGACATAATGTAAGTCCATAGATCTAACTACTAGGATATCTTGCGGACTAATTTGGCGTGTTTACATATGTGTTATTGTTATGGTTAACTGTCTAGTATAGCGTTTCCCAAACCTTTTTTGCACCCGAACACCTACGCTTTTCATCTCGCCTCACGGACACCAAAAAATTAGGAGGAAAATCGTTGGGTGGCTTTTAAAAGATTTAGCCTAGGGTAAAATTAAAAAGTTTTCTGTAAACTTGATAATTAAAAAATCAGGCCGACATTCAACGTAAACTCCATGCTTTCCAGACTGACACGAGACCTATCCGACTGTTTGTCGCCACTTGGGAGACAAATTTACGACCAAGAGCCACCAAAGTACAACCGATATCGCTGCAATTTCGATCCTTTTTCCGCTGAACAGAAATTTGGGAAACAGTGGTCTAGTCTGTTTTAGATCTGTTTCACGAAGCTTGGTCATTAGATTTGAATTTCTCAAGTTTCTAACATTGGATTATCTGTTTTGACAAAGCCGCATTTAAATGCGAGTGATCTGGTATATTCTTGCTTTGTGAGCAAACTTGCAACTCTTCTATCAGTATTCTTCCCACTTTTATTTGAGGACAAATAACCTTGCTTTTAAAAAACTTGCATAAACAATTCATTTTCACTGGTTGTTATACTCACAAAACCAACTTACTTTGTAAAATTGATCCAATGTTTTTTCTCAGCCTCTGACAGTCTCATGTTATCGCTCAAGTCAAGAACAGTCTCACCAGGAAACGTCTGTGGAAAGGAAAATGGACATAATGTAAGGATGTAATAAATCGGTCAGGCAATTTAATTTTGAAAGATTTCTGCCCGTCCGGAAATAGCAAGTCAAGGATAGCGTCACGCACCAGGGAATGTCTTTGAGGAAAAATTTAACATTTAATTTAACTTGAATCCTGGATAGTTTTAATATCTATTCGTATTTTAGGAGTCGAATGTAACTTTGCTCAGATATGAGTCTTTTCTACTTTTAAGTGAGTGCATGAGTGAGACCTTGCTTCCAAGGTTATTTCCGCAAACAAACAAATCACCTGCTGTCTAGTAATTTCTATGTCACCCACAGCTTCAAGGTCATTAATATTTATCTCAAGCTCATTTCCAATATTGAAAATTTCACCTGTTGTCTGGGTGCTGGTATAACAGAAGTAATTTCAATGTCATCATTTATTGTTTGAAGATCATTGCTAAAAGTTTGAAGGTCATTTCCAATTAACTGAAGGTCATCTTCACCACATAGAGCAGCATGGGTGGATATAGTTGACTTTGGGAACATTTCTGAAAATAATTTTACAAAACCATTGTAAATAGAAAAAATGAATTTGGTAATACAGACTGATGAAGATAAATACTGTTTGGATTAAAAATGTCTTCTTAATATTGTCTTTTAAGAATGCAACAGGTGGCATATAGTGTGGCCTTTTCATTATCAAGCATTAAACCATAATACGACAGTCTATGTTTCAAAGGGCGCTCAGATGGGTGAAAATACATGTTTCGTTTGCTGTTGTCGTTGCAGTAAATTTACCGCTTTGCCCGGTACATTTATTATTGTAATTTGTTGTGGACATGGAAAAAAATTATTTTTTGTGTGGCTCAGCAACATGTCTTGGTTATATGGCCCATCGACAAAAAATTTCGCACAACCCTGGTATGGAATAGTTTTTCATTAGGGAAACATCCCTCAGCATCACCGTTTTCCAGGCAGTGGAGTGGGATAACCTTCCAAGAACATAGAATGAACATAGAAAGTCATTTTCACAAACAGAAACTTACCCTATCTAGTATCCAGAAGAAAAATATAAGTCATACTCATGCATAATGGACATTGGACTTCATTGATTTGATTTGAAGAATGTGCAGATGTTGTCCCAGCGTTCGATCCTCCTGATTCTATAGTTCGCCTAGGAGTTGTTTCATGTGATACTCGTCTTATTTTAGCTGGAGAAGAATCTTGTTCTCGGGAATTTACCTCATGAATGATTGGGGAGTCGACAAGAGTTACACTGTAAAACAAGAAAATTTTTGCTGATTGGTATCAAACACGTTTGGCTAAAATCAGATAATTTATTATAATTCATTATGAAATAATATCTAGGATATAATCTAAACTGGGTTGTGTTCAATAAAGAAATTGAAGAAAGTCAATTATCTATAATTTGAAGGTTCCAGAACTGATTATGCGACTATTCAATTTCTCAAAATAATAATTTTCCATAATTCTGAATTATTATTGTATGTTTTGCTGCCTTTACCAAGGAATGAATTTGTAAGGAAGGTCCAGTTAATGTTTACAGAGTATAGAAAAACATGTCACCTTTCCTTTGATTTTCTCTTCCTAGTAGGAGTTCCTATTGCTATAGAAGGTGTTTGCTGATTGGTGGATGATGAAGGGGCGTCGTCAGAAACTGAGATAGTTTAAAAACAAAAATATTGAGTTACAAAGAGAATAGTCTCACCCAATCAAAACGGATAGTACGATTTAACTACTAATTGCTTAGCAATTTGAAGGCAATCAATAAAATTGAAACAACTAATGAAACTAGAATATCGATTAGAAACCGAAGACTTATCGATCGAAGGTTAGGGGATCCCCTAAAACAGTGGTCTTACTCCATAGTGACACCGTGTGTCTGTGTCACATCACTAATTAATTAATAACTCGCTAATTATAAGACATAATCCATCCAAAATCACCAGGCTTCTGATCCGAGCTATGATGAATGCATATGCAAAATTTGGAGCAGATTTAACCTCGCTTCCGTGAGATATCGCGTGCATCTAACACACAGACAAACAGACAAATACCTATCAACATACTTACCGATTAAAATCGATAAGTAATAATGGTCAAATGACTACTATGGTCATAGGAAACCGTGCAGAAGTTGTGGTGAAACATGGAGTCCATAAGATTTGAAGGGAACTTCAGAAAACAAAGGAAATCTTCGTCTAACGTAAGGATGGGCACAATTTTTTGAACAGGAGCCAAACATTTTGCCCGCCTAGGATGGCGGGCCGTGTAAGTGTGACGCAAAAACTTACGTTTTCTGAACAATACAATAACAGTGTTACGAAAGCAAAAATGGAAAACAATAAGCCTGGTGTTAAAACTAGACTTAATCGCAATCTCAACTAATTCTTTGTTTTTTAGCAAAAACATAAAAGTTTGGTTTAAATTGGTTGTGGCAGCAACAGGCGGGTCAGATTGAATTATCCAATGTGCCATATTTGGACCACGGGTCGTAATTTGCCCAGTTGCGGCCTCTTACATCTTTATTGGTACTGAAAATTGGCAATCATTAGTCTATTAGTATTTTTCGCAACAAGAACATCCATCCATACCAAATCCATCCATAAGTCAACTTCATACCCAATAATAAATAGAAAATGAAGACTTACTTTTTTGTTTATGTTGTCTCACAGTCAGTGCCAACTCTAAATAATTCACTGTTATGTTTCTGAAATAACGTCGACCATCTTTGTCTAAGGTTATGTCATGCAAGGCTTCAAATGTTGTTCGTAGTTCTGAAAATTGGGTCACAAAAAAATGGTAGACTACATTAAACTTGCAAATATTTAGCTTTATCTACCAAAAAGACAGGAATCTACAGTTTTCAAGAAAAAATAAACTGGGGCTACCAACTCACAGGCCCCTATCCGAATCCATATCTTCCGAGTATTGAGACTTGAGAGCATTAGCATTTTTTATTTTATAGTTGTAATGTGCTACCGGTATGTAATTACCTTTTGAAATTTTTGTTTTCCTGCCCAGCTCTGTTAATAGTTTAATAGCCCAGCAATTAATAAAAAAAATTATAGTAGCAATGAATGATAATACATTTTTGCTTGATGAATTTTTGTGCAATAAAAATGGAACACGAAAGAAAAAAGATTTAGTGCCACTGGTTTTGCTCTGAAAGATCTAAGAAACCAAGAAATTATTTAAAAGTCTACCAACCTTTCAAAGTAACTTTATCAGGATCCAACTTCTCTAGATCAAAAGTATTGAAGAAGTTTTGTACGAGTCGTTTGATCCTTTTAATCTCACTCTTTGGGAGTTCGCTTGTAGTTGCTGATTAAAACAATAAGTTAGAAAGATTCATCGGTGCTCCTGAAGTATGCGAACCAAGATGGCGGACATCGGAACGTAGCATGGGTAACAGGTTAGGGTTAGGCCATAATTTTATTCCAATTTCCCCTATTTTAGTCCTACTGTGAGTTCGAAGACTAGCCAAGTGCCTCTCGTAGTATTTGTACCTAAAATTATGGCCTAACCCTAACCTAGTACACATATTACATTCCGATGTCCGCCATCTTGGTTCGCATACTTCAGGAGCCCCGATTCATCTTTACTCAGACATGGGCTGGAAATTCAAGGCATTATTTGTATCGGTATTTTAATAAATTACTGCAAAAGTTATTTTCATCCATCTATATCAGGGATGGGGAATTACTTTTCCAAGTGAGCCAGTTACACAAGTCTATTTCTTTTTACAATGGGTCAGTTACAGATAATAGACTTGGTTACTGGCACTGGGTCAAAGGCTCAGAACTCGATATGAAAAATTATGAATAAAAATCAGTTTATTTACAACAGCTAGGTTAACGTTTATATAATAATAAGAAGCACAATGTAACAATCGACGTTATTTTCATCAATATTTTCAACACATTCATACCCATGAAAACTATAGTCTTGATTACAGCAGACTCAAGTGGGCCGGATCATAGGGCCATAAGTTGCGCACCCCTGATTTATATTTTATACTAGTTAGCTCAAAACAAAAAACCAAACTCTGAACTTAGACATAGAAAGAGTACTGATAGAAGAATTGAAAGCGAGGGCAGATATTCTAAGAGAGTTTATTCCTGTAACAGAGATGCTAGCAGATACAGGTTGTTAAAATATTTTTATTTGAAACAATGCTAAACCAGCATAGTTAGTCACGGTGTTCCTAAATTTGAGCCATTGTTTATGTTCCACATCCTGAATATAAAAAGTAACTCAAACTTACCATTACTGTCGCAATTCGGCCCCAAAATTTCTTCCCCTTTTAGCAAAACATTGTCATCTGCCGCAGAGTCCACCATCGAAGAACTGTCACTTGAATTAGATTTCCTGGGATCTATTTCACCCAACTCGGAAGTTCGTATAATATTACTTAACGTATTGTGCACTTCTTTTGAGGTTGTAGGCCGAGATAATTCTGTAGTTTTTGGAGAAAAACTTGTATTTCCGTTAGTCTTTACGTTTCTATCACTTGATTCAGACTTTTGAGGATTTATTCTGCTAGACTCTGAGATTTGTGGATTATGGTTCAAATGGCCATTCATAGAACTAGACGTACTAGGTACTTCCTTTGAGACTGCGATTCGAGGCAGTTTTTGAGTCTGGGGGGAAAAACTTGAATTTCTATTAGTATTCGTACCAAACTTTGAATTTACAAAATCATTATTTTTTGAATCTGGAGTTTTGGCAGTGGTGGGATTTGAATCGCTAGGACTAAATTTACTAAATGTTTTCTTCAGTGAAGTATTTGGGGTTAAAAGTCTTGGAGATTTCGGACAAGACCCTGAATTTTCGTTTGTCTTTTGAGATGTAGAACAACTTAACTTTCCGTTAGTCTTCGGAACTTGACACAAACCACCCAGGCTTCTTGCTCTCCTGGTGGTGTCAGGAGTCAATGATCGATTCTCAGTGTTTAAATATGAAGTGTTTTGAGTTTTCTTAGGCTGAGGGGTCAAATTACCCAATTTTCGGGCTGAATTTTCAGTTTTTGTGACTAATTTTGTGGGTTTAATTTTTTCGAGTTTGTCACGTTTATGGTTCAGGGCGCCACAACGAGATGAGAGAACCATTTTTGCTGTTCGACTGAGCGTATTTTTCTCTGAACTTCCATCTTCTGTTGTAGAAGAGATCCGAAGTAATTTGTCTTGAAGTTGATTCATCGCAGAGCTAGAAATTACCAAAATGTTACTCCGATTTGTTACTCCAAAATGTTACTGCGATATGGCTGGTTCGGCTTTTTCCACTAGTCTAGCATCTGGAGCGCTTGGCTGGTAAAATAACTATTCCCACCTGGACTGATAACCTGACGAGAGGCTGTGGTTCACCATATATGATAAAAATAAAAAACGTATCATATCGTAACTTAAAATGTCAAGAAAAATCAAGGAAAAAACATCAAATCAACATTACTAATTTGAGAGCAGAATACTTGAGAAATAATAGCCATATGATTAAGTCGCCTTATCATTTTTTTTCTCCCCCCAGAAATATTGATGAAAGTATCACATTAAAAAGTATCAACGGCACAAATGTCTTTAAATGTTAATAAAACAAATGCTAAATTTATTCGACTTTATTTGTATCAATATTGAAATCCCCCTCGAGTTTTATCAAAAATTCACCTTCTAATGTTGCTGGCATCTGCAAGTTTAGCAATCGCTGAATTTTTCCAGGAACCCTGGATTGCTGTTTGTGCTGGAGATGGTGATGACTGAAAAAGTACAAAGATGTGTTTAATGAATAAAATGCATAAGATTAAGAATCGTAGCGACTTTGTTGGTATTAAATGATTTTCAAAATCTTTATTCTTATACATACAAAAGGAAGTTTCTCACAGAGCACATCCTATATCATTCGGTACTCCCGGTGTATGCTTACCAAGATGGCGGACACCGGAACATACGGTAGTATGTGTACCAGGTTAGGGCATACCTTTATTCCAAATTTCCAATTTTCCTTATTTTAGTTCTATTACGAGTTTGGGGACTAGCCAAGTGACTCGAGCAGTATTTGTACCTGAAATTATGACCTAACCCTAACCTGGTACACATACTACGTTCTGTTATCAGCCATCTTGGTTCACATACTACAGGAGTACCTATCATTCTCAGGCAAGGCAATTTTGTCATACAGTTGTGATGAGAAGTATAAGTTTTTTTAATAAAAGTTTCAAAAACTTCCCCTCAAGGGCACTGAATATTTGGTGCTCTCGAAGTATGCGAACCATGATGGCGGACATCGGAACGTAACATGGGTAACAGGTTAGGGATAGGCGATAATTTTTTTCCAATTTTCCTTATTTTAGTCCTCTTTATCAGTTCGAAGACTAGTCAAGAGCCTTCCGTAGTATTTATACCTAAAATTATGGCCTAACCCTAACTTAGTACACATATTACATTCCGATGTCCGCCATCTTGGTTCGCATACTTCGGGAGCCCCTATTATTTAGTACACACAAATTTTACACGATCAGAACAAACATGTCAGCTTGCACAGCAACCATACTGCAATTATCAGAAGCAAGCGCCAGCAGATACAAAATCAGTGGAGCGTGAAACAATAATAATAAAAAAACGTGAACAGGCAGGGTTGCCAGAAATTAACAAAACAATACAATATCAACAAGGACCCCTGGCCTAAGGAAGCACAAATGTTTAAACAAAACATATCACCTGCGCAGATCCTGAAATATTTCTTGCTGATCCGATCCGAACAAACTCCAGACCAATCTGTTTGTTTCTTACGAACGGCTGCTGAAGATTAATTCTAACTCGATCCCATTTTTCATTCGCATATTCAGAATTCAAGTGTTCTAAAAATATATATTTGTATATGTTAAAAAAATTGGAGGAATAGTGATTTGTTGCTATTATAGATCCTTTTATTTTTTATATAAATGAAAAAAACAGTGTTAGCTGAGTTAGCCAACACTTAGCAGCGTCATGTGGCTGGGTGCCTATAATTCAGTCAAGACTCAGCGGTTGGCCAATTGTGCTAAGAGTAAGGAACATGCTTGCCATAGCACTTCTGATTATTGACTTCCTCCACCACCAAGTCGATGGATCTAAACAAATTACGGCGGATCGGAAGTATTCAAACCAAGATGACGCACAACCTGAACAATCCTAACCTGGCACATATACTATGTTCAGGTTGTGCGCCATCTTGGTATGAATACTTCAGGAGCACCCAAATTACTGGCCAACTAACTTTCCTTGCCCAACATGTACTGGTATCTACACGAGAGGCCTTGGTTCGCCATATTATTAAGTTGTCTTATCATCTTTCTTCCCCACCTTGATAAATATGAAAATACTATGCTATGTTACCCAGTTCTCGACCTGCTGAAACTGCATGTGACCTATGTCACAAGGATGCTTGAATAAGATGAAGTTAGGAGTTTACAGCAACAAAAGGGCATAATCTAATTTCACAAAATACTAGTTCTATAAAGCCTTCGATAGAAGAGCACTGTTGGCTTCGTCACGCAACACATGGAATTTATCGTGAATGAAGGCCATTTGGTAAACTTCAATTGCAATTCAAAATGATATAAAATCATAAATTCTGAAATCAGTTATTCAAAATATTGAATATTGTTGAAGAAAAGATTGTGTTTTACCAGGATAATTGAACATCCTACATCCAGTTTTATTCTTTCCTGCTCTTGCTTCAAGAGGAGTTTGAAGAATAACTGTTGCTAGGAGAACCACATGTTGTCGTGACGATGGCCAGGATGATCGACCAACTGTGACACCCAGTGATGCAACATTGCAATAGCCTATAAATACAGGATAAAAGATTTTTGTGTGATATTCAAACCATCTCAGGACAGAGCTATGTGGGCCTAGCGTTTATTATCTTTGACATGCTTCGCACTCAACAGAGAAATCATTAATGCATGAAAAAGCAGCATTTAACGGTATACCTCCAATCTCACTTAGATTATTCTGACCAAATGCACAAAATAAATTATGGGGTGTAGCTAACTTTGATAGGACCTCAACCTAACCCAATGAGATACATAGAAAGCGAGAAATAGCACTACCAGCACTTTTTTGGTAGCATAAAAATTATCCCAACTGGTCATGCCTTAAGAATTCACACCAATGGTAGAGTAGGAATCATATTCATAATAGAATTGGCCCAGTGATTAGAGCAACGTTTCCCAACCGAAAAGGAGCTCCCCCCGGAGAAAAATTTTGTCAAACTTTGGGAGGGATTTTACTTAGTATTTGCCATAGTACAACCACTAATATTTTTTATTTCTTCATTAATTATTATTAATATAAAAATTATTTGTGCACACATAAACTTCTTAAATTGCCCCACAGCATGAGTGCCATTTATGTATAATACTAGCTAATGAACCAATAAAGATTGAACAAATAAGTAGTATTTATGCAAATTGAGGGAGGAAAAAAGGTTCCAAAATAGTAGATGGGGGGAATGTAATGAAAAAGGTTGGGAATTACTGGTTTAGATGGGTCTTACTATGTCGGCACTAAATGTAAAAGATATGGCTCAATTTCAACACCGTCTTGCCCAAACCCAAAATTTAATCAGTTAGGAAAGGTTTAGATCAGAGTGGTCCAAACCCAGGCCCGCGAGCCACATGTGGCCCGGGTCGCCAAAAAATCACATTGGGTGTTGTTTCGTCATAAAAATAACCAGAAAATCTTCTGACATATTGTTACATCACTAATGTCACTGAATTTACGAGTGTTATGGCTAGCTGCCATTGAATAATGTGCTCGGCTAGTCTAAATTGTTGACTAGCTTTCTATCTTTTTGGTCGGAAATATATGCTAACTAAATAGGCTCCATAGAAAACTAAAATCAATCAAGTCAATTTTTTTGCATGTATTATCTTGATAAATGGCAAATAATGACCAATGTATTTGGACAATAAAAGTGTTTGTTTTGTATTTCACTGTTTACCTAATATTTGCACTCCTTCTTACACATCAGTGACTCTTGTATTGGCGAAGTGAGGGTGTAATAACTCCTCATTGAAAACCTATCTACTGACCTATATCAATATAATGAATCTGTGATGCTTTTTCAAGTTGGATTTCAATCACAGCTTTCCCTGTATTATCTTTCACATTGGTCATCCATTTATTACCTTTGATGATATTTTGTGCAGGGAAACGAGAGTCCTGTCATAAAAATTAAGATTTTTAGGAAGACAGAGAAAACCGTGTACGAATAAAGGCTGTGCAACAAACTTACAAAGTTTTGAATGTTTTTGACAATATTCGGAAGGCACACTTCTCTGATTCCAAAATGTCCTGACATTTGGTTCAATAAAACAAAACGCTTTTTGTCTCTGAAACGAGGACGTCTGGCACGACGCAGATGTACCAGATCATGCCATGCTTGTCTCAGTAATAACCCAAATCAATAGCGACAAGTATCAGCCATCACAAGATGAAAATTGAGTTTTTTTTTGCTAAAAAACTCTTTAATGCTACTGCTGTACTGTAAAATATTTTTCCCTTTGGTAAATCGGATGATTTAATTTCAAGGAATCCAACGGTGACGTTTGATTGTGCTTCCTCTTAGTTTTAGTTTGTCAATTTGAAGGCCCAGACTTTCTCGTAAAGACGGGATTTGCACTCACTGTTATAACTGATGTTGATTAATGTGGGGTTATTCTTGGAATCAGATAACTATGCCGTACTGATATTGAAGCTTGAGCGGTACTTATGAATTCCTAGAAGTTTCAAATGGCTAATTGTTTGCAGTCCGGTGTTAAATTTTCTCTGACTATAAGAATAATAAGTACCGTATAAGTTTATTTTGACTGGTAAAAATAAACAAAAACTGATTATGAAATCAGGAGAGCAAACAAAACCTTAGATAAGGTTTAAAACGTACAGCTTTTTGACTACAAAGACAGGAAGCTGTGATCCAAAATACATATTTTATTCTTTCAGTCTCTAGATCTGGTTCGTAATGACAATTCAAGTTTGTTTATCCTTCTTAACGAATGTTATTCAAAAGCTATAAAATAGTACCGGTAATACTCTAATCCTGTAATCTAATAGTTTTAGGTGAGTGAACACTTACCACTGTACCACTTCTTTCTGGCAATACCTTCCATCTTATATTCTGTACGTTTTAAACCTTATCCGAGGTTTTGTTTGCTCTCCTGATTTCATAATCAGTTTTTATTTATTTGTTTTTATCAACCGTTTTATCGCCTTTTTGCTGATTATGGAGTCGAAATGAATTTACAGTATCTTATTATTAATACAACAATATACTACTGTACTAATATAATTTAGACACCCGTTAACCAGTGCAATTCACTAACCTCAGATGAAAATATAATGATTTCTTTCAGTGGAACAGGAGCCATTCCATCCGCAGTATTTATTCGTTCTTGCGGCTACCAAAATATTAAAACAAAAGCTCTTAGCGCCAGAATAAAAATTCGACAAAACATGGGGATTCCCCCTCAGCTTCGCGCGCCTACGTCGTTACGCCCTAATGATCAATAGCCCTCTCATAGTCAGAGTTAGTTGTCACTTAAAAAAACGAACAATCAAGACAAATTATCTGTAATACCTATATATTGAAATGACAGGTGCTGTGAAGGACGGAATGATCCGCCATCGAGTCTGCAGCACCTGTTGCGCAACGCAGTTAACGGTCTTGTGAAAATCATCCACATATTGATGGTTTTCATTTTGAACTACATTAGACTAACGAATTGGATGAGATTTATTGGTTCGTCATATAAGTAAGATGTCTTATTCGCATTCCCCAGCCACTTATAATAACAACTTTTGCCTAAAAAAGCGTGTGTGCCTCGTTCTGACATACTCACATATTGCACTAAGCACTGCTGCCAACACTGAATAAAACATCCGACCTTACACGAAATTTTCACACAAACAATACATTTACCAGCATATGGTTACATTAACTTTATTGCACATGATAGAATCACAAAACAAGGGGGGGAATCAGACTAAAGTAATAATATTATCCAAATATGAGAATATTCTCCAAGCAAGGTAACGCGCAGTCCGCTGAGCAAAGTCACAGACGACCAAGGAAATGCTAAAAGCTGGAGGATTATTGAACTCTCAATATGAATATTTAAAGGACATTTCACTACACTTTTACTTCACTTTAAATTGAAAAATATGAACCAACTTAAACTACGTCAGGAATTTGCATACCTGAATCTAAATTACTGCTTTTATCATAAAGTTTGTCAAACAGGATATAGAAAATTATAAAAATTCATGAAGCATATTCGGAATCAAAATTGGATTCACAAAAATATTGCAGAGTAGCAAACCAATGGTACATTGAACATCCCTAAGTGAAAAAAGTAGTGCTCCCGAATTGTGTGAACCAAGATGGCGCACAACCTGAACCTCAACCTGGTACACATACTATGTTCAGGTTGTGCGCCATCTTGGTGCACATACTTTGGGAGCTCCGAAAAAGTCAACAAATGAATCTTATCATCAGCGTGTAAAAATACAGTCATTAGTTCATCAGAAAAATGGCAATTTTTTTTTAATTTTCCCCGCTATATTAAACATATGAAAAATATTGTCAAGAATCATATAAATTTATATATTATTACAAAAATATCCAAAATTAAACATCCAATCCCAGACTTTGCAATTTTTCGACCAAAATTTCATTTTTTCGACATTCCTCTTGGAATGCATGAATTGTTTTCACGTACAATCTCTGTTGCTCAATCAATTCTAGATATTGATCTTTTAATTTATCTCGGTGCATTTTCTCGGCCTCTCGTTTCTTTTCAACCTTGATTAATGAAATATAAAAATTTCATGATATTTATTTTAGAGATTGAGGTCAGTTACTCAAACCTTTACATTTCCAGGTCGGCAATCGCAATAGGTTTTCCAAAATATTTGCGATAAACTAGCTTGAAATCAGCTAATAGGATAAATGTTTTCAATAAAAATGATAGTTTTGAACAAGCATTTAAACCTTCTTGAACGCTCTCAAAATTAGCGTTGAAAACTTAGCAATGCTAAAGTCTTGACGAAATATTCCGAGGATCATAGATCATCATAGATCAAAGAAACATCCATGACAAGTACTCATTAAATTTCCGAATAAAATAGACATCCTGAAAACAAGAAAGTACCTTCATTTTATTAGATTTCACTCCCTCGACGATCTTCTCAAACTGTCTCATATATTGCGTCATATTCTCCGGGGAGGATCTCGCTGCATCAAAATTATCGTAAATTGAATCCAACAAATCAACTTGCTTCTTCAAATATAATTTCTTATCATCTAAAGTGTTGTACATCGTATAAAACTGCTTCGTTTCGAGCTGGGTGGCTGCAATCTGAAAATTAAAAAGTCGCGCTTGAAAATTTTTCCCAGAAGATTCAAAATGATGCGGAAATCATTCAGCTCATTTCCTGATAATAGTTACTGTATTTTGACCATAATGCGCATTTCGAATCCATTTTTTATTCTTAAAAATCGTTGTTGCGCCTTACAGGCTATTCGATCCAACAAAATACATAATTTAGAGTTGTTTTTTGCTGAATCTGCAAAACCGAAGGGCCATATCTGACTTGATCTGTTAGTCCCGCTTTCTCGATATCGGGCATAAATAGATAGTAGTATATCCCACTGCCATGTCATGATTGACACTAAGTAATTGAAAAGAACGAAGATAAATAATCACTGCCGGTACAAAGTCAAATAACAGTAGCTGTGAATGGCAGACAGTGGAATGCACTATAAAATATATCTCCCCAAAGATGCTTGAGAGGGGTTGAGTGAAAAAATAAGTCAATCCCAGAAGAAAAAAAATAGGCCAAGTCGTCCAATAAAATGAACCCGGACAATCAGGTCTAAATATTGGGTCCAGAAGATTGTCTTAGAAGCTGAAAAATATGGTATATTGAATGTAGAGAGCATTTTTCTGTTTCTTGGGAAATATTGTTTGAATTTAAGTCAAGTTTATCTCCAAGCCCCCAAAAAGGATTACCTTTCCTCTCTATCTCTCCCGGCGGACATACCTGATTATACAACTCTACAAATCTCTTCTGATATTGAGTTAACTCAGCTCTCGTAGGAATTTCGTCAATTTTCCGAGTTAACATCGCTACTTTACGATTCTTTGCAGCAAGAACGGAGCGAATCTTTGACAACTTTTCGTTGTCCGCATTCAGCTGTTTTTCAACCATTTCTAGGTTTTCATCTTCCTGTGGATAGATATAGAATTTTTTTATATTTAAAAATATTGCATGTGGAGTTTACTCTCAGAATAAGGTTCTAAATTTAAAGCATGCAAGTGCAAGAGGGGACATTTATTTTATATTTAGGTACAGAACCCATCGTCACACATACTTCGGAGCTAAGAAGTATGTGTATCAATAATGAGATAACTAATTTTGATTTGGTTTCTGCGAGACTAACTACTTATCCTTCTTCTATGCTTTTGTGACGACGGATCCGTATGCATATATTGCAAGGATGCTGTAGCAAGAATGAAGATAACAATCCTAAGTGATTCAAGAGTCTGTTGAACACTAACACAAATATATTTCTGTAACGTTTCGTCTGACCAAGGTCACGTTACAGAAATATATTTGTGTTAGTGAGCAGCAAGGCTCTTGAATCCCTGAGGATTACTTATTTTGTTCACCACTTTACATCAAGTTTTGTAAAGGATTGTAAATGAGCAGGGGTATGGTTAACACAGACAGTCCCCAACCTGGTACACATACTACTAGAGTACCGTTTCACATAATTCCAGACAAGAACCCAATAACAAGTAAAGGCTCTATATGTAAAACCTTGCATCTGACCTATAAAAACCCTGAAACACTAGATAAAATCATGACGGAAATACCTGAACATCATCAGACTCAAGTCCCTTTTCCAATTTTGCAATGTCTTCTTTGAGTTTGGCTGCTTCATCCCTAAAACACAAAAATTATATTATTTTGACGACCAATGACCTAATTAGGGTAAACTATCTTTCTGCCCATTCTCCTTTTTCACAAGAATTAATCCAGACATCGAAGTTTTTGACAGGTCTTGGTTTTCCTATGTTTGTTTGCGGCATAAATCACTATACTTTATGTAACAACGTTCCTGTGAACTGCATTTTTTGTGTATGAAACAAAGGCAGCCGTATAAGCTTCACTTTCCCCCGATATAAAGACAAAAAGCTTCCTCACTGTAATAGGGTGTCCATAAAATCGCAAGGGGAATTTATCCATACCATATATTGTTTTGACTCCCACAGATGTATTAAATGAAGTAAAAGTACTTGAACAATTACTGATTAAAAAACAACAAACCTGGTTAAGATATATTGAGAACTGACTTCATAACAAAATTGAAATTGTAAATTGACTTTATGGACACCCAGTATATAAAAGCAAACCTAATACTGGCAAAACAAAATGATGTTTAAACTGTAGCAATAATAGGATAGGATTTTAGGGACTTGATGGACACCTGTATAATATTTTACCTGCATTTTTCCTTGAAGTCCTGCTCTTGTTTCTTCAATTTTTCATTCAAAATAATCAAATCTTTAATTCTTTGCAAAACTTCAGTATCAGCCTGCGATTCCATCTCATCAAATTCATGCATTTTCTCCGCAAGACGCTCTTTAAAGTCGGAAGCAGTAGAGAGCTCTTCTTTTGCCTATAAATGAATTATTAGTTCAAGATTGCTATGCAACAGGCAATGAACAAGCAATCAAACACAAAGATCTATTAATGCCTCTGAAATATTAGCCATTGAACTGTCCAAAAGTGAAGCAAACTCACTTGTAGTACATGCACTCAAGAGTTTCCAGCACAAAGCTGGCGATTTAGTATTGGTTGCAAACATAGATTGAGTCATCTTGTAGTCATAAAATTAAGAGATGAGGACTGCAGTTCCTAAGCCGGACCCGGGGCCCATCATAGAGCAGTTGGAGGGGGGGGGGCACGATGCCAGGCGCAAAACTTACTTTTCTCTTTACAAGAAAACTCCCAATTCATCCTAGTTTCATTGCCTGAAAAGGTTATTTCATACAGTGTTTTCACCTTGTTGAGCATGAATCGCTTGAACATAATGGGATTTGGAATCTACCAATCAAAGTAACACTATAAATACCACCGGAATGATGGAAAGGGGGGTCATGTGTGCTTAAGAGCATCCAGAAGAATATGGAAAGTTGGGAACCACTGTTATAAGCTTTCTTGGTAAGGAGCACAGGCCTGGGATCGGCCCAGAGATAGGGCTGCAGCTCCGTAAAGCATTCTGAATGCAACAAAATACCTGAATGAAATGTAATCAAATTAATCTGGGTAACAATCATAAGATGTACTCACTGTTCGAGCCTCTTCTGCTAACTTAGTATGAATTTCCTCAACTTCTGAAATTCGTTGCCGACTTTCCTCAATCTTGGTTCGAAGCATTGATGCTTTCTTTTCATGTCTGTGATAGAAAGTATTTCTTAAATATGAAGTATGGCAAGTATTTGTTTGAACAAAAAATCATTTTCTTTTTAAAATACTGAACTAATTTCCTACATTTTCGTGAGTTAGCAATGGAAATGTTTCTAAAGAGGCGATTGGGTACTTATATATCTTCTCTTGACTTCACGAAAAAAACAATGATCTTTTATATTTATGTCATTTTAAAAGTGATCAACATGCAGATCTAGTGATGTATGTAATTTTCCACATTAATTTTTCCCCAAATCTAGAATGTTTTCGAACATATTTGGAACTATTTTCTCAAAATGTATTCGAGATAGTAAGATATTCGGATTTAGCCATGAAAAGTACGCAAGTTTTTAGACAAACATTCGTATGAATGGTGGTTTGGGCGAAAAATCGCTTCTCTGTTCAAGTACTGGACCATGAAAGGCTCTCCTAGATGACACCTCTTTATTTTTCAGATTCAGCTCGGCTATATTGTAGCGAAATCATGTATAGTTCCACTCTACATACTTTTCTAATGGTGTCATGACTTCCACTTTTTCGGTTTTCACTCTTCTTGCTAATTCAGCTCGTTTTTCCGCGTATTCAGCGGCAATATTCTGCATTTCTTCCGATTGCATTCCAATAATCGAACCAACTGCACGAGCTGACAATTTTCCTTCAACATCTCGACCTAAAAAAGTTTGTGACTGGTAAAGTGGTAATTTAAAAATATTACAAATTGAAAACACATCTTCAAATTTGTTGCTGTTTCTATATCTAAGCAACAGTGATTTATGAAATTGTTCAAACTTACTTTAAAACGAAACAAACCCCTTGCCTCGAATCAAAAATGCCAGAACTATTTTCAAATTTTGAATTTGACGATAACTTTCAGAAGGTATTAGAATAGTGAAATTTTCATTTTTTTGTGGTAGTGAAAAAATAAATTTTTTCAAAATCTCGATATTCAATTATTTTTATTTTCGGACTTCCCCCTCCCACCTTTTATTTCACTCATTCCTCCCATCAGTTGTCTCAGTTTCTTCTCTTCCTGAATCCTGATTTCTTCTTCCTCATCAACTTCCAGTGATGAAGAATCTTTCACCGTTACCTGGAGATGAAAGTCATTTTGAGACGACATAATCATTATTAATGGGCGGTATTTCAGAATAATAGGATCTTCATATATGAAGAAGTCTTGGAATTTTTTACAATTGCAAAGGGACTTTATCGATACCATATATTGTTTTGGCCCTCACAAGTGTATTAAATGAAGTAAAAATACTTGAACAATTACTGATTAAAAAACAACAAACCTGGTTAAGATATATCGAGAACTGACTTCATAACAAAATTGAAATTGTAAAGTGACTTTATGGACAACTTGTTCATACCAGGGAAAGGAGAGTTGATAAGATTAATGAATGATATGGAAAACCGTGCCCTTTTATTTGGCTACCAGTCCAGGCTAGTTATGAGATTTTGTTAGTATTCTATGTTTGACTTTTTTTCCTCATTATGATTCAATGTTAGACTCCCTCATAGGGAACGCTGCTCGATAACCATTACTGGTTTATCTCGTCTCCCCCACACTGAAATGTATTTTTTTATCTTTCCTCATTATGTTTGTACAATGAGTACTTTCCGCACGCGATAACATAAACTACTGACTGACTGACTGAATATGTTATAAATTTATTGTTAATTATGTACACTTGGAGGATATGTGATCAACTCTGCAATGGTGTGTCCACAAATCCCCTCAGATATAGTCAAGAAATAATTTCAGTGATAAATTCTGCAAACCCCGCACCAGTTAGAGGTGCAAAGGCAAAAGTGTTCCAAATTGATAGAAATCGAAGAATCGAATCGAATTACATAAAATCATAATAAACGTCGAAATTGATAGATAAATCATGACTTTAATACGATAATGATAAATTTCACAGAAGCAGATTTTTTATTTGCTTATGCTCTACTTTCCCCTCCCCTTCTCCCTCAAATAAAAACATATATTATTCTATGCTACACTACCTTAGAGAAAGCAGCACTTATCTCCTCCTGTAGATCTCCAGTCTGTTTCTTCTTTCCAGTCTGTTCTTGTTTCCCTTCTTTCAGTTCTTCATCTGTTTTCATGCTTTTCATCAGTCCTGGTAATAAAGAATTTGTCAATAATTAAACCACCGGAAAAAGGTTGGAAATATTTCAGAAGAGTGATCTCTCGCACAGACTCAGCTTTGCCTAGAGCAGGGGTTCCCAAGCTTTTTTCAGGACGACCCCAAAGACAACTTTCAAGTGTCCAGTGCGACCCCAGGTCAATAAATATATTTTTCATGGAACTTTAGAGCTTCTTTCACTGGACTTTCGAGAATGGTCATGTGATGGTTTAAGTAAAATAAGGTAAAACCAAACAGTGATGTCACAATAATCACCTACATTTTCTATAGCTTAAAAATATAGAGCGATGTCTATGGGCCTGTTTTACAGTAAGCCATGGTACAAACTGCTAAATTTAACATGGTTTGTCAAATATTAGATGTTTTGTACATCCAACCTCTACCATTAATCAGCGACCCCATGACCTGTTTGGGAACCCCTGGCCTAGAGTAAACTCGATGCGAAGGAGTTTCTAGAGCAGGGGTGTGCAACAGTTGCAGGTTGCTCCCCCCCCCACTTTTTGAAATGTAAAAAAACATTTTTCTCTAGCATACATAGCAATTTTTATAGGTCGAAACACTTTTAAGTCTCTTAAGACTTTTGAAAACCTACTTTTTACAGCCATTGGCCGAACCCGCTAGCCATAATGGTCTAACGAGGCGGAAATTGGGAATTTTAGAATCCTCCCTCCCCCTTCGAAGATTTCTGGCTATGCCCGTGTCACAGGCACGGCACGAGCCAGTCAATAAGTTGGCAAAGAGCAAGGCGAGTTAACACGCAGCTAAATGGATGAAATGCGAATGTTGATAATTGATGTACAGATAGAGGCGTCAGCCAGGATTTAAAAAAAAGGGGTGAGTCCAGATCGGAATCAAAAACATCCTGTGCAATGGCTTCTAACATGATTACGCCACTCATTGAAATAGCCCAAACTTTTTTCTGTTGCGCAAAATAATCATCATACACAGATAAACAACTTAAATCGGCTGAAATGTCAATGTTGATAATAGATGTACAGATAAAACTTAAAAGTTTAAACAAGACAAAAACCTTACCAGATCTTTTACCATACTCTAACAATGTTGATGAAACTTTTGATTCTTCCGTTTTCAAATCACTTTTATCCTGACGTTTATATTTTCTTGACGGCCTGAGATCAGAAACATGAAATAGATTTTACCAGTAATCATATTTTATAGTACAGAAAAAGACTTTTCCTTCTGCACAATACCGTAAACTAGGGGTGTGCAAAGTTTTTGGTCGGTGGGTCATATAACCAACTTAAGACATCTAGCTGGAACACACATCTCTAGTGTAGCATAAAGCAGTGGTCGTCAAACTTTTTGAGACGCGACCCAATTTTAAAAATTATGACGTATGATAAGCTTGTGACGCCTAGGTATGGCAAAGAAAATTTCAAACCACTAAAAACTGATCACAGTAAAATCTCATTCCCAAAAACTCTATTACACGCTTTAGATTTCGTGTTACAATTTAATTATTGCCGTCACACAATAGCCCTATTATAAAAGATATCACTGTAATTCAGAATACCCAACTTGCTGTGTAGTGCTAGTCAGCTCAGGTAGAATGCACGCAATAGAATAATAAAAAATATACCAAGAATACAACGCCGGACACTCGGCGACCCCCGAAATATTCAAGGCGACTCAACTTGGGGTCGCGACCCACACTTTGGTGACCACTGGCATAAAGGAACTGTTTAATGCTCTAGAGCAGAGCTACTCAACAGGCGGACCGCGGTTCGAATGTGGACCCTTCGAGTATTTGATTCGGACCGCACCTAATTCTTTATTTGAGATCATTAACCCCACTTTTGAAGTTTCCTTTTATAAAATGACTTTTATAGTTTTGAATATAGCCTATATGAAAAGAACTATAACACCATAATAAGCAATTTTGATTAGCTAATAATCATTAACAGGTTGAGGAAGTGTGCATTTAAGGATGCCGAAATATAAATTCTGGAAAGACCGGACCCAAATAATTTTGAAGTTTTGTATGCAGATCTTCGGAAAAAATAGTTGAGTAGCCCTGCTCTAGAGAAGAATATGTAGAGAGCTAATGTATATTAAAAGGGCCAAGACCCACAGAATGAAGCATTCTGGAGCATGTAATGCATTCAAATATTGATATCTGTAAGAAACACAGATGTGCGAGGTCTTAAAAATTTTATCACAATTGTTTGATGCTTTGTTTCAGTTGGAAATTTCAATCTCAAATTTGATAAAAAAGGCACTCCAGAGAACTTCAAAAACATGCTTCCTTGCATGAGCTGCAATGAAAAGATATTCAAATCTGTCAATTCTCTCACCTATAAGCTGCACCCAATGAATTTAACGATTCTTTTGTCTTTATTTCTTGTTGCTCTTCATCACCACCTAGTGATGCTTTCTGATGTTTATCAAACTGCGAGATACTAAACGCTCGAATATGATCCCCCATCTCGGCACGGGTCTCAACTACCTTTTTAACCAGCCATTGTATGACTGGGAAAATACTTTTGAAGTCCAGACCTGATATTATAAAAAAGTAAAAAAGAGGCTGCGGGTTGAGTAGCCTATAAAATTGAAAAAAAAAGCCAATTTCAAGTTGGAAGCATATTTTTATACTCTCCAACTAAGAGAGATAGAAATTTAGGTCTGGAAGAATACCAAAGAGTTGGGAGTGAATCATATTCAAATGTCTATGTCAGACAATTATTTAACAGATCAAGACCAACATCCCAAATGTTTGCGATTTGATTAAAATAGACGGGCAGATGCAGACGTGCCAATGCAGCGCTGTCCAATATTTATCAACTGCACATACCTATGGCCTCTTGGGTTAGTAAAGTCAAACTCGAATGACCTCACCTCAAACACAATATTTCCTTGTATATAGGTGACCGCTTATCTACATCCCCGTCCAGAAAGAATTTGAACAAGTAATAAAATTTGATAACTGTAATTGGATTAATGAAACACGAACGGAAATATAACAGCCTAAACTTGATAAATGTCCAATTAAAAGTGATGTTTGGTAAATAACCTTCAGAGCTAATCATTTTAAAAACATAAACCTTGAACTTGATGGGGTTCAATCCTATGTGAACATTTCATTTTCGGGAGAACAGCAACAATTTTTTCTGTGAGCGATATTTTTTGCCCAATTGTAGAATTCTCTTGGAACAGAAGATCAACATCGACATCAAAATTGCAGATGGAAATACACCAGGTCATCCCGCCAACGACCTTATCAAATGGTGAAAGACCTGAGAAATGGGATTATTTATACAATTGTTATTTTCCAATATCGAACATCAATAATATTGTAGGAAAGGATAAGGTTTACATTTTTTATCTCAGGGGAAAGGAAAGGCGATAAAATGGCATAATCATATGGCAAACCACGATCTCTCGTCCGGTTACCAGTCCATGTTGGGTAGGGAATAGTTGGCCAGTTATTTGTTTTCAGATGCATGGACTCGATGATGAAGGAAGTCGCAACCGACCAGCGGCTACGTGAACCACCCTATGGCAGCGAGGAGTCCAGCAATCCTCTCACACATAACTATCCACGCATGGGATTCGAACCCACGCAGGGTAATCAGGGGTGGGTGCAAGCTTATTCCAAACGCTTAGCCCAGCCATTGTAAATTGGGTCAAAATTAATGAATATACAGAAGTCAATGAAAAAGCAATGAATTTAAATTTGAAATTGAGAGAAACTCTATTTGATCATAATGCGAGACTTCAATTGATTATAATGATAAACGAAATAAGTATACATACGAGCCAAGCACCAGTAAAATCAAGTTAAGGCTTGTCGGCCCTGGCAGCATGATACAGCAACGAACACTCCTTCTCTCACCTTTTATCCTCGCTCTGAAATATCCTGCTGCGACAAGCAGATCAATGATTTCAGCAAATCGTTGTTGTTGAAGTTCGTCATCTCGAGTTTCTACTTCCACTAGATGGCCCTCTTGATCATAATCCGGCCCAATTCTCGAACTAGCCCGAATACGTCCGAAAATATTTGAACCAGCAGACATTTTTTACTCAATTCCAAAAGCAGCAAAATACAAAAGTTATGCCTACTGCTTAATCTAAAGCTACAGAGAAATAACAAAATACATTATGATGTAACAAATACATTGTGACATAACACAAAAATTATGATGTAATAAGAAAATTCAATCAAGCAAGATTCAAAAATTGCAAAATGATATTATCCAATATTACATAAATAAGCAAAATGTATCATCCTTGTCAAGTTTCAGTTTGTATTCTCGAGTTCATTGTTATTATTTCTTTCAAAATCAGATGGCTTTGTTTTCAGAATTTCTTCATGGAATCGTCAAATTTGGGAATTTAGAGCGTTACATTGCCCATACAATGTTGATATGAATATTCAGTCAAAGGTTATTCCATAGCTGAACAACGAATGAGCATAGCAAGCACGAATAATTCCAGATGTAGTCCTCTCTTCTATATTTGAAAAATGATGAGGTTTTTGAATGTTGGTGTTCCATGAATGGTTTGATTAAAAGACAATACTGCAACTCGATAGACGCATCTTCCTCTCATGATTGAGATATTTGCAGTACTTTGCTGCATATTTCCCACTCACACATCGGCAGCTGTTGAGTTTCCGAGCCAGAAAAAGAATAAAATTTATAGCAAGCAGAGCAGGCTCAAGTTGTAGAATCTTAGAATAGCAAATTTTTTTTTCAAGACGGAATAAGATTTACCATACACGAGAGTAAGGACAATAACATGGCCTAATTATAATGGCAAAACATAGGATCTTGTCTGTTTGCTAGCCCGGGTTGGATATTGATATTGTAATATAACAAGTAATCGCTCAGATGCATTGGGCATAAATGATGGAGGAAATCGTAGCGGGTCTGTGTTTAAATGCCATACCCGATAAATTCTCAAAGTGCTCCATACAAAGCCTTAATTCTCCGGTAGAAAAACCTTGGGGCTCCGCGTGATACTTGTTTACTCATCAATTTACTGGACAATTATTTCAATACAAAGCAGCAAATACATTCGAGTCATCTAGTTTACTCAGGGGCATTAATCAATAAACAACAATGTGTATTTTTGTTTTTATAAATTCATTGAGGGGCCCGGTAAAAATTAGTTATCCTCTTCACCGAATCCGTAACACCAAATATCCTCACTACCCTACAGCAACAAGAAGTATACATGTTTAAACCTGCAAATATACGCAGAGTAATCAGTATCTGGAAATTTTGATCCATATTTCAACTGAATTTACACATTTCAAAATATGAATTTCAGCAAAATCCACAAATAACATAATATTAATATGCTTATGGTTCACAAGGTAGGTCACTTGGAAATCGCATACAGGGAGTCCTCGGGTTACGCGGGTCGCAACTTGCGCTGTTTCGAGGTTACGAACGCGCACTCCATAACGCTGTTTCGAGGTTACGAACGCACTCCATTAAAAATATAAAAGATGATACTGTACTGTACAGTATTTGCTTTTATTCATGTGATATGAAATTGTTTTCTGTTTTTTTAATAAAGTACTTTTTTGCAATATTTGTACATTTTATTACAGTACCATACTTTACAATACAGTACGATATGTGTAACTTATGCACTGTACAGTATAATGTTCCGACTTACACTGAAATTCGGGTTACACCGCGTCTCGAGAACGGAACAACGTCGTAAGTCGAGGACTCCCTGTATACATGATAATTTAAATAATACAAAATGGACCAAATTTCGAAACATTTGCTTCAGATTTCCTTACCAACAATCAAACACAAATTTTCACAATTATTAAGGTTGTATTTTAGGCAATGACGAAGACTGGCGAAACAACCACAGAAAAATCAACAATCTTTTTAACTTTTGTGAAAATTATTGTATTGAGAAACTTATTACTTTAGCTCTGACACTGGAACATGATGAACAAAAAACTCTCTGTCACTGATATTTGTGGCATTTGACAAAATATTATGGCTGACTAAAATAAATAGTCTGTTGATGACTGTACTATCAGATTTTATTCATACAACAGCTCACTTTCTTGAGGCAAAGTTATTTCTTTTATATTTCTAGCCCAAATATTAACAGAAAAATGTTTTTTCAGTGAAAAAATAAGCAATTATGCAGTGAGTCATTCAAGATTCTGAAACTGGGTGCAAAAAAACTAGTAAAAAAAGATTAAAAAAAAAATAAAAAAACAAAAAAAAATATATAAATTGACCTAATTTGTAATTAGAAAAAAAAACAGCTGGAAAATAATGCAGATTTGGTTTGAAACACAAAAAAAAAATCACAATTTGGCCGGCAAAAATGTGAAATTACACATGAGAACTTGAAAGATATGAAACAGATCTGCCTGGAAAATAAAGGGAAAATGGTTAATTTAGAACACTATTATAAACATAACCGCAGTATAATTGAATTAGCTCATGTCAAATGTTTGTAATTTTCAGATCTGTATGGGGGAATTAAAAATGGACATACAGCATCATCTAAAATCAAAACTAAAGCATGTACAGCTTTGAAACCCAAACCAAAAGATGGTCACTGGTTCATGATAATCAAAGATCTAAACCAGGGGTGTGCAACAGGCAGTCAGCGGGCCAATTAGGCCCAAATCTCTGAAAAATCTGAAATAGGGGTTACCTGAAATCAAAAATAAAACAGATATAGCATTCAAACCCAGACCAGAAGATGGTCACTGACCCATAATGACAGAAGATCCCAAAACACATGACAGAAAAAATGTGACGTAAGCTACCTTGGTTTTAAGGCAGTGATATGGTAAAGTTAGTATTTTAGAATCTTCCAAATAAATTCAATTTGAAGGTTGTTTTCAAGGAATCTGAGTTTGCAGTAAGATTACATCTTGTATCACATTTGGTTTGGTCCTGAAAGATTTCAAATATTTGCCTTCGATTCGCATACCAGCAATTTGTTATAATAATACATACACAGAATAATATTTCGATGCAGTTCCAAACCTCCAAACCTTTTAGGGCTTGTGTCCCAAAAGGCTAAAGTCGAAGGCAATTGACTAACAGCAACTACATAGTTTAGAATTCACAAAGTACTTATAGTATTTATAGTATTAATTTGATTGGCAGATTCCAAATCCCATTATTATTAAACAATTCATACACAAGTAGAAAAAACAACTGAATGAAATAAAGTTTTCAGGTAGTGAACCTACAGAAAAGAGAGAATTTTCTTTTAAAAGGGAAATTGCAATAAAATCAAATTTTCGAACAGTATTGTCCTCTCCCCCCCCCTACAACTGCTCTGTGGCCATTTAAGTGGGCCACAAGCCCCCAGGTTGGAAACCACCAATGTAATGAAACATCATTCGACTCGCAATCGCAAGTGCCGCAATTTATATCATGCCGCAATTTATATCATGACTAGAAAGGGTGATATCAGAATAGCTTGGAACACTCTTGTAATGAAGCAATAAACATCCATTTTCACTCACTAACTCATCAAAAAAATTTACAAAGTACCGGTAACAAGACAAAAATTCAATAAGAACGATAAAGGAATGTTTCATTACTGATTAGTTACATAATATTTATTCAAGTATAACAGACTCTCAGGTATAACACGTTGAATTACTTTTTGATTGAAAATTGGTAGGAAATTTCAATGATCCATCTAAAAATCAATTTTTGAGAAATTTCAAGAAATGAAATTGCATTTCTTATGGAAGGGAATTTTAAACGTGATACTAATATTCCCATTGGTAGTAGCAACCGAAGGTTCTCCAAATCCTAACGGTACCGAATCATGCCAGTCTGATAGGCTAAACTTTGTCACAAATTAAATTGCTGAGCCGAGGTGATGCTAATGGAACACCTTTATTGAATCACTCAAATACCACCTACATTTTGCTGAAGTATTTCTGATACACCTTCTGAGCGTAATTTTTATTCACTCATTCAAAGCATTTTATTCGTAAGTTAACAGCCAATATATATTTCACTCCAACTAAAATTTCAGACAAGCCACATGAAACCGGAAAATAGTGGATTCAGAAAAGTTTTTTTTATCTCTGAGAATGGACAATAATTTGTTCATAATGTTAAACTTGGCCAATTTAGAACATATTCAACATTGCAGAATTACAGAAAATATAGTAAGTAGATCATTAGATTTTGGATATTACTGTCAAATCAACTACGAGTACAATGTACAAATAACTGGCCTTTGTTGTGTCACAAAATTTTTCTCAAATAAGACAGAAACAGCTTAATTGGCAGAGTATTAGATTTAGCATTAGATATACAAGCACAAGAATTATTCAAGCTATTATATGAGACTGATTTTGCAAGGTTTTGGAAGTTCTAAATGCCTGGTGTTGTCAAAATATTTATGATCTTTCGGTTGAAGACAAATCACCGCTTGGGATTTCATTTGCTATTTTTTAAAATAGTAATTTGTAGTTTATCACAAATTTACTGCAGAATAAATCTTTTTAAACCGTTATCACTTCTTAGATAAAAACATAATACTGCAATATTTTTTAGGAAATTTACTCAAAGCAATGTTACACACACTCACTCAGAGGGAAAAGAGACTAATCTCTGAGCGAAGTTGCAGATACTCACTCAGGAGTAAAGGAGACTCATCTGTGAGCAAAGTTATGAGCACTCACTCAGAAGTAAAGGAGACTCATTTCTGAGCAAAGTTACGGGCACTCACTCAGAAGTAAAGGAGACTCATTTCTGAGCAAAGTTACACACACTCATTCAGAAGTAAATAAGACTCATCTCTAAGCAAAGTTACACACACTCCCTCAGAAGTATAGAAGACTCATCTCTGAGCAAAGTAATATGCACTCACTCAGAAGTAAAGGAGACTCATCTCTGAGCAAAGTTACAGACAGTCACTTATTAAAAGTAAAGAAGACCTATTTCTGAGCAAAGTTATATGAATTCACTCATAAGTAAAGGAGACTCATTTTGAGAATAATTACAGGCACTCACTCACTCAGAGCGGGAGATAAAATATAAAGAATTATGATGGAACATTACACTCACTTGCTTAGAAGTGAAGGAGACTGCTGAGCAAAATTACAGTTGACTAGTGAAATGACGAAAATTGCTAAAACTTTTAATTAAAATAGTTCGTTAGAAGCCAGAAAATTGAGGAATTAAACTATTCAGTGGGCGTATTTGCACATTCTCTAACATGACCAGAACCAGTAGCATCAAATAGTAACCATAGAAACCTTACAAAATCAGTCCCAAAAGCAGTTACAAAGTACATATAATAGTTTAGCTCAATATTAATACAGCAATACATTACAGTACAGGTACAAAAAATAGACAAAAACCCTCCCAATAAGCTAAACTAAGCTAACCCGCCCGCCCACAAAAAAGCCCCAAAACTGGGGGTTAAAAAATTTCCTAGTGGTATAAAAAATAAACAAATAAATAAATAAAAATTGCCTAACTTCGATGACTTTCATTTGAACCAGACATGCTTCTACATTGGCCATTATAAATAATACAACCTGGACATATTTTCTAAGGAATTTTATTCATTATTTTCTTTTGGTATTGAAGTTTTGCTCAGTAGTAATTGTGGCAAGTATCGGTTCGTAAGAACTTGGCAGTATCTATTTTACTTAAGTGAAACCTTGCTACGATTTTAGAAACTCGCTGATGGAAAACACACACAACTTACACATTAGCGACTTCGTATTGATATCTGTTTAAATAAACACTATGTAAAAATGACTGTTCTGTAGTAGCCATTTACGGTAATTTTGCAGCCACAAAAGCACTGCATACTGTTTAGTAAGCGGGAATATCCTTGGGTCGTTAGATTTCACACATTTTATTTTTTTTAAATTTGGGACGCTTGGAAAAACGGTTCGGAAAAACTGATCTAAATAACCTTAGATCAGTGATCGGCAACCACCGGGCCGCGGCCCATCGCCGGTCCGCGGAAAGGTTACTACCGGTCCGCAGAAACGTGGCACAAAAGACGGACAATGTCCTAATAACATGTTTAGTTGATTAACAACTCAAACAATAATTAGCTGAAAAAGTCTTTGCGATTTATAGGGTACTTCGGCAGTCTTTTGGGCAAGACTACTAACTGAATACCCCGGCATTGCAAAAAAGCTTTACAAGCATTTTTACATCTATGTGAAGTCGGGTTTTTAAAATTGACAACTACAAAATCGCAGTAGGCTGAACGTAAGAAAACACATTACTTGAATAACATCACCTTTATTCTCTGAATTTAATATCAACCTATTTATCCTTTCACATATAATTTATTACATAAGCTTATTCGCCAAAAAGTCCGCCAAAATTCTGGTCAGGCTTTACCGGTCGGTCCGTCACCGAAAAAAGGTTGCCGATTACTGCCTTAGATGATATTTTATAAATATGGGAGGAGAGGAAAGTTAATATGAAGGTCCAATCAGACAGGAAACACAGTCTTTCATTGTTATACAGTCCAAATGAGATAAAAGTCTAGTTAATCAGATTTATGTATCATTTAAGTATGGCCAAGACATAGCATGGACTGGTTCAATGATCATCTGAAACTAAAATACTATTTCCTTCAAAACCTTCACGTAGCTTTCACCATAGAATGAGCAGATTCAATCCGAATAAAATTATGGAAATGTCCAACTGAATATTATCATTATTATTTTCAATGATATCTTATTTGATATTAGTGTTGCACTCCAGTTCTATTGGTAACAGTATTCTGGAGAATTCTGAATTCTAACTATTAATTAAGTTGCGTAAATTTGAATGGCCGCCATTCCTGTTTCAAACGAATGTCCAATTTATCACAAATACTTTGCTTAGCATTTCATAAAATTTTTAATATCAGAACTTTTCAAGAACATTGTTGCATTGCTTCATAGTTATTACAAGATTTTTGATACAATTTTATTTATTGATTCTGCTCATCCTTGAAGTGCATTTTACAATGGATACCATTGGACCAACACGGACCCAGAAAAGCAGTCACTGGCCAATCAGGAAGCCTTTCTGAGGTCCGCAAGAAAATCCAAGGATATTCCTCCTTACTTTGAAACCAACCAACAACACATTGTGCAAAAAATTATGGCCAATGGCTTTTGCCAAATGACCAACACATGCATGCATAGCTATAAACCTAGTCCATTGCAGTTTGTCCTATGATCTTTTATCCTACCATTTGTGGTGGTTTGACAATTATAAACCTACCACTAATCCCTAGATTCCTCTCCCTATCTGCCCTATTGATGTAGCGATTAATACCTAACATCAGGGTGTTGTGCGCTGAGACCCAGCCCTTACAAGGGCCCCCTAGATGTTTGTAAGCCCCCGTTATACCCCATAGTTGACCATCAGACGTTCTTTTAATGCCGGTGGAAACATTTCCTTGTATCGGGTCCAACTCTCTTCACCAACCTGAAAAATAACAAAGGTTTATTTTCAGGCTTACAGGAAGAATAAAACGAGAATATCGGTCAGAGACCAAAGACTTATCGATCGAAAGTTAGGGGATCCCCCAAACAGCGCTCTTACTCCATAGTGACACCTTGTGTCCTATCACTAATTAATTAATAACTCGCTAATTATACGACATAATTCGCCCAAAATTAATAGGCTTCTGGTCCGAGATATGATGAATGCACATGCAAAATCTGAAGCAGATTCAATCTCGCTTTCGGGAGATATCGCGTGCATCTAACAGACATACAGACAGACAAAAGTTTAAAACGTTACAGGAATTCATTTGTGTTGGTGTGCAAGCAGGTCTCTTGAATTGCATAGTATAGTCATGTTTTTCCTGCTACAGCATCCTTGCCTGATACGGATCCACCAGCATAACAGCATAGAGAAAGGATAGGAAGTTAGTCTCGCGCAACCAAAGTCATATTTATTAACGTGATATTTAATTTCTAAATTTTCAACTAAGAAGCAATTTGTTTAAGCATTCTGTCCACAGATAATTGAAAAGGGCTCACAACAATGTTTTTTTTCAGGCTGGGGTCGAATTCTATATTTCTGTCAACCAGAAGCGGTGAATTATTACTTATCGATTTTAATCGGTAAGTATGTTGATAGGTATTTGTCTGTATGTCTGTTAGATGCACGCCATATCTCACGAAAGCGAGATTGAATCTGCTCCAGATTTTGCATGTGCATTCATCTTATCTCGGACCAGAAGCCTATTGATTTTGGGCGAATTATGTCGTATAATTAGCGAGTTATCAATCAATTATTGATATAGTGATCTAGATTTTTGTAAAGCGAGAGAATTTTGAGACCCGCCGAGTGTGTGTGTGCGATGCGCAGTGCGCAAATTACAAGAGCGGATGAATTGAAACTGTAGTTTCAGTTTTGGGGGATCCTCTAACTATCGATCGATAAGTCTTCGATTTCCAACCGATATTCTCGTTTTTTAAGCAGCAAGTTTGAAAAGTTGTCAAACGTACCTGTTCTTTATATCCATGCAAAATATTATTGAAAATTTCCTTCAGATCAGCCTTTGGTTGACTCCATGAAGCAATGGCGTCGCAGAAATAAATGTAATCTTTCAAAATTCCGTTTGGATTGACACTAATCATCGAGCAAAACCCTCGGAACGCAGAATCTTTCTCTTCATTGTCTCGAATGTTTCGTAAAGCTTGACACCACGGCATTGCAAATTGTGGTAGAAGAGGTGCAACCTTGGTTAAGAAATTTAAAATTTGTCAGGAATAATGATGGATATAATCATCATTTGAATGGCTTCCTCTATAGAGAGCTATCAGATTGCCTTATAGACAACAGGCTAGGAGTAGAGATCGAGATATGGTCTCAATCGACATTTGAATGACCTTCATGGAGAGCTATCGGCCTGCCATATAGACAACATGTTAAGAATACACATACGGTCTCAGTAGCCATTTGGAAGCCTCCTCTGTAGAGGGCTATTAGGTTGCTATATAGACAGTAGGTCAGGAATAGTTAGGTCCCAAACACATCAATACATTGGCCCAGGTCATCACCAATTACGCTGCACTGCATTTTAATTCTGTAATAGACGAAGTGGTCTGTGGCAAACTGGAACGATTCCGCACACAAAGACAATGAGCTTCAATATAGACAGCAGGTACTGCATTTGATTCTATAGCATTCAAACTCCCAAATTCGATAGGCGAAGCCGGAGCGAAAAAAAATTGTAGTTTCTCAAATATCAATGACTGCTTGTATGAAGCCTTGTTCAGAGTGATAGTGTGAAAAACACTCCTTATAAAAAAAAGAAGAGAAAAAAAAAACTTCTTCCCGATTTAATCTAAACTTACCTCTTCTGGGCATACAAATCCAAGGCGTCCAATTGTGATGGCTGTATTTTCGAGCAAAGTTTTCGGCGTTCCCCCTCGGTTTATGATCATGACTAGAGGATTCAGCATCAGACTAATGTATGGCTTCATTTCTCCTCCTAGCTGGACTGAAATTTCCCCGATCGCCCATGTTGCGTTGTTGCACACAGAAATCAGTTCTGGGTTGAGATTCTGTGCCAGTATCGGCATGAACTCTGGTATACAAGGCTTGACATGTTGGAAACAAGCTTTGGTGAGATCCCCGAGGAGAGCAAAAGAACTTTGACGAACCTCTGGCATCTGGTCTTGCATGCACTGGTACATGTACGCCAAAACGTTACTTTGAACCACGAGTTGGTCGATGTGGCCTCCGAGACCTTCTGCGAGTCCGCTTAGCAAGTCAAGAGCTACAATCATGAAATCTTTATCTGGCTGTTCATATTGCTCTGGATTTTGCATGAATAGAACGTTTAACGTAAGCGTCTGTTGGACTAAATTCACGCAACGTTGGAAAACAGGCTCACAGTACTGGAGGAATCCAGATTGAAGTGCTGTAGCAACAGATGACAAGCATTCCAGTAAAGGAAATAGATCTTTATCTTCATCTCGAAGGCTGTTCCATTTCGCGATTAACGGCGGCATCAACATTTGTATGTAATCAGGTTTGTTGAGGTGGTTTCCGACGGAATCTGCTAAAGTTCCGATAGCATCGTATAAAATCAGAAGATTTTTATGTTGGTATTTATTGAAAGCGTAGACCAATGTTTGTAGAATGAATTGTAAATATGGAACTAGCTCGGTACACGCTTCTTCCTCGAGAGTAGCAAAAGCACTGCAGGCTGCTTCTTGGACACGCTTGTTTGAATCCAGGACACGCTTGAGTAACTCTGTCATCAGAGGTTTCAAATATGCTTCATGACCGTTTTGTTGCGACTGAGTTACAATCCAGTGAGCGTAACGAGACAAAGTCCAGCAAGTGATAGAACGAACGAGAGCTTTTTTATCGTTGAGAGTTTGAATCAAAAACGGAATCAGCTTTGGTAAATGTGGCAACATGCCGTTCATGCATCCTTCCGCTATGGCTCCTAGAACGAGAATCCCGCTTTCTCTCAAAACCCAATCCTGATGGAATAACAATTCGTTCAATTTTTCTAAAATATGCGGCAGAAGCTCGTCATTGAAAACATTTGCAAGAACATCAAGACCAGCAGCCGAACATTTTCTCAAATTCCAATCAGAAAGTGCTTCGTCATCATCAATTCCTGCATCGTCATCATCATCCTCATCGTTACCATGGACACCGTCACCATCGGCAGCATTGGTTTCTTGCATACTATGAACTTTAGATTTATGAAATCGTGGTTTAATATCTTGCTCTTTATCTGGAATCATTTCATCTTCCTCCACGTCTCCTTTTAGCAAAATAATATCAATTTCGGAATATTTCATTCCGTTGATTATTATCGGAATCAAACGAGGCAAAAACGGGGTTAAGACCTCCTTGCATACTTGTTGTTCTGCGAGAGTTAGCCAGAATTCGCACGCTTCAAGCGCGACCGTTTCATCCTGATCCTGTGTACGTACCAACATATATTCAACGATGTTATTCATGTGAGGGAGAAGTTTGTCCATTCTGACTTCTTGCAGCATCACGAGAGCACGACAAACATTCTTGCGGACCTCAACGTCTTCATCAGTCGCAAGGGTAAATAATCCCTGAATAAAGTCATCAATATGGACCATAAGGGCTTGGTTTCGACTGATAATAAACTGGTTGACACATGAAATAGCATGAGAACGTATCTTCGGACTGGTATGTTTGAAAAATTGCAAAAACTTCGGAATCATAATGTTTAAAGGTTGTGATTGTTCATCCCCTTCCAGTTGTTCCACGCAATCTTCACAAACTTTTTGAAGAGCGCCAAACGCTCCCTCACAAGTGTTATAATCTTGTGAGTCCAGCAAATTACACAAATACGGCAATAAATCGGTCCAATTTGACAAATCTCCTTTCGCAGCGATCGTCGTAATCAGAATTCCCACAGTCGCACGAATCAAAGGCGATGGATCTCCGAGAGCTTTCAAACACTCCTGTTTTATGAATTCACCGACCGTTGGAGGGAAATTATTATAATGCATCTTGACGTTGTTTTTCAAGATCAAACCGGCAAGAGAACGTGTCGGTTCATCCTCTGTCGTCAATTTCGTGAGAACGAAGATCAAATAATTATTGAAATCGGGATATTGGTTTAGCTGATCAAGCTTTACTTGGACTTGTCGCTGAATGTCGGTGTCTGGAGATTGAGATTCCTTGAGCAGGGTTATAATCTGCTCCAATCCGGACGAATCAGGTTGCCAAGTCATTCTTGTCTTTGTTAATTGCTCAGGTATTAAATTAAAGTTTTCTCGTGCGGAAAAATTATTGTCAGTAACTAGTTTGTATCTAGGATTATCCTGAAAGTATAATTGTAAAGTTAAGAGTTAACAAGAACGGTTAATATTGGACTTTAACAGTTAGCAGTTATTTGTTTCATGAACCGATTGGTGGAAGAAGCCATGACCAACCAGCGTTACGAGAGCTCTACAATGGCGAGGAGTCCAGCAATTCGATCGCACATAATGTAGGCAAGTGTGATACAACAATGGTGAAAAAATTGCTAAAATCAAATAATATACGATTTCAATTACATTCCAAAATATTATTTAGGGTTATTATATTAGGGTCATCTTGTATTACTGTATTAGAAGAACATAGAATGTAACATATCATTTTCAATGAGTTTGAATTATAGTGATTCGATTGCATTTCCATTTTTATAGCTTTTCGAAATTGATGATTAAACTATTGTAAATTATGCCTAAAATGAAGGATAGGATTTATATATTATCCTGGGGGAGAGAAAAGTCGATAAAACGGTTTAATCATCTTGGAATGGAGAACTGTGGACTATTGCACTAATAGAAGTGAATATTCTCACTTCTTTAGCCCTTTCTGCCTTACTCCTGCATCGTAAAATGTAGGAATTTACGATTTTGAAAATTGATTTGGCACTCACAGACTTGACACTGTGATAATTAGGAATAATCAATTACCTTCTAACTTGATATGAAAAACAAACAAAAATTGAATTTCAAAAAGGAAAAAACACGGCCGCAAGAGGTTAGTTTATTTCCTGTCATTTTTGCCGAATGGGCTGAACTAGGTCAGTAGGTACCGGTACCGGTATTCGACATAACACAATTTTATTTGAATCTTTCGTTTGTAACAGAGAACGAAAAATACTGTGGGATGACCTCTAGAATACTTTCAAAATTATTAAAATTCGCCTATCATAGTTTTATATCCAAATATATTAAACATAAATTGTGTGTGCGTGCGTGCGTGCCTCAATTAGTTTTTTTTTACTTTTGGGTGAGCGAACACGTACTACTTCTTTCATCAATACCTTTCCATCTAAAATCTGTACGTTTCAAACCTTACTCAAGGTTTTGTTCGCTCTCCCGATTCTATAATCAGTTACTTTTATTTTATCTATTATTTTATAGTCTATTGCTGATTCTGGAGTCGAAATAAACTTATACTTATTATCTTACATCACCACAATTTTTCAGAAATCCTCTCAAAATGCGTGGTCAGGTGAGCGCCAGACAAAACCTATTTGCAGCTAAACCGGAACCGGACTTTTTTCAACCTTTGACCCGTAGCAGAATAAAGGTTTTGAAATTCTAGGTTCACGCTAGATGAAGTCTCATATACGGATTATGCCGCATTTTTTTTCTGGTAGCCCACACAAAAACACTAAATAAATTGTACCAAGCAAATAGAAAAACAGACTATCCCATGATACTTGGTAGTAAATTACAGTCATTAAAAAAACGCCTAATTTTACCAACAAAGTCGCCGCTAGGAGGCTCGCAAGTTTTTTGGGGTAGCCCATTTACTGATCAGTAATATTCTGCCACCAGATCCATATCATTGTGGGTGTAAAACGCTAGACAGTCTTGCACCCCAAAGTGGCTGAATTACGATCATTTCCTAGCCGTTTCCCGAAGAATCCTATTTTTCTGCCATTCAAACAGAATTGCAACCTAAAATTGTGAATCTGACAATAGACATTTTAGCTTCTGATACTGGAAAGCATACTTTTCCGCTATAAAACTGAATTGAAAACAACACCTCTTGTTATATATTTATTCATTATTTAATAGAGCTAAATTATTTTTAAGAAAATTGCACACGAAAGTAAAATGTCGCAAAGAATAGTATTTTGCAGTTGAAACATCACTGCTTGATGGCTGTGGACTTTGATATTCTGACAATTCAACCTTTTCTGGCAAACTTTTACAAAACTTCTGGCAAAATTTAGTTTCGCTCTCCTGCGAGAATTTGGACATAACTGAATCGAAATTCTTTTCGTTTAGAAAAACAAAACCTGTTTCCAAAATTTTATGAAAACTTGTTAGAATAATCCTTCTGTGACACCATAATGCTTCATGTGCATCATAAAGGTCTAATAATTTCTCATTATGATGTAAAGAATCTATAAACACAGTGGATATAGTAGAAATATTTGTTTTCGAGAACTCTGAAAATTTACAACACTTTTCTGAGCAAATTATGGGCAATATTATCAAATTTGCCCATTGGAATTGAACATATATAGCAGCAGTTAAAATACTAATATCTGAAATATGCTTTTCCAAAAAAAATCGCATATTATTTACATCAGTGGACAAGAAACTGATTATATTTTGCCAAATTCGAAATGAAGTATCCACACAAGCACAAGACAAAAATTCTTTCGATTTATATAACTGACTGGCAAATTTGAATAAAACATCAACAACCCAAGCCCTGTGTGCCCATGCATTATAATTGCTCTTCTGTTTTTCTCCTGCCAAACAACAGACAGAGAACTCTGTTCTCACAAGGTTAAGAAGAGCTTCAATGTCAAAATTAAGAATGTTTGAGCAATCATGTGACAGATCATTGTTGCCAGTATTTCCAGCATTGTTGTATTGATTTAAATCGTCGAAGTCTTTTAAAAGATATCGCATAATTTGAAGAACAACCCATCTTCTATGCGCAAATGTTTCTGAACTTTTTGGCCGCTGCATAAGTACCAGCCTGGACAGTGCAAGTTCTTTTCGAAAAAGATTGGTCTTGTCATTCATCGAGTTCATCAAGATTATGTTTTTTCTTTCGTTCCAAGCTGTGGTACAGTCTGGGCAGCAGAAGACAACGCATCTGGAAAAAAACGCAAAAATTCAACAATATAAGTAAAAAATGTTCCCTCGTGCCTCCCCTCAAATATGGTTTGCAAGTGAAGTTTTTGGACAATTTGAAGTGGGTGACTATTAGACCATGATGCACATTTTCGTTATATATATAATTGTATTATTGTAAGTATTTGTAATTATTATTGAAAAGAATTTATAGTGAAATATGATGTGTATGGTGGCCCATCGTTGTCACGCGTAAAATTGAAAATAAAAATAAAATAAAAAACCGATAATAAAATTTTTTTTGTAAAAAAACATAAAAATAATTAAAAAAAAATGAAAAAAAAAATTAAAATTAAAAAAAAAATAATTAAATAAAAACAAAAAAAAAAATTAAAAAAAAAAATTGAATAAAAAAAAAATAAAAAGGTTGACAACGATGGTCCGCCTCGTGGCCCATCGTTGTCACGCGTTTTTATTTTTAGAAAATTTGCTTCTGCTTGGGACCAACGATGTCAGGCATAATCCTACGCGCACAAATGTGTTCCCTGGGTTTCAAATTCACTACTGATTTTCTTGATCAATATTCAATATGAAAATGTTCTATAAATTCTCCATGCTACAAGTTCAACAAGAAGTAATATATTTATAATAATGATAAGAGAATATAGAATTGAATACGAAAATTCGGAAAATTTGTTTTTACGTGTATAAGGTAATTTAATTGGAGAATGCTGCTTAACTACTCAGTTGTCTGGACACTCGCGATGCCGGTACCGTACCGTCTTACCAAATACCGGTAGTCGGTTATAGTCGCTTTGCGTCTGACCGTACCGGTAGCCATACAATCACTCATCATCTCCCATTCTTTCACGAGTGATTGCATGGGTACCGGTACGGTCAGACGATACCGTACCGGCATCGCACGAGTGTCTGAGCAGTTAAGCAGCATTTTCCAATTAAATTACCTTCTACACGTAAAAACAAATTTTCGTATCCAATTCTATATTCTCTTATCCTTATTATAAATATATTGCTTGTGGTTGAACTTGTAGCATGGAGAATTTGTAGAACATTTTCATGTTGAATTTATTGGATATTGCTCATGAAAATCAGTAGTGAGTTAGAAACCCAGGAAACACATTTGTGCGTGTAGGATTAAGTCTGACAACGTTGGTCCCAAGCAGCATCAAATTTTCCAAAAATAAAAACGCGTGACAACGATGGGCCACGAGGCGGACCATCGTTGTCAACCTTTTTATTTTCTTTTTATCCAATTTTTTTTTTCAAATTTTTTTTTTTTTTTTACTTTTTTTTTTTAATTTCAATTTTTTTTTAATTTTTTTTTTGTTTTATTTTCCCTTTTTTTTATTTTTAATTTAAATTTTTTTTTATTTCTTTTTTTTCAATTATTTTTATGTTTTTTTCACAACTATTTTTTTATTTTCGCTTTTTCATTTTATTTTTTCATTTTTTTTTTAAATTTTACACGTGACAACGATGGGCCACCATAGATGTGTCTCAGTCACAGCTACAAAAATCTGATTTAATTTTGAATTTATCATTGGAGTTTTTGGAAGGACCATTATCTTTCCGGTTTATCAAATCGACTTTTACTATCTAATTTCTACACTACAATTTCCCAAGGGAAGAAGTTTAGAAGGTTGAACCCCCCCTTTTTTTAAATGTAAAGAGCCCATTAGTTGAGAGTCGGACCCCCCTCTTTTCTGTATCATACATAGCAATTTTTCATAGCCTTAAACGGTTCCATTACATTTGAACCCACGTACATTTGAACCCACGTACATTTGAACCCACGACGATTGCACCGGCATACTATTGCACCTATGGAAATTTTTGTTATTTTACGGATATTTCACGTATAGTTAAACCCATACTAACCCTAACCCATGGGTTTAGCACCCGCATATAGATTGAACCCGCGAATATACACATGGGTTCAAATGTACGTGGTTTCAAATGTACGGTCACCGCTTTAAACACATTTTAACCCCCCCCCCCCCCCGAGACTTTTGAAAACACAACTTTTCCGGCCGACCGGAACCGCTAGCTGTTACCGTCTCAGAACCCCCATCCCCTTCTGGCCCCACCACTGGTTACTAGGTTTTAGAGCAGGGGTTCCCAAGCTTTTTTCAGGACGACCCCAAGAAGGACTTTCAAGCGTCCAGAGCGACCCCAGGTCAATATATATATTTTTTCATGAAACTTCAGTTTAGAATTCCTTTCACTGGACTTTTGAGTTTGGTCATGTGGCGGTATTAGTAAAATAAGCTAAAACCAAACAGTGATGTCACAATAAGCACGTACATTTTCTATAGCTTAAGCATAGAACGATGCTTATGAGCCTGTTTTACAGTAAGCCATGGTACAAACTGCTAAATTTAACACGGTTTGTCAAATCTTAGATGATTTGTGTATCCATCCTCTACCATACCTCAGCGACCCCATGACCTGTTTGCGAACCTACCTACTTATCACTCCAACCCAATTTGGGGTCGCGACCCCTGGTTTGGGAACCTCTGTTTAGAGATTTTAACCTGTGGAACTAACATGATTAGATTTAAGCAGTCCATCAGCCCACTCTTGTAATGAACAACAGACTCCACTCACCTAGACAGCTTTTCAATTTCCTGGATATCCAAATTCTCATTCATCAAAGCATTGTAAGCATATTTAAACAGTAGTGGAATACACCATAGCTTCACGCCGATATGGTCACCTTCGATAACAATAGGGCTTGTGTTTTCTTCAGCGTTGCTCGGAATGATTTCGATACTTTTGCTGAAACAAAAAAAATATTGAGACTTTATATTTATCCCATGGAGAAGAGATATAATTTTGGTGCTCCTTAAGTACCAATGTAGTATGTGTACCAAGTAAGGGTTAGGCCATAATTATATTCCAATTTTCCTTATTTTAAGTTCTATTACAAGTTTGGGGACTAGCAAAGTGTCTCCCGTAGTATTTGTATCTGAAATTATGGCCTAACCCTAACCTGTTACACATACCTAAGGAGTTTTTATATGAAACTTATTCTCACCCATTTCGCTCACAACAAGGCCAGGGCTGAATTGAATATCCCCATACATTCAAATTAAGTATAGTAAATTCCTGATATTAGGTATGATATGAAATAGTTTCTTTATGAAATATGTCGGGATAGTTCAATTGCAAGATTTTCTCCAACTGGTATTTAGTGGCTTGTTATGCACAACCATAATTCTTTCTACAGTTTTAACCAGGGCTGGGGAGATGGTTATAGATTACAATGCCTCCAGGTCCACACTATATTCAACCTTAGACTCCATCATTAATTTTTCTTGGTATTGGCTTGGTTCTAAGAAAATTTAATACTGAGCAAATGTGTGTTTTAGGAAGCAAGAATACGAACTGTAAAACTCGTGACTCTTGTAAAATATTACAACAGTATAATAAAATATCAAAACACGAGTGTGACATCACAATGAACAGTGACAACCAAAATACAGTGCAGATGAAACGAGCATTCTAGCTTAGAGGACTAGCGTAATGGTGCACCAAAATGCGATTTTATTTCGCAAAGCCTTAGAGGTGGCCTTGACCACTAACATGAAATATCAGCCCAAATTTTGAAATTTATCTCCAAAGTTTTGGATACACAAATTTAACTTAACACTTATAAATTAATGTTACGGGGCTTAAAAAGATAGATTTTATCATTTATATAACGCAGGGTGGTCCGAAATTGGCAGCTCTGCGGGCCACAAAATTACTTTTGCATTGTTCGCGGGCCACAATTGTGTCAAGAACCTCGCTCGTTTAACTTCGCTAGTTGCCTCAACAAGCCATAACACTAGTCAATTCAGTGACATTAGTGATGTAACAATATGTCAAAAGATTTTTTGTTTAAATTTATGACGAAACAACACAAAATGGGATTTTTTTTAATTCCCCTCCGAATGTGACGCGGGCCACAGATAATGAAGCGGCGGGCCACATGTGAAAAAATAATCCGATGGTTATGAGCTGGAGCCACTAAAAGTCCTGGTAGCCTCGGCTCCATCTATTATAATCCAGCTCCATTAAAATGCCCAGGCTCCAGGCTCCCCAGCCCTTGTTCAAGCATTCACAAATATCCAACCATCGGTGTGGGCTACGTTTTTTTAGGGGTGGCATCTCTGGGTTTTTATGGAATTTGAGGAGTATTAATCTGCGATGGCAAAACAGTTGAGTCTCATTGACTGTAAAGCCACCAAGCCCTCAGCAACATGGCAAATTTGGCATTTCAGATACCGTGACCAAGGGCGTGACAAACCTTTTTGCTGCCCGGGCGAGTTTGTGATAGTGATGCCACTTATATGTAACTTCAAAAATAATTCGGGGGATAAACAAATTATAGATATAGATGTTGTTATACTCGAGTTTAAATAAATTAAAGGTCAGGTAAGAGTGGAATGTTTGTATTTTTATTATTTAAATCGTCAAACTAAGCATCAAATGCACCAATATCAGATATACAGCTGTTACGTGTACCCAGTGGCCTATCTACGTAAATTGGCGCACATGGCAAATTTTTAAAAGCGCCCCCTTAATCGTTGACTGGCAATTTTTAATGACTGTTGTTGAATTGAGATACTTCTACGTTATCATTTTAGTAAAAATTAGAGTTTCAATTATTTCCAATTTGAAATACTTTTATTGAAGCATTTTTTGAATAAAACGTTTTGCCTTTTTTTGTGGCTCTTTTTAAACGACGCCCATGGCACGAGCCTTACCCTAAATACACCACTGCCTGTACCCCCAAATTTGCGTGCCCCCCCCCCCCCCCCTCCTTTTAAAATAGGAAAAAAAAATTCTGTATCATACATAGAAATTTTTTTAACACACGTTATCCGATCAGACCCACTAACTGTCAAACTTGGCAATTAAACTAGAAATTTCGGAACTTTTTCTTTGAAAAATCCTTGCTATGTCCCTAACTCTCAACATCAGTTTGCTCAAACGCCAAAATTCTTGGAAGTGGGGAGAATGGACGTCAAAATACAGGGCCAGAAGGCCCTAAGCACTCAAGACTTTGGTGCCCCATATATAAAAAGTTAAAATATTTAACTTGTGCTTCATGTTATCCCAAATTTAATTAGCAAGTTTCAGTATTCATTACTAGTTGAGGGCCAAGTTAGGATTAATTCACATAATATTTTTCAGAAATAGTTCCAATGGCTGTGAACATTTATAATAGAGTTTATAATTGTGATACTCGAAAAGGAAAAATAAACAGAAATTCATTTCAACCGATCAATATTAAGGTCTTAGACGTCTGACCAACTCTAATCATTTCATTTAACAACAAGGCACAATTATGAATATGTCTTTGGCGATTTCTGCGGTTCCCCTACCAAGAATGTGCTTATTTTGCTTAATGGTCAATCCAGCGCTGCTGACATACTAAAGGCAGCTATACACAGATGTCAGTGGAGATTCGGGTGCCACAAAACTTGAAACAAATGCCAGTCAAACACTAAAGGAGAAAGAAATACCGCTACATGGGAATATAGATACTGATATTTGGGAAGAAACATACAAATTTCCATTCAAAACCGAGAATCTGTTTTAATATATAGGGTGTCCATGAAGTCTCAAAATTTTTTAAAAATGCAAAGGGAATTTATCGATACCAATCATTGTTTTGGCCCTCACAGATGTATTAAATGAATTAGAAATACTTGGAACAATTACTGATTAAAATACAAAAACCCTGGTTAAGATATATTGAGAACTGACTTCATACCAAAATTGAAAAGGGACTATATGGACGCCCTGTATAATGCATGTGATGAACTGTTAACCTTTCACGGAAATGCTAAGATTAACTCGCCAAACTTTTAAATTGGCCTCAAACATTGAATTTGCATAATAATGTCTTTGCGTTTGTCAATAGACATTATTATGTTGCTCATAGGCATCAGAATACGAACTCAAAATATCAGAGTGCTTCCCAGGCTGAGAAACGCCCTGACACACAGCTGCTATTTCGGAAATCAGGATTTTTCGACTATCATGTTCAGAACACATTTAATTTATTACAATATGGGTGACAAACAATGCATCATTATGCCGTTTCAGTTCAAAGAGGGCTCTAGATCAGGGCTCCCTAAACTCGGGGTCACGACCCCACAGAGGGCGCGCATAGAATTTTTGGGGTCGTAAAGAGTACACTAATTTCACACAAAGGACTATATCTGTCTACTATTAATCAAAACTCGGGTGAGTGGCTCGAACCGAAACATATTTGAACCGTGGCATTAACTAGTGAACCAACAGAAGCATGGGGATAAACACTAGTCAACCCTTTTTACACCATTGACGCACGCCATCTCACTACGTCTTCAGACGAATTGATAAAGATGAATGGGCCCCATAAAAAAACACGAGTGTGAGCATTCATATATTAGTGTGTGTGTGGGAGGGGGGGGATAATTGGAATAGGTCCTAAATATCTGTATATTATTATTGGAAACCACAAGTCAAAATATACTTACATATCATTTATGCTGTCACACGCTTTCAGAAAGTCATGAAAAATCTTCCTTCCGAGATGAATGGACTCTTCACTTGGCACAAACTTATGGAGTTCCAGATAAGACCAGGTCTGGTTCTGCATGCCTATGAGCCCCTCCCAAGCAAATAACAAGCTCACAACAACCTTGTCTGTGTAAATCAATCTTGTTCTGACCTGCCTTATGAAAATTTAATAGAAACAATTCTAGCTTAAAAATGGCATGGACTCCATCGAAAAGTTTCAAAATGATTAGAAATTGCAAACCCAATAGGTTGGACTAGGGTTTGAAATTAATCTTAAAGTTAGTTGATCAATAGCCCTTCCCACCCAAATTATGGCTATTTTCAGCACATTCCATGCTTTTTTACCATGTTTAATTGAAGCATTATTTCTGGCAAATAATTCTCAAATTACGAAAGTATTTGAAAATAGGACTAGTGACCATGTTCCAGCACTCAAGACAAATTTTTTTACGCACACCCTAAGGGAAAGAAAAACTGGGGCTTAATTATATTACAGACCTCTTTGTCTGGTTACCAGGCTTGGCAATATTACAGAACTCACAACTTTTCAAGGGCTCAACAGAGTAGATATGGCAGATACTATAAAGACTATATGGAGTCCATCATCACATTTTTTGGGTACTCCCGAAGTATACTTACGTACCAAGATGGCCGACATCAGAACGTAGTATGTGTACCAGGTTTGGGTTAGGCCATAATTTTATTCCAATTTTAGTTATATTACAAGTTCAGGGACTAGCCAAGTTACTCCCGTAGTATATGTATCTAAAATTATGCCTAACCTGGTACACATACTACATTCCAGCGTCCGCAATCTTGGTACGCATACTCCAGGGGGCGTCAATTTTTCTGCTATATCACGATTTGAATATATATATAGCAGTGTTTTTACCAAAACAGCAAGATCTTTTTAACCAGAAATTTGGCCCTATCCTTATTATTTTACGACTGTGTTGTTGGGAACCGAAGAAGTATCGCATGTTAACGAACAACTCATTTTTTAGGTTATTTTTTAAGCTCTTACGCCTCTGGAATGACATTTTTTAAATTTAGATAATAGTAAATTATTCCATCAAAAACTTATTTTTAAAAAGTTCAAATTTTTTTGAACAACTTCACTCTAAATTAAGTATTATTTGGATATTTGAAGCGAGATCTACTGATAAACATATCATGGCTAATATTGATTGTGTGCATTCTTTATCTCCATAAAACCTTCAACCTTCTTCATTAAAACTTCAATTCTAACAACTTTTTGATTCTGACAGTCAAATTACACCACAATTTGAGTATATTGTAAGCACGGCAATAAAAAATGTACAGCTGGTCGAACGGCATGAAATTGACAATATTAATATTTCAAACGAATTAAAATATTCACAAACGGCAATTTTGGAGTTGGGTGACAGACAGCATAGATGAAAGAAATGAGACCACAAATAGTAGTTGAATGAGACTGCAAACATTATTATGTCTTCGATACTTTTTTAGCAAAAAATAGTTTATCATACTAACGTCCTATTAAGTAATTGTGGTGAGGAATGCAAAAAACTTGGCAATTTACTAAAAATAACTGAATTTGATCACAAAATCTAACATTAACATCTTAATCAGAGTTTTTATAACAATTACATGAATTATTCAAGGACTCGCATATTTCGTATAAAATATGTGTGAAAAACTGAAAAAGATTTTAATGACTAAGTTACGTCTATCCAAATAACTCCGCGCTTGTGTTTGATTTATCATTTTCAAGCAAGATATCCAAGTTCTTAGCTATTGATATCCCTAGTTTATGCAAAGTCATTGAAGGAAAGACAATATCATATGTTTCACAAACAACAAGAAAAACAACGACTTTAGACCAAAATTGAATATTGTACATCACTTAAAAAACCGGAAAACATGCACATCTTTGAAAAATCATTCCATTTAAATGGTTGTCAAGCACGGCAATGCAATGTCATAATTTTTTTTGGTATTTTAAGGGGGGGTAATGGTGGGTATTTTGGTAAACAGTTTTATATTTTCAACTTGTTTGACCGTCTTGAGAGCAAGAACTTTAAAAAAAAATTGGTTACAGCCTCAACTAAAAACGACAAAAACTGAAAGACGCTGAATGTATGAACTGAGGCAAAATAGCTGAAAAACCTTTAACAAGACACTGAAAGGCCTGATTGACAGCCTGCCTGTGCTTTGGCAGCTTTTTAGTTCTAAGTATGAAAATCCACTGATTATAAAAAAACAAAAGCCGTGATTGATAATAATTACAAAACTCTACATGAAAGTCAAATCCTAAAGCTCTGTCAAAGTCATAAAATTTGATGATTTTGTTGCTAATGACAACCTGGCAATAAGCATGACAAAGTCGGTAAGGCTCTGCCTACTCGCCGGCAACTGATTAAAACATCAAATAAGACAACTTTAACCTGAGAGCTAATTTCTCTATCTGTATCCGTCACCCCCGTACTGGTTGTATCCACCGCCTCCACCTCCACCGTATCCACCGCCTCCACGATAACCACCACCGCTGCCTCCATATCCCCCTCCTCCTTGATATCCTCCCCCACCACCATAGCTTCCACCGCCGCCTCCATATCCTCCGCCACCGCCATATGATCTGTTGCCATAACCTCTGTCATAACCGCCGCCACCACCACCACGCCCATAACCATCATCATCTCGACCTCTGTAACCACCACGTTCTCTATTTCCCCGATTATTTTTTCCATTCTTTTCCGCCCAATCCGTATCTGGCACAACAGTTTCCGCTTTCCAGCCTTTCTCTTCTTTAAAATAAGTCACATCGACAGGTTGCTCCTCGAACAGGGTCCTGTGCCCTTCCATCTGTATTTTCGATTGATGAACGAAAATTTCAGTTTCATTTTCAGGATCGCCTCCATCTAATTTAATAAAGCCATATCCTTTTTGATCGTTAAAAAACTTCACCTTACCCGTTCCCGTCTTTATATCACTCATGATTAACTTAACAAGGAATTTGACACGACTGAAAGGCAAAGTCGACCACGGCGCAAAGGAAATTGAATGCGAGATCTCAACGTGCACCTTAAAATGGCGGCAGTGACCTACTAAAACGCGGAAATAAAAGAGAGAGAGAGTGAGAGAGAGAGATTTTAATTTACAATGTCAACACTATAAAACATTTGAAGCAAAATAAGATAAGACAGAAACAAAAATTGATAATTCAATAATAATTGGTTATCATTATTTGTGAGGGTCAGCATACAAAACCGGTTAAGTCACCGAGGTTTCTGACCAATGTTGTATATAAGAAATTAGTCAGATAAAGCATTGGCGATGAAACATGGATAAAAATAGATAGCAAATATATATGTGCGAGTCGGCAATTTAATATTCCAAATCTAATAATGCAAGTCGCGGTGGTAAATAGGTCACATAAATTTTTTTACTGCGGACAGGTCCAGAGACTTTGAACAAACGTCAAGATTAGTTTTTACAATTATTTATTGTAGTTTCTGTGATTAAATATTCACTGAACATGTACAGGTCTCAAATACATGAAAAAATAAAAAAAATAACGAGCCAATCAGATTATCACAGATTCAACAACAATTAGAAATATCATTAACAATGGCTTTTGAAGTCAAACAATAATAATCATCACATTGATGACAGACAAGAAAGAGAAAAGACCATTAACTTCCAATTATACACATGCAAAAGTTGAAATAAAGGTATTTATATGAAACAGTTAAATTTATAGTATTATAAAACGGTTTTCAACACACTTACTATAATTACATATTATACTCAAGATATAAATCAAGAGAATTGATTAATTAAGATATCAGGTCAAATTAGAATATATCAGTAGGAAATACTTTTTCAATTTCTTACTGAAAACATAGACGGAACTTTTTTAGTTTCAGGTGGCCCCAAACCCGTACACACATATACTTCAAAGATATTTTGTCCATCTTAGTGGACACTTGTTGAGTGAAAAAAATCTTGTTTATTTGGGACCTGGTGCAGTATTCATGTACTTTCTTATTGGGGTGAAATAATATTTAATAAAAATAGGGGGAAAAAGTTCATTTTTATATCGATGCATAAACTATGCAATTTCTAGCGTATGCATATCAGACAGCTATGGGGATTCATACTGGTGGTATAGCTGTAAATTAGTTACAGAGAGAGAGATATTCCTTTATTGTCAACTAAAATGAAACAATAATCATCGTAACAAGAGAGCTATGCTCAAATATATGGACACGTAGCGCCACCCAATGGCAATAATTTTGATAACGTCATAGCGAAAAAAAAGTAATAGCCTTCTGGAGAAAAATTTTATCTTTAACCACTGAAAATTTCAAAGCAATTGGTCCAGTATTCGAAGAGAAAAGCGATTTTTTAAAAATGATGGAGACAAATAATAACAATAACAACATAATATTGAAACGATCGTTATGTCCACTAAACGTGTCCAACAATGACAACATAATACTGAAACGATCGTGATGTCCACTACGTGTCCAATAATAACAAGAGAGCTACGCCCAAATATATGGACACGTCTGTTCGCAGTACAGTACGGTGTACCGTACCGTCAGATCACAGTCTACAAATATATTCACACCAAGCGAAGCAGTACAGTAGGACACAAAACGGCGTCCGATGTCCGCAGAACGTTTAATGACGTCATAGCAAACAAAAACAAATCTCACAGCTAACAGAAATATTTAAAATGAGTAAAAGTAATAGCCGTCTGGAGAAAATTTTCATCTTCAACCACTGAAAATTTCAAAGCAATTGGTCCAGTATCCGAAGAGAAAAACGTTTTTTTTAATATTTCCGCTAGGTGTGTTATTCTGTGTCAAATAACAACAAGAACAAGAACAACATAATATTGAAACGATCGTTATGTCCACTACGTGTCCAATAAAGATAATAACAAGTAATAAATTATTTTGGTATAGACAGGAGGGAGTCATACGACCAGACGGCCAACAAAGTCAATTCCCCCTTCTCGCTATTATGTTTAAGATTCACAATTTCAGATATTGGTTAATTTATTTGTTTTTGGTTAATAGTGTTACGTGTTCAAACTTAAATCATTCTAATCTTCAAATTAGAAATAAGTCCTTAATCATAAAAACACATACCAGTTAGAAGCCCTGTAGGCTATAATGACGATATCGCGTCATACACGGAGGATACCAAAACCAGCTTAAAAGCGGCCATTCGTTAGGAGAAAAAGGGAGCTAGAACAATGGGCAATTAGAATTATCGACTCGCTGTGCGTGCATTAAATCTTGGATTATCAGCCATGACTGGGAACTGTCATTTGTATTTGTAAATATATACAATTGCAATACATGTATTCGAAACCATGAGCATGTGTTCATCAGATAAGATCAGAACAACAGAATCAGCCAGCAACAACAGCAAACACCGATTATGGTTGCTAAAATTGTATCCACAAAACGGAAAAATAAATTTGGGGAGGGGAAGGCTATAGTAAATCGATTTTTTTTTTGTGTATGTGAAGTGAGCTTTTAAAATATGAAGAGATTTCAAATGGGTTCAAAATTTCAGACAGAGATTCTGCAGTTTATTACTGGGTACACGACTTATTAGCATTAACCTACGCATAAATATATACTTATATCTCTTCCTAGTAATCAGTAGTTTATTTTTTCACCGTATTTCAAATACACGCTGTAATTACAAAATGAGGTAAAAAAAATGATGAACATGGTGACAGGAAACGCGATAAACCCAAACCAGTATTGTTCATCAAGCAGCGACCTCTATGAAAGTATGACAAAAGTTCATACAAGAATAAGAAGTCGAAAGGACCCGTTTCTGTAGTCTTGCTAACGATTTGTCAGTTTTTAGCTGTTTTCAAAATTTTATGTTTATAAGTATAAGTTTATGGAGGTGGGCTAGAGTCTACTAGAAACTAGACCACTTCATTTCCACAAATTTGAGCCAAATTATATTCCAGATTGTAATAAATACTTGAAGTTACCGGTAACAGTATAAGTTAGTATAATTGAATTAAAGTAGGAAAATAGGGTATAGGAATATATTGGTTACTAAGGGTGCGGTGTATGCTGCACATTCGTGTTTTAGGCCAGTATGGTCTTGTGCATACATCCCGTCTTCAGTATTTATAATTACTAATTCATTTATATTGTTTTTACGGGACGAATAATACATAAGTTAGTTTTATTTTTCATTCTTAGATATTGACTTCAGCGAGGATAAAGGAATTTAAGATTGGTATTTCACAGGATCATTTTGAAATTAATATGTAAGATCATCGGAGCCATTGTTCAATTTTTTTCCTATGTGTTTTCTTCATTTAATCATTGGGAAGCAACTGGAGTCAGTTCATATTTGTAATGAATGATCCATCAGTCTGCAAACTTTGTTGATGCAGACACCATATATGTTGAAGAAGCTAGCTGTTAAATTGATCATCACGAAACGGCTTTGAAAAACGGAAAATAAATCTAAGAGTACAATATTCAATGAATGCATATTAGGAAACGACTACTAAAATTATTGATTTGAGTAAATCAGGAGCCTGAATGAGGATAACTCGACATACCAACAACTAAATGCAGAACAAGTAAAGAGAAATTGACTGCATATTCATAAACTGATGATAATATTTCAAATTTGATTATGTCTTCAACTTTGAGTATATTTAGCATTTCATAGTAATGATTTACACTTCACATTTAGGCTACTTTTCCCCAAAACAACTTTTGAATATTATTACAAATACTCTGCTATTTCGAGACAAGTGTTTTATTCCCATGGAGTCATCGATATATATATATATGGATTGAAATGTCGAACTCAATGGACCTTTCCCCGACCTTTGACTCGGGGAAATTCTTTTTATACTTTACCATTGCGAAATTTTGGGTGATCATTTTAAGAGTGGTTTCGCGAGTTGGAGCCTGTAAAATGGGGCATTTGTTTCAAACCATCATTCTGATTCATAGAATTCAACAATCTGTTTTTTAAAACTACTGCTAAAGAATTTTAGCCTAGTCTATCACAGCTATTTCTACACTAATTATTTATTACTGCAATTAAATTAAAACTCCTAGGAAGACGAAGTGATCGTTGAATTATTTGATTTATATTTCAAAAACATAACTGAAAACTAACGAATAGAATTCAAAACGCGAAAACTAGTTTAGGTTTACGACCACGCTTGAAAATCTGTCTGAGTGGGAAAAGTGTCTGAGCGGATGCGAAAAGGGGCATTGATACGTCACTTTTTGCATCTTGCTGATTAGCTAATGTTACGAAGTAAACAATGAAAGTAAACATCCATTGGCATTTTGTCTTCCGAGTAAATTTAGTTTAGTCGCAGTGAAAAAAATTGAGCCTCTAAAGCAGTGATGGACCAAAGTAAACTGCCAGTACTTTTAAATTGCAAATAGTTGAATATTTCGAATCGAAATGGTTAGTTATTGGCCAACCTTATATATGAGTACAAGTTAATTATGTGGCATCAGGGTGTCATTAACATGTTTTTTAGCTATCAAAATTATTTTATAGTTGTCTGCACCAAAACGAAATCAATTTTAATACTCAAAAGTTTGGATTTCACCATGACCCATGTTTTATATGAGTCGTTGTGTTTGCTTACGCGCCTTTACGAGGGTAGAATGCAGGGTTTCCCAAGCTATTTTGGGCCGGGGATCCCTATTTGTGAATCTCACTTTTGACCGACTCCCATCCTATGTCGTATCAATTTCTATGTCTAACCAACGAGGAAGGATGTTTCATTTGCAAAACAACAACGCAAACGACGTTAATATACTGTATGAGGTTGCTTTTCACTGCACGAGTTATCGATTCTCGGAGCAATGGACCTTTCCCCGAGCATCGACTTCCTTGTTTACTTCGTGACGTTGGCCAATCAGCAAATTGCAAAAAGTGACGTAACAATGCTCCCTTTTCGCATCCGCTCAAACACTTTTTTCACTCAGACAGATTTTCAAGCGTGGTCGTAAACATTACCTCGTTTTCGCATTTTTGAACTCCATTCGTTAGTTTTCGCAATTTTTCGGGGGTCAAAGGTCGGGGAAAGGTCCATCAAATTCGTAGATCCGACTCTACGGCTAGTTGGATCTGTATTTTTTCATCATATTGGCAAGAACTGAAATTGCTGCCACACATATGTAGGTCGTGTAGGTTCAATTTCGTTTTCTGACAGAAATGGATATTCGTCCACAACACTTAACGAAGAAGACGCATTGACATTTTGATTGAAACCAATCATTAAAAATCGATCAGACTCTTTTCATATCTTTGCGGACCCCGTGTGAAGCATCACTGACCCCAGTTTGTGTACCTTTTGGGCCAGGGCCAAAACTTTTGCCCACTTAGACTGGCGGGCCATGTGTGACGTAAAAAGTTACATCTTATGAACAATATTTACAGTGTTACAAAAGCCAGATTTGGCCCGCGGGGCGTAGTTTGCCAATGTCAGGTTTAGATGATAAAACACGTTGGTATTTGTAAGTTTACGAAAATACAACCGATTGATGTGAATAAAACTATTTCGAGCGAGCAACGAACCATTTTTCTACATTCATTCATTTTATTTCAGTTCTCTCACATAAACAACACTAAATGTAAACAGACAAACAAAATACAGAGATACCTGGAAGGCGAGCATAACTTGAAAAGCGTACAAGTACGTGCCAACCCACCAAAATAAATGAAACAAGAGAGCTATGCTCAAATATATGGACACGTAGAGTCACATAATTTTGATGACGTCATATCAAAAAAAAAAGTAATAGCCTCCTGGAGAAAATTTTTATCTTTAACCACTGAAAATTTCAAAGCAATTGGTCCAGTATTCGAAGAGAAAGGCGACTTTTTAAAAACGTGTCAAAGAACAACAACAACATAATATTGAAACGATCGTTATGTCCACTACGTGTCCAACAAGTACAAAAAAAGTGACCGGGATTCAGAATCGGGCAATACTTTCAACACAATTTAAAAAAAATTAGGTAGATCATTAAATGTAATAACCTCTCAACAACTTCTCCCGTCTTTTTAACGATCCGTAGAACAGGGTGAAATAAGCCCCAATAGTTCCCTTCTATTCTCGCAGCGCTACGAGTATACTACTATACTGTACAGCAGTGTTAGCCATGTTACTAATACCCGTTAATCTAACATACAAAATTAAAATGGTGAACACAGGGGAGCTGACTCTGATGACCGTATCGCCCCCTCAGTTTAATCCGAAAAGTTCTGCGTATGTTTTTATGGTGCTCCGTAAGTATTCGTACCAAGATGACGCACAACCTGAAAACTAACCGGGTACACATACTGTGTTCAGGTTGTGCGCCATCTTGATACACATACTTCGTGAGCACCTTTTTTATTATTGGACATGACAATCGTTTTGCATTTTATGCTGGCACTCTTCTTCTTATTATTTGAATTCGTCTTGGTATCGTTATGTAAAAACCGTTTTTCTCATTGATTACTGAACCATTTGCTTTGAAATTTTTAGTGGTTGAAGATGGAATTTTTCCCTACAAGGCTATTGCTTCCATTTATTCCGGTGAGCTGCATGGGATTCGTCTTTTTGAGTGCTATGACGTCATCCGGGTGACGGAAGTCCCGGAGGGGCACTTGGTTTAAACGCCTTCATATACCAAAATGAATGGGGCAACGCTCCAAATTAAAGAATCATGTTTGGTGCGGACTCGATTACGACAAATCCATGCGGATAAAAATAACTCGTGCTAAGCGTTAGGAATACGCTCGCCAACGCATCTCTGATTACTCTTCGTGGGGTCGCAGGTTCGAATCCCATGCGGGGATGATCATGTGAGAGGGGATTGCTGGACTCCTCCCCGCCATAGGGTGGTTCACGTAACCGTAACGGCTTCCTCTACCATCAAGTCCATGCTTCCGAAAACAAATAACTGGCTAACTAATCCCATACCCGACTTGGAATGGTAACCGGACGAGAGGCCATGGTTCGCCATACGATTAAGCTGTCTTATCGTCTTTTCTCTCCCTCGGGATAAATATGTGAATCCTATCCTAACTCCATACCTGACATAGACTGGTAACTGGACGACAGGTCGTGGTTCGCTATACGATTAAGTCGTCTTATCGGCTTCAAACTCCCCTGGGATTCTATCCTGGATACGCAAAACCAAATATTGTACTATTTCAAATACAAAGATCCGGATGTATTTTAGAGATGAAGGTTTTATTCAAAAGGAATAACAAAAACACAGAGTATATGAACACGGTTTTATTGATTCACCTAGCAAGGAGAGTTGGAGTCCCACTTTGGGGCCTGTCAGGCGCCAATAGCTCAGGATTACAGATTATGGAATAAAATATCATTAAAACACAATCCAAGGGTGCAATAAATTGGGAACGAAGTGCCAAACAGGATTCAAGTGCTCCATACCTAGCAGTGGCTACTTGTGAACGGTGGAAAAATAAGTCGTATTGATCATTTAAAAAACAACAGTAGCACCTGATATATCATTTGGAGCGAAAGGTGTGATAAACAAAGTATAAAAAAACCACCACAAAGTACAAATACTCTTTCACCCTGTACTATAAATGGTGGAGGATCTTTTGTACAAAGCCCTAGCCAACGCTCAAAATAAGAAAATCAGTAATTATCCAGTTAGAGTTAGTTATGCAGACTGCACTGAAAATTCAAATTTTGAATCGAAAAAGCATTCAATAGAGAACTTCTATCCAAAATCAAATCCAGCAGTAAAAACCTCACATATTAGACTGAAACGATTATAACAATACTGTAAAAAACGCTCATCGAATTTAGAGGCATTTTTAGACAAAATCAGAAAAGTTTCACAAGGGGGTTAGAAATAAAACTTATACCACGGCATCAACATTTGAACTTTTCTTGGTCGTTTCAGACCAAGCATCAAAATTCGTACAATTTTGACATAAAAAACAAGGATCGTGATAAAATTGTCGTTTATAAATTTTTTGTGTGAGTTTAAATAACTCAGTTTTCGTTATCGGAAAGTGAGGGTTCATTTTTGAAAAAACTCCATTGCTTGGGTAATTATTTATTTGTGGCGAGCATCGACGTAAAAGGTCAATCAAAGTTTTTGTTGGGATTGCGGAAAAGACTGCCAACGAAATTGGCCCATTCTTTATTAAAACTTTAGATTCAATTGGTTGTCAAGCACAACAATGCAATGTCATAATTTTGTTTGGTATTTTTTGGGGGGGAGGGGGGGGGGCTGGAGGGGTGATGATGGGTGTTTAGTGGATGGTTTGAAATTTTGAACTAATTTGACCGTCTTGAGAGCAAGCGACTTTAAAAAAAATCGGTTATAGCCTCAACTAAAAATGACAAAGACTGAATGACGCTGAATGTATGAACTGAGGGAAAATAGCTGAAAAAACCTTTAACAAGACACTGAAAGGCCTGATTGACAGCCTGCCTGTGCTTTGACAGCTTTTTAGTTCTAAGTATGAAAATCCACTGATTATAAAAAACAAAAGCCGTGATTGATAATAATTACAAAACTCTACATGAAAGTCAAATCCTAAAGCTCTGTCAAAGTCATAAAATTTGATGATTTTGTTGCTAATGACAACCTGGCAATAAGCATGACAAAGTCGGTAAGGCTCTGCCTACTCGCCGGCAACTGATTGAAACATCAAATAAGAAAACTTTAACCTGAGAGCTAATTTCTCTATCTGTATCCGTCACCCCCGTATTGGTTGTATCCACCGCCTCCACCTCCACGATAACCACCACCGCCTCCATATCCTCCTCCGCCACCATAGCTTCCACCGCCGCCTCCGTATCCTCCGCCACCGCCATATGATCTGTTGCCATAACCTCTGTCATAACCGCCACCACCACCACCACGCCCATAACCATCATCATCTCGACCTCTGTAACCACCACGTTCTCTATTTCCTTGATTACTTTTTCCATTCTTTTCCGCCCAATCCGTATCTGGCACAACAGTTTCCGCTTTCCAGCCTTTCTCTTCTTTAAAATAAGTCACATCGACAGGTTGCTCCTGGTGCAGGGTCCTGTGCCCATCCATTTGTATTTTCGTTTGATGAACGAAAATTTCAGTTTCGCCGTCATCTAACTCGATAAAGCCATATCCTTTCGAATCGTTAAAAAACTTCACCTTACCCGCTCCCGTCTTCATATCACCCATGATTAATTTAACAAGGAATTTGACACAACTGGAAGGCAAAGTCGACCACGGCGCAAAGGAAATTGAATGTGAGATCTCAACGTGCACGTTAAAATGGCGGCAGTGACCTACTAAAACGCGAAAATAAAAGAGAGCGAAAGAGAGAGATATTCAGATTTTGTCAACCAAAATAAAACAACAGTCATCGTTATAATAAAAAATAACAAAGCAAGTAATAAATTAGTTTGGTATAGACATGAGGGAGTGGTATGACCACACGGCCATCAAAGTCAATTCCCCCTCTTTGTTATCATGTTTGAGATTCACAATTTTGGAGGACTAAATATTAATGTAAAACCTAAAACATTCTAAATTTTTTAATTGTATTCACATTTCACTAAACTTAAAAATAAATTTTGGGTATGATAAAATGAATCTTTTTTTTTTGTATATGAAATGAGATTTTAAAATTTGAAGAGATGTCAAATGGGTTTCTAAATTTCAGACAGAGATTCTGCAGATAATTACACTGAACTGGGTACACTTGTCAGCATTAACCTCCATAAAATTCTATACCAGTATTGTTCATCAAGCAGCGAAACCTATGAAAAAGTCTAACATTAGTTCATAAAAGAATAAGAAGTCGAAATGACCCGTTTCTGTGGTCTTGCTAACGATTCGTCAGTTTTTAGTTGTTTTCAAAATTTTATGTATGTATAGATCGAATTATTGAACTCAATTGTCATTTTCTCTTCCGGAAAGTTTTAGTTTAGTCACAGTGGTAAAAAAATTAAGCCATCGAAAGCGGAGATTGTCTAAAACGGGGGTTCCCAAACCGACGGCGCGCGTAACGATTTAAATTGGCCCGCCGAACTAAAGTGAAATAGTTTGATCTTGAATAAATACTTATGAACGTTTCCTCTACCTTTGACCCCTGAAAGATTCTCCTTATACCTAATCACTGCAAAATTTTCAACGCTGATTTTGAGAGTGTTTCGGAGAGCGCTTACAAATTGGCTAACATGTTCAAAACTATTATTAATATTTGAAAACACTGAACCACGTGCCGTTCATAGGTAGGCTACTGATAGCAAATTTTAGGCTGGTCTATTGCACTGTTTGCGGTATCAATTTTTGATTATTGTAACTAAACTGAATATCCTCGAAAAACATAATAATAATTAAGTTAATTGATTTACAACTATTTCTTGGAAACACAACTAAAAACTGACGAAAAACACACAAAACTACCAAAAAGAGGCAATATTTACAACCACGCTTAAATATCTGTCTGAGCAAAAGAAGTATCTGAGCGGCGGCATAAATTCCGAATATTATGTCATTGTTTACCTATTGCTGATTTGTAATTGTTACGGAAACAAACAAGGAAATCGATACTCGGTGGAAACATCCATGCGTTTAACCGTAAATATATTCTACTAATGTTTAACACCTTGTTTTACATTTTTTTTTGCTCTAGATACCGACAATTGTTCGTCATCATCACAGTTTAAGCATGTGCATATTCGTAACAATTCATTGGGATTACATACGGCGGTATTTCAGTTATAGGCCATATATTAAGAAAGCTTAAAAAACGAATACTAACCACTGAAAACAGACGTTGTTTGAAAAGAATCAAACTTCAGCGATTTGTCTTCTTTGCCTACAGACTATTCCAGTGCTGAGGGAATAGGACTATGATACTGGGCATTCTTCAAATTATGATCAGTAGACGGGTGAACTGCCCCACATACTTTGGGAGCGCCCAAAATAAATCACAAGTAGTGATTTATACGAGGCCGTATGAAATATATTTCTTTTACCGTACTGTTGCGCCCTTTTGCCCTCCCTTTCCTGGCCAGAGAATATCCTTCTACTTCAAATTTTGGCTCACAGTTAATCAACTTTGGGAACCCCTGGAGTCCTGGACCAAAGTAAACTTTTTCGTCCTTACTTTTAAATTGCAACGGTTGAATATTTCGAACCATAAAGGTTAGTTATCAGCCTGCCTTATATGAGAATATATAGGATATTGGGTAATGTCCTGTTGATTACGTCAGAAATCCCTGCATTCGAAAATACCTGGCTAGCTAATCCCGTACCTGACATGGACTGGTAATCAGACGAGAGGCCGTGGTTCGCCATACGATTGAGTCATCTTATCAACTTTCCTCTCCACTGAATAAATACGCAATTCATATCCTAGGTATGCAAAACCGGATAATGTACTAGTTCAAATACAAAGATCGGATGAATTTCATTTTCATGAAGGAACAAAAAAAGCAAGTAAAATTCAGAGTATATGAACATGGTTTAATTAATTCTCCTAGCACAGGGATGTGCAACATTTTGTATCGGCGGGCCATATAACCAACTTTAGACACCTAGCAGGGCCACACAAAAATGTGGCTATCGCTTAGCCTTACAGTGACGGGGGTACATGCAAAACGGCTAAAGATTTAATGTAGCGACAAGAGCTAAAACATAATGTATATTTGAAACATGTGAGGTCTTTTTAAACATAAACTGTCGGATTAAGATTTTATGCTTGATGATAAAAAATCCACACTTGGGCAGGCTGTTGCCCACCCCTGTCCTAGCATACCAGGAAAGTTAGGGAGTCCTACTTGCATCATGTCTGGTGTCAATAGCTCAAGAGAACAGATTATGGAATAAAAGATCACAACGCAAGGGTAGGACTGATTTTGAACGTGACAAGTTAGTTGATTTGTTTTGAACATCTTACATATTGGACCTACTGTGTTGGCATCACGGGTTACCTCCCCCACTTCACCCACAGGGTCCTGTCCTGGGCGTGCGCCGCTCTAATAGGGACATAAGAAAGGTTCAATAAAATAGTTTCAAATTAAAATAGTTTCAGATTGGAACTCAAATTTGGATTTAAATAACAACTTAATAAGCGCCATTTTACATAGATACTCCCAAAGTGCCTGAGTCGTCTGATCATTTAGAAAAAAATTGTAGCACCTGATATATCACTCAAAGGTATGATGAACAAGGTATAAAAAAAGCACCACAAAGTACAAACATACATTCACCCTATAATATAAATGGTGGGGGATCTTTTGCACAAAGCCCTCGCTAAAAAAAAAAAATTAGTAATTATCCAGGTAGAGTTAGTTATGCAGACCGCACTGAAAATTCAAATCATTCCTCACCCTATCATTAAATGGATAATTACTAATTTTGAAAAGGTAGCGTGGGTGTCTTTCTCAAATCTTGCATTTTTCCATTTGTGGCGAGGTCTTTGTACAAAAAGGGGTACTCCCGAAGTATGTGAACCAAGATGGTGTGCATGGGAACGTAGTATATGTATCAGGTTGGGCTACAATTCCAGGTACAAATACTACAGCAGTCACTTGGCTAGTCCCCAAACTCGTAATAGAACTAATTGGAATCGAATTATGGCCCAACCACAACATGGTACACATACTATGTTCAGGTGTCCGCCATCTTGGTTTAGATACTTTGAGAGTACCCAAAAAATTTGTTTCGGGAAAACTATTAACAAAAATGTTGACTATTCGGATATTTATTTCGTAATTCTTGAAGAAATGAAGGAAATTTTGCACTTTGTTTCGCATGCTCTTCAACTTTTCTAAAGTGGAAATCGTCGGGAGAATTGGATTTGAATCCAAGATGAATCAAAAAAGCGTTATCAAGAACTTTAAAATCAAATCCAGCAGTGAGAACCTCACATATTTGACTGAAACGATTATAACCATACTGTAAAAAACGCTCATCGAATTTAGGTGCATTTTTAGGTAATATTAGGAAAGGTTCACAAGGGGGTTTAAAATAAAACTCATGACCCACGACATCAAGATTTGAACTTTTAGTCTCGAACCATGCATTAAAATTTGTACAATTTTGACATAAAAAACAAGGATCGTGATAAAACTGGCGTACATAATTTTTTTGGGTGAGTTTCACCAACTCATTTTTAGATATCGGAAAGTGAGTCTTCATTTTTAAAAAAACTCCATATTTAATTTCAAAAACCGGTAAAACATAAGCAGTTTTATCAGAAAAGGGTACAATCTGGTGTAAAAATTCACGCAATAATGAACGAAGATATTTACTTGGTATAATATCAATGTCTATATTCAAAATGTGCTTCGTGGTTGATAACTCCCATGCTGCGTTCCTTAGTACATTGCTTGGGTAATCTAACGAGCTTTTCAATTCATAATTCTTTTCCAAATTGTCAAAACTATGTAATAACGAACCCATATTATCGCAGATTAAATTAGAATGTTGTTTTTCCTCTTTCAAATGGTTCAAAATTTTAAGAATATTCGGTTCGTCCGGTTCTAACGAATGAATTTTTTTGTACTTTAGTCCGGTGAAGGGCACCACCATGTGGAAATTGACATAATTATTTATTTGTGGCGAGCACCGACTTAGCAGGTCAATCAAAATCAATGTTTTTGTTGGGGTTGTGGTGAAAATTGCCAACGAAATTGGCCCGTTCCAAAATGTCGCCAAATCGAGCAGGTAACGTAAATTGTAATAAGAACAATGAGTCACTATTGTTACATCACTATGTTCTATTTCTATTTTCCTTTTTTTGATATCAGAATATATCATATACTTTCCAGATTGGCTTAAAAACGTCCGCACGTTACTTCGGGAAACAAAATCCAGAAATGAGTCGTCATTGAACATTGACAGCATCTCCAAGTCTTCAAATTTGCTTAATGAATAATTTAAGTCTCGTCGTAGAAACATTATCACCGATAGTAGAACAGTAACAAGAAACATCCACCACGATCTTCTAATATTTCTGCACAGACCCATAACTAGAGGGTGTTACGATCTCTCGACTTTTGTCCAAGTATTAATAAACATATATCTGGAATACAAGAATATAAGACTGGTTGAAATGAACCTTTTAACTCCTTGATTCAAATACATTCAGGCCAAATTATTCGCGAGAAAATATATCCTTGCCGATTTTAAACACAAAGTTTACACATGGATCATTTTATTATTATGCTGTTCTTGTTGGTTTTTTCTTCAACTTCAAAAATCGCTTTTCTTTCCAACTACGAAACCAATTGCTTGGAAATTTGCTCAAAACAAGGTCTCATGCACTCACTCACTCAGAAACAAATGAAACTGATCTCCTGGCAAAGTTACAGATCTCAATGTCATGAATTATGTACATAATGTCGAGCCCAAAAGACATCGGTCCTCTGATTAATCATGCAATTTATGACTTAATATGAAACACACCACACAGTCTTTATTCAAAAATTCAATAAAACTAAAGTTGCAAATTAGCGAAAAGATTACAAACCTTGAAAATATCATGTACAATCTTCTAAACCAGGCAAGTTGCGACTTGTGACAGAGCATTGCATTATATGTTGACCTATAACCCCTGCTTCCAGAGACGATCAGGTACTCATTGGTGGATGAAGGTAAAATGTCCAGAACTTGAATATACTTCCTTATAGTATTGACAGTGGTTAATTTGAAGACAGGAATTGAAGATTTGATAGCTCTGTAAATATAAAAAAAGTACTTGGAATCAGCTATCATGTGGTCTCATTGTAGTTTATATTGTTGCTGTAACAGGATATCGAAAATATTCAATGAAAAATATAAGTATTAGCCGTGTAGGACACTACCTGAAATTCGGAAGTGATTACTTAAGTATTCAAACAGATCTAGTTTTGTAAGAATAACTTCTCAAGAAGGTCAGAAAATTTCCCGAAGGGTCCACTTTTTAGGTGGTTTATTCCACTATTCCTCGGCCGAATATTTTCGAATTACCCTCAGCTTGAGGTCAAAAAATGCTCTTTGCTTATCATGACAATGAATTTAGCATACTGTAATGGGTGTTACAAACACACTTGCGATCGGACTACCGATTGCTTTACATGGCTTGAAATTCCATGGTTATTATTTTCTTATGAACTAGTGACCCGCGGTGGCCATTGGTTGGTGGATGGTGGAGTTATCCACCATCCAAGTCTATCCAGATTATTAATTAGCACAAGGGTGTGCGTGCAACAGGCGGTTTGCGGGCACAACCAGGTTCACAAAGCCATCTAGTGTGTGGCCCTTGTCAACACCTATACTTTTCCCCATCAAGCGTAGATCCTGATCCGACAGTTTATGTTTAAAAGGGAGCTCACACGAATAAAAAAAAAAGTTTTTTTTGCTCTTGTTCCTGCGTTAAATTCATCGTGGTTTTGCCCCTTGCCTTTATTATTGTTAGGCTGAGTGATAGCCGCCATCCTAATTTTTGCATGTGGCCCAGCTAGACGAAGTTGGTTTTATGGCTCACCATCAAAAATGTTGTACACCCTTGAATCAGCATGTTAACTAATATTCTGATACCAGACATGTTTAAGTAACCAAGACAACATCACCACATAATATGCTGACTTTCCCCCCTTCCACGTATAAATATCAAAATACAGATCAAAACAAAATACTTACAAAGCTCCTTTACAAGCAGAAATGTGATTTGGATGACAACTAACTCCACCTTCATCAAAGGTAAAAATTGCTTTTGCTTTTGTCAAGTTCACAAATTTATCAATCGTTGTGGCAACCTCTTTTTCTGCCCAAAAATCTTTCAAATTGTCTGGAAATTGATCCAGTTGGTGAACTTGTGAAGGAGTGATGCCAAGCTTGAGGCAACTGTTCAAGAGTTCAACTCTCCTCGTCTCACCGAGACCGTAATAATTACCTGAAAAAGAATTCATGTCAAATATTTGATGAAAGATAAAAAGTGTTTTGTCTGCTGCAATGACAGGGCCGTGTATACGGTGATTTCGTTAATATTGGAGTTGAAGAACAGAGTTCTAATTTTGAACTCCTTAGCTGAAAGCAAGAATTCAAGCTCTGGCTATAAAATAACAAAATTTTCTGTTAACAATATTTAGAATTTTTACACATTTGTTGTCTTGTCTTTCACCAAGTGAGTATACAATAATTCTAAATACTACAGTTGCTAAATTTCAAGCAAAATATTTTTCAGTTCATTGTCAAATACGAAGGTGGTAACAATTTGATTTCAATGGTTCGATTATCTCATCTAATTCAGGGGTGTACAACCTTCTAACACAGGAGGTCCAAATAAAAATAACTGGGTGAAACCGCAGACCGCACCTTTATTGAACATAGGCTTTTAAGTAGTTGCAGTCACAAAGGTTTTTGGTATTGATCTCATGACATGCGTTGTTTGGTTCGCGCTAGCCAGCTGTTAGAGCATTGTCACATCATAGGCATATATAATAAATTGGACTCAAGTATAGGCTTTGCATCGCAAACGAATTGGAATTACTCGCACGTACCAGATTAAACCAAATTAAAAACTTGTTTCACGTGTCGTACACCATTCAAAATTGGCATCTTCACGGGCCGCATTTGGCCCGCGGGCCACAGTTTTCCCACCCCTGGTCTTATTGATTATCCCATACCATACCTGTTGAAAGACACAAGATATGCACAGTTAAATTCTTCTTGACCAAATAATTCAAAGTTGGTCCGAAGAACATACATTCATCATCTGGGTGACTTGTCACAAATAACACTGATGATGGCTCCTGATTTGAGTCGCTCGCCTGCGATATTGAAAAAAATATTCAAGCTCTTTACGTCTCATAAAAAATACAATGTAACCAGAGAGATAAATCAACCAGAAAAGGAGACGGGCTAGTAGTAGTCTCTTGAAAATAAGGCACACAAAAAAAGAAGAAAGTGGGAATTATCAACAATAAAAAAAACATCGAATAAGAATATCAGTCATATTTATTAGCCTAGGTAAATATCCGAGGATTCACTTAAGTCTAATAGTGTTATTTACGAATAATAATATACTGATACCATTTTCTTCCTTTTTTCAAGTGCCTAGCATACAGGCATATGTGGTCATAAAGCATGTCTCCATTTCATACTACATTTCAATCCTCATTATTGTATTTCCTTATGGCACCTTGCATGTCCTGGTTCTCGTGTACTTTCGTACCTAACATACTCTTTGTGGGCGAAGCATAACAATTTTTTGATATGTCAATTCTAACCCTCATCTGACTACGCCATCTAAAAATTACGTCACTACGACATCACAATCACGCCATAGAGCTTGCCAAATATACGTACAACCGCCCGAAATGGCTATGGCGCCGACGATAAAGAACTGACTGACGTTATCGATTTCTCTCTTATTGAAATCGTTGCAACGAGAAAACAAGAGAAATAACTGTTCGATTTCGGGTGCTCGTTTGCCTGTCTTGGATGGCAGTTCGTATAGTTTGAAGGGCTCTTTTACGTCGCTGTGACGTCGTGTTGACGTAATTTTTGGATGGTGTAGTCAGGTGGGGGTTAGGATTGACACCGGAAGTATCTTAGGTACGAAACTACATGAGACCTGCGTGTTCTCGACTATATTTACCTAATTCATTCTCTTTTTAAAAGTTATTGTGCCCAATTTATCCAAAGCGCCTAAATACCGTAAGTCTTAAGTGCTTACTGTTGGTCCGTCTCACAGAAAATTGAAATGTGTGAGCGAGTGGGTGCTGAAGTGTGATTTTAAGGTAATGAGAATGATTATCATAAAAACGAAAATATTCAAATCAGAATTAAAAACAAGAAGGGGGAGCTTAGGATTGAATACCAGCTTAAAAGTTGTTTCATCTCATCATATCAGACACAAACATTAAAATCATTACGGTAACAATTAGAATTAACGTTCTGACGTTAGGACATGCACTATTTAGGCGATGAAGGAGTTAAGTTTTAACATCAAACATCGTTTAAGTTTACTCACCTGTTTTATATCAAATATCTCTCTATTTCTTGAATCCAATTCCTCAAGTTTTCGAGCATAAAATGTGGCAACTAAGGCGACAAAAAGTCCGATCAACAACAAGAACAACATCCAGACATTCGGCGGCTGGGCATCGAGTGCAAACAAGAATGATGAAGTAACTGAGGTTAACGATATGGGTCAATGGTTTTGATTGACGTAGTTCATACAAAGCAAAAGCCGTACAAGAATATTGGATTCTGAAAAAAAAGAGATATTTTTGTGTAATGTGATTTTTTTCCTCCGAACTTCATTTCTGATTTTGTATGCTATATAAATAAAAACACCTTTTTTGTTCCACAAGATTAGCTGTCAGTCCTTATCCGCACAAAGTAAAGGTTGTTGAATATCATTAAAGTTTCAATTCTAGTCTTTTTTAAATATCTCCGCTTTTTAGATTTCAACTTTTCTGGCTCACAGTGCTTTATTAATTGTTTAGGTCTCGTGTTACCCTACTATCTCCTGGCATCACTGTTACAATACTAAATTTATAGAACTTTTGGTGCCCCAGCGACTGTCTACATGCCTTTTTATAAAAATAAAACAATATTATTGTCTACGTCCTTTTTTATCAGTACCTACCTTTACCTCTTACCACTTTCGGTTTAAAGCTCCCGATCTTGTTCTGAGTAAACTTGGATAACAAAAAAAATTGACTGCTTGCCTCATTGAGCATGGAAACGCCTCTACAAGCCTAATCAATAGTATCGCCTTCACCTGGCAAGTAGCAGAAAAAATGTATGGAAAAAACCTAAGAAATAACTTCAATAATTTATTTTTAAAGAAAATTTCATAAATTTTCTAGACGCCAACCGAATACAAGATAACAGAACATTTTTGCTTTCAATTTATTACAAAGCTTTCATTAAAATAAAAGATCAAGAGTTGAGGAAGAAGGCAACATAATACAAAGCAGACAAAGACAACTAAAAACATATAATATGGAATTGTATATACAATTGGTTGGAGTTCCTCTTTTTCCACATTAGCCCCAAGTTTGAAAAAAAAAATCTTAGCTTCCACTATTGTTGTATATAAATCTGAAACACAAAACTACTCATAGCGAGGTACTGAGTTTTCATCTAAAATTGAACGAGCATCAATGAAAACGTTCGAAACAACCACCGATTCAATGAGTGCAAAAATAAAATATCAGATTTGTGATAAACATCAGAGATCCAAAGCGTGTTCGTGTTTAGTACCCCTTTTTTATTAGTAGAGAATTACGGAATTTGCTTTGAGAAAACTTGTATAAGAGATGAAGATTTTTGGATTACAATCAGTGCCATCAAAATTTGTATGTGGCGTTTTAGGTCCTGCTGTATTATGTGCACCAGGTTCAACTTAGGCCATGATTTTATTCCGATTTTCTTTAAGGGGGTTCTGGAACTGTTTGTGTTAGCCAAATAAATAGGTTTCAGTCCTTTTACACAACTTGATGTAAAATAGGTTAATAAAATTAGTTACCTCCATATTGATGGAACACATACTTCTGGGAGTACAGTAAATTAGAATGCTAAGAATAACAAACAATTACAAAAGAATTTTGAATCAGATATTTAAATAAAGAATAACCGTGTACAATACAAAAATAATATAAATCCAGAGGTTCTTAGGTTAGCAGTACAGCACAATTCTTCGCTTATTTTCCCAGTCTATAAACGTTGGTTGAGATAATATCACGAGTTCCTAGCAGACAAAGGTAACACTTAACACGCTTTTTGAACTATCACTCAATGTCTATCATCACGTAGACGTAGATCATAGGTCCTCAAAGTGCTCTATACAGAGCCTTAGAGGTCCGTAAAAGAACCCTGGGGCTCTGCGGGCTATTCGTTCACTTATAGTTTAATTTTGTAACTGTCCAAAGAAGCAATAACGGTAAAAATAAAATTTGACAACGGTAAATAGGTCCGGGTCATTATATAAAACAATTTTAATTTACTCAGAAACATTAATCATAAGTAACAATGTGTCTTTTTTGCTTTGTTTTAGGGTTATTGTGGGGTGACGTAAATAATAGTCAACCTTTTCAGGGACTCCATAACACAAAAAGTTTGAGAATCCCAAACGTAGATAACTCTAGGAGTGTCAAGATTGCTGGATCCCTCGTGACCATAAAGCGGTTCTCATAACCAAAGGTTATGTTGAAGTTCATGCATCTGGAACAATTCATTGGTCTACTGAAAGCAATGTTCCCTCTAATTTTTTGTAGTATGTGTGCGCAGAAATTTTAGCGTGTGCGCACTTTTTTGGAAATGACTGATATTTGTGCAAAAACCAATGAAGAAATTTCGGCGTTCTAACCGGGTAATGAGTGGGTCAACAACAAACTTTCTCAACCTGCCAACCGAGCACATTGTTACATTACATCGAAATACGTTTGTGCGCAGTAAATCTATTCGTGTGCGCACCCTCTGAAAGCTGTGTGCGCGCGCACACCTTAGAGGGAACACTGACTGAAAGGAACGCGACAGCTCACCTTCGGCAGTTCAACTAGAACTGTAGGGTGGGCAGTAGGTTCCACAAAGGTTTGAGAAACCCTAGTCAAAGTCCAAATTTTTAACTCCCAGTTTTATGAATTCGAAATAATATTAAAAACCTTTTGAAAAAAAATGAGATAGCTAGCAGTCAAATTGAGTTCAACGGTTCTCAGTAAACGATTTTAAAAATTAAAAAGAAAATGTAAAAACGAAAAAAGTTACTGCAGAAATTCTTTTTTTTCTTCTCCCTGGCCTCCTCCCTCGGCTCATTATTATATCCTAGTTTCACTAATTTTAAAAAATTATGCTACCACATGGGCTTTCAGGTATTGGATTTAGTTAGTGCGGTATCAATTACCGTAAGTGTCCGTATATTCATCAGGAAAGTCTTTTGAAACATCTTTGCAAACAGAGGAACAGACAGACAGACCAGGCAGGTAGATTTAAAAAATAAAAAACAATTGCATTTTTACAGCGATCAAAAAATAAAGTATTTACATAAAATTAACTAAAAATAAATGAAATTGCAATCTGAGGCTCTCTATTATCAGTTCAATGCAGATTATGGATAATTGATTAATAATACCAATACTTTATCAGTCAAATGTACTGATAACAATGTTTATCAGTTCAATATATAAGTAAATGGTAATAAAAAATACTGAGTGGTTCCAGAAGGCGGTAACAATATGCACGCAAGGGTGCTCCCGAAGTATGCGAACCAAGATGGCGGACATCGGAACGTAACATGGGTAACAGGTTAGAGTTAGGCGATAATTTTTTTCCAATTTTCCCTATTTTAGTCCTATTATCAGTTCGAAGACTAGCCAAGAGCCTCCCGTAGTATTTATACCTAAAATTATGGCCTAACCCTAACCTAGTACACATATTACATTCCGATGTCCGCCATCTTGGTTCGCATACTTCGGGAGCCCCCACTCAAGTTATCTGCAGAGTTATTTGGGTCGCTAATTCCCTCGTTTATGCCATCTTTTTAAACCACCTTGCACACCATCAAACTATTGCAGTCACTGGTGTCCATCGAGAAGTTTCAAAAGACGAGTAACCCTTCTCATTTTGACGAGCTTTCACACACCACAAAATACTGACAGCCATTGATGTCTGATTGTTAAGGTGAAACATAAGCATATAAAAATATACGTCTACAAAAGCTGATCATTTCACGAAAAAGGGGAATCGGTAAGGAATACAAAACGTTTCCTGGAATGTTGCAGCTTTCAGATGTATGTGTGTGTGTGGACTAAGCTGAACATCCCTTCCAGAATCCAGAATTTCGAATATTCTGAAATTTCGAAACTCCAGAACTTACACGTCTAAAAACAATGTTCACATTTTCAGTCGACAATGCCATGTTCCCCTGAAGGCATTGCGGCAGGGTCGAGTCCGTATTTCTGCATTTCAAGAGCAAGTTCGAATAAATAGTCAAGACATTCTGACCTGCAAATAAAATATTCGGAAATTGAAACTCTTGGGTCTAATTGACAACCGCCTCTCTTTTGTTCCATGTTTGTGCACTGTATGCTTTGAGGTATTCACCCCTTCATTAAAAATAAGGCAGTCAGTAGGGTATTCTCGTAGTATGTGAACCGAGATGGTTGACACTGAAATGTAGTATGTGTACCAGGTTAGGGTTAGCCCATAATTTTATTTCAATTTTCCTTATTTTAGTTCTATTACGAGACAGCCAAGTGACTCCCATAGTATTTGTACCTGAAATCATGGCCTAACTCCAACCTGGTACAGATACTACGGGAGTACCGTCAGTAGTTTATCTCACATGCCGAAAGTACACATTGTATGAACATTGGTTAAAACAGATGATAAAAAAATGATTTCAGTTCGAAAGGACCAGAAATAAGATAAACCAGAAATGGTTATCGGGCAGCATCACCTATGAGGGAGTGAGTCTAACATTAAATCATGATGAGAAAAAAAGTCAAGTATAGAATGCTAACCGGGACGATACATCTCAGCGACTCTTGTTAATAAAAGAAAACGACTCCAGACATGTGTATGGGGGAAAGTGACTTTTTTTAAAGACTAAAATAACCAGTCATCTACATGAAATGATTGAAATTGAATAAACTTACTGTGACTTGGCAGATTGCCATGTATCCCCCCAGACATAGAGTCCATGTCGTCTGATAAGTACTGCGTTAGACATGGGGTATTGCTGAACTGCTATGGTGACTCTGTGTTGCAAATCTCTCTCGGAAGGCAGATTCTCAATGATTGGAATGACTAGGGTTTCTTCATTGCTGAAAAATGGATGATAATGATAGATTTTTTGTCTGTCACGGTGAGTGAAATGATATAAACGAGAATATCGGTCGGAGACCGAAGACTTATCGATCGAAGGTTAGGGGATCCCCCAAAACAGCGCTCTTACTCCATAGTGACACCGTGTGTCCCATTACTAATTAATTAATACCTTGCTAATTATACGACATAATTCATCGAAAATCGATAGGCTTCTAATCCAAGCTATGATGAATGCACATGCAAAATTTGGAGCATATTCAACCTTGCTTTCATGAGATACCGCGTGCATCTAACAGACAGACAGATAAACAGACAAATACCTATCAACATACTAACCGATTAAAATCGATAAGTAAATAGCTTAGTCCAGGGGTGTGCAACAGGCAGCCCCCATGCCTAAATCCGGCCCACCGAGCCATTCAGTGTGGCCCTTATCAGGCATTTAATTCTAATCCGACAATGCATGTTTAAAAAAGCATACAACACATAGAAAAAATCCATAAATATTTTTTGCACTTGTCATACCCGAAATGGACGTTAGGCGTGGTTTGTCATATAATTAGCGCTTTACCTTACTCCCTGAGAAAAAAATGTAAATCCTATCTTAAATCTCAACTTTTCCAAAAATTCATCGAACATATATATATCGATTTCTTCCTATAAAATGGCATTCTTGTCATCAACACTCAGAATATATGGAAGAATATGGAGAAAATTATTGAGTTTGTTCTACACCACCCCACCTACCCGTAACGCTCTCCAGAATTTCCCTTAAACATTCCTTTAAGCATTTCCTGATGTGAGATTCGGAATTCTCTGTCTTTAAATAATAACGTCGCCATAACTGCTTTAGGACTGTGGCTATGAATAATTGCACCTGTGAAGAATAGAACAAAAAGAATCAAAATTTGAATTCAGAATCGGACTGTAAAAGTCATTCAGATGCAAATGCTATTACCGGTAATATGCTGCGCTCTCTAGCTCCCAATATCTAGAACAGGGTTCCCCAACATGGCAGGAGAGGTTGTTTAAAAGTAGGAAATTTCACTTCATATTTTTATGTATTGTTATTCTCATGTATTTAGTATTATTTTAATACATACAGGATGTCCAGAAAATTTTGTCGATTTGAAGTAATACCAATTAAAAATCTCTTTGTGTGTAATAATTTTTATCGATCTTTATTCCATTTTTTTACGTCATCTAATAATCCTTTATACATCCCCCATTAGTTGCACAAAGAACATCAAAGTTTGATCAAATTGAATGGATGTTTGGAGCCTTAACCCAGAAAAATTGGAAGTGTTTTACCACATGCCCGTTGCAGGTACTGGCAGTCGTGACAGATCATTTTAGCCAAGCCTATCGCAGCATTTGTAGGACAAATTTTTGATTAATGCAACTAAACTGAAGCTCCCGGAGAACAGAATGACAATTAAGTTATTTGACTTACAACTACTTTACAAAAACAACTGAAAAATAACACCCAGAACTATAAAGAAAGCAGCCAATAAATTCCAATTGTTACCTCATTATTGACTCATTGCTGAATGGGCATCGTTACGGAGATATACAAGAAAATCGATGCTTGGGGAAACATCCATACAAGACTTTATGAAGACTATGTATAATCATACCATACCTGCATTTCGCATAGAATATATAGAAAGGAATACAACAGCATTGTCTGTCATTTTTAATCGCTTTTCTTGAATCGGACAATCGAGTAAATTTCCATGATCATCGAGCACGAATAAATCCTGCGGTAATATCCGTTCTTTGGAGACACCAGACGGTGTTACAAAAATCTGTTTGCTGTTAAAAATATTGAAAACAGTCTAAAAAATCTTAAAGGGAACTATTCCTAAATGTTTTTGGAATTTAGTTTAATCCGAATATGTTATGATAAGGACATCATGTATGTTAATATATATTGAAATCTTAACCATTCACTTATATTCTGATCTAAACAAGTCATGAGTAAATTAATTTCTGCCTCTTTCCCATTGTAAAGTGTAATGCTGGGCATTTCGAATTGAATCGTAATTTATTCGAATCGTTTCAGACGAAAATTTGGAATCACTGCCATCTTGTTTTTTGTCACATACATTCACATATCACTTGGTATTCAAATTTCAATTCGAAAAAATTTTCATTTCGATTCTTGAATGATTGTGTATTCAAGAGAATGCCCAGCCCGAGTAAGGTGACTAGATATATAGCAAAGAGGCTACTCAAGCTGAAACTGCTCAAGCTTATATGCTTTCCCTGAACCAGGATATGTATAAAAATTCTCTAAATAGGGGGGGGGAAACCCAGGGGGTGGTTTTGTGGATCGAAATCCCTACCATTTTCAAATGTAAAAAACATAGCAATTTTTCAAAGCTTGAAATACTTTTTAATTCCCTCAACTTGAGGGCCTCAAGATTTCAGAACCCCCTGTTTGAAAGATCCTGGCTACCCCACTCTCTAAATATTCCAAACAATCATACTTCTGTCTGATAGTCATTGATCCACCGGTCCCAGACATCCACCCGAGTTTAAACATCTGGCGACATAACTCTGGGATTAAATTACGAGGGTGATCGGTTGCTAATCGTCTGTTGTACTGCTGTGTTTGAATACTGTTACTGAGCTGTCAGAAATGAAAATAGATCATTAGTAAAATGCAACTAAACAACTTAATGTCCAACTTTTGATATATTGTTCAGATTAACTCAGAGTTTACTAACTGGGGAGGGAATCCTTCGCAGAGAAAAAAGGCTCTACAATGTGTACCAACTACCAATATGGAGGTAACTAATTTTGTTCGCCTACTTTACACCAAGTTGTGTAGTGAGACTGGGACATATGGCCGAACCCCAACCTGGTACAGACACTACGGGAGTACCGAGGAGAATACTTAATACCGTAATACTGTTTTACTAATATTGATTCAGCGTTTTTGTAAAACATATTCATGCACACATTAAAAGTATTCAAAATTATACAAAAGCTAGAGTGCTGGGTTGCAGATAATAACACTAGCTTATGATCCACTGAAGATAGAACAAATAACAGGAACAAAATGTTTATTCAGCAAGTGGTCGCCCCTTAATGATAGGAGAAATAACCGATAAATCGTTTTTATGCATCGTGAGGAAGGGAGTGATGTTTTAAAAGTGTTGTCTGTAGCTTTGCCAGGGTTGTCCAAAACGAATCGAATATTTGAATATCAAAGTATTCGAATACCTTTTCGGCTGATTTTCGAATAATTCCGAATAGTAGCCACTTTTCGCCGTAAACGTGGTGTTTCGTTTTACGGGAATCTTCAAACGGATTTTTACGCTGTCTCGCGTATTGTAATGACGATGAATTAGAATCGGCACTTTGATTGTTTATATTCTGTGCGACCGTACGTCGCATAGTGTTGCGACGCATTTGCACGTTTGCGTGGGTGGACATTGGCGACATTCGTCTACAAGGCTTCTAATTTACAAATTCATTTCCATTACGTTGAAAAATTGACAATTACTGTATTTCCAGGCTAATAAGTCGCTTTTCTAGGCCACCGAGATAAAGTGATTTGTGACCCTTTCATTTTGCCGATTCAGCAGAACACAACAGGGATAGGAAAACACAGCTGTGTAATAACCCATGGACGTACAGTGTATTACTTATCACATTCCAAAATTATTTCAACATTCTGGTTAATAGGTTGTTCAAAATGATTGCCGCTTTACAACTTAAATTTACCGCTCAATTGTTAAAAATAGGTAATTTTGTGAGTATGATTCTACCAAACTAACATGATCTGGTTCTAAACATTTAAAATTATAAGCGCATATCAGCATAACTGAACAACAGGAACACAATTTTTCTACCCGTCTTATTGGAGGCCTATATGGAAAAAGCCCTTTTTAGAGTGCTAAAAATAGACATCGTCCTATTTGCCATGTGGACTCATTAGCCAGGAAATACGGTATTTATAGCAGTCATTGTTACTATATCCAATAAATTGTCACAAGTTGGAAAAACAAGTCGATTTATTAGAAAATAATTTCTGGTAAATAATTTTGATAACGATAGTTAAAAGTATCGATCCTTTACCAGGATGATTTTTTGTTGCGCAAAATAATCCAATCCATGACTGGTACCAGCATTCAAACTGTCATGCCGTATTAATTTAATTCTGTTCAACGTAACTCATGGTTGTATCGACAATCTGTGGACATAACATGTGTGGTAAACTGACCGATTTTATTAAATATTGATTCCTATTTTTATATTGATAAAATAGTGAAAGTATCAATACCAAATACCACGGGTATTTGTGGACTGTGGTATTTGTGGTAAACTGCCCAATTATATTTTCGGATTCGTATTTACAAAATAATTAAACTATTATAATTCTAAAATGTAACGGCGATCTGTGACCTTAAAATGTGTGGTCAACTGCCCGATTTACCAACATTTGAGTTATGATAATAGAATTAAATTAACACGGTAAGGCATTTTAAATAGTGGTATCGGTCATGGATTCGAATATTTTGCGCGGCACAAAATCATCCTAGTAAAAAGTCCATACTTTTAAATACAAACCAATGGCAACCATTATCCAAATTAGTTCCCAAGAGCGGGATAAAATATAAATTATTTTTCCGACTTGTGTCAATTTTTGTGAGTACGAACATGAGAATCAAAAACTAATTATATTTGGCACAATATCACGGCAATCTGTGGACTTAAATTGTGTAGCAAACTCGCGATTAATATTAATTTTTGATTCCTATTTTCGTATTTACAAAATACAACGGCGATCTGTGGACTTAGAATGTGTGGTAAACTACCCGCTTATAAATAGTTTTTGATTCCTATTTTAATAATATTTATAAAATAATAAAAGTGATATTACTCAAACATACAACGGCGATTTTCGGACTTAAAATGTGTGGTAAAGTTCCCGAATATAATTAATTTTTGATTCGTATTTTTGTACTCACGAAAAAATTGTCACAAGTCGGAAAAATACCTCATACTTTACCCCCTTTTTGGCAAATAATTTGGATAATGGTTGGTATTTAAAAGTATGGGCGTTTTACTAGGATGATTTTGTGTTGCGCAAATATTCAAATCCATCATCGATACCACTATTGCCGTATTAATTTAATTCTGTTAACATGACCTATGTTATATAAAATATATACTGCAATATTCTGCAAATATGAAATGCCTGGTAATATAGCTAGGTTATAACTTGTAGATAGTAGTTATTCCATTGCTTATTGTATGGAAATTCCTACATACATTTAGATAAGCTTCAATTAATGAATTTTATTTTCGAAGTATTCGAAATTTCATATTCGAAAAAAATAATTTCGAATGTATTCGAAATAGTGAACTATTCGGTTTTGGCCATCCCTGAGCTTTGCTCAAGGGTAAATCTCTTTTACTTTTGAGTGAGTAGAATCATTCCTGGTTTGAGAAAACTCAACATTAAAAACAGGGAGACAATTAGCTTTTCTGTGAAGAAACTTACCCTTACCGGGATATGATTAGTTGCATAACTTCCATCAGGATTCAATTTTCGTGGTCTGCCTCGTCTTCGTTTTGATGCTGGAACTAATTCCATGGAATCTGAACTTGACCTAAAATGTAGGCAGTTCACTACTGATGGTAGGGGTTTAAAAACAGGGCAAATCAAAACCCAGGCCATTAAAAACATATTCTCGAGCAGGGGTGGGCATTTACTTTCCTAGGTGGGCCACTTACAGATGATAGACTGGGTTACCGGGCCCAGTGTTCTAAACTCAATATCAAACTATGAGTAAAAAACAGTTTATTTACAAATAACTCTCTGGCATCGATAACAATTGTCTGGCTGCTTGTTTCAATAGTTTGAAGCAATAGTTATTTGCCGCAGTAGATGCAGTAAATGTCATTGGAAGATTAGCAAGTGACTTGAGTACAGCTGGAATAATTGGATTTGAATACTGAAAATGATGTATAGGACAGGAAGAAAAAATATGAGTTGTAGCATTCACAGCAGCACTGAAAAAGTCCTTGAAGCTCTCTAAAAAAAACGTCTAAATGCTAGTCTCAGCCACTAGACCTGGCAGAGACGCTAGAGTTTCAGAATGACGTAAATAATTCGAATGGGTACCGTTTTTCCCGGCAAATAAGTCTACCCGGTCAATAAGACGAGGCCCGATTTCAAGCCTGAAAAATGGGTTTTTGCATATAACCTGCCAATAAGTCGGGGTAGTAAAATCGCATCAACATCGGAATCTCAAATTACCATGCAATGCCTTTTAAGCGATCGCCGCGTTTGCGCATTGGGTAAAATAGCCTATAATGACGTTTGTTTTCTTGTAGCGTAATATTCAATTCGTAATAACTATGGGAATTCAAACTGTCTTTATATTTTATTCTACTTGTGTTCAACTCGCGATTGCGTCGACCATAAAAGAATATTACCTCATACATAAGAAGGCGACAAAAAAATGAAATTATCATACTCGCCTAATGAGACAACCCCCCCCAAAATCAGGCCAAAAATTTGGCTCTAGAAAAGCGACTTATTCGCCGGGAAATACAGTAAATCAGATTCAGATATTTCATTTCGTCAGGCAAGAATCGAAAGAAAGCAAAAGAAAAACACAGTAAACTAAAAAAATGAGAAACATTGATTCACATAGAGCATTTGTGGATCATTTTGTACATTATATGCTGGTGCGGATAACAATGGTGAATTACAGTATTCATTACAGCCAACGATTCGTTATTTTCATGGATATTTTCAACGGAAATTTACATCCATAATAACTACACTCAGTAATTTAGGCAGAAACTAGTGAGTCAGATCCGGCCCTCGTGCCGAAATTTGCCCCCCTCTGTTTTACGATGCGAATAAATTTTGTGCAAAGCGTCCTATGTTACTGAAAATTTTGGTTACATTCATGCATAAACAGATGTTCAAGTGTTAAATAAATTTTCCAACTAAGAAAAATTATGGAAGAAAGTAGGAATTTTGTCTCCTATTCCCAAACTCCACGAAAAAATTCACCTGCAGAGCATTGTCATATTATTTTCTGAGAGGCCAGACATTGGTCCAGGACTGGGACTTGAAAGTGGTGTTGTGTCATTATTATCCAATCGATTTTGATGACTGCCGTGACTTGGAAAACGAACCACGAGTTTTCCGGGTCGTTTTTCTTTTTTAACGTCTCTTTCGTCAACATCTACGTGATGTGATGGAGAGTTATAACTCGACGAATGCATATCCGAGCTTCGTTCTCCGCCATATTGTGACGCAATATAAGCTCCGTAATTCAATGCATCCATGACTATTCTTACTGCACAATGAGTAATTAAATCGTTGCTGTTTCGTCATAAAGTATCCTGAAAAATATATTTCATTTTGAAAAACCGAACGAAAACAAATTAAAAATCCTTTCTTCCCTCTTATGGCATCTGTTTTGGTACTGGTATCCCACATCTGCACACGGGCTGGTAGCGACGTGACTTCTTGGTTCGACATACGTTCTTATCTTCACAGTGATGCCAAATTCTCAAACACCTGGATGCAGGAATCAGAAACCAGAACATGACGCGCCGGAGTGTATAGCGACATGGTGTTGTATATTTTGAGGCAGGTGTTGCATATTTTGAGGCAGCGCCTCAAAACATATGCCAAGTCACGTTTGGAATAGCAGAAAATTGGAAAATACTCTTAAACTTGTATGAATATTTCCTTCATTTTTCAAAAGTTATTATAGTTATTAGCCTATATCTAATCTAATGCATGTCAATGCCATATTCAAACAACTGGCTAACTAATCCCATACCCGACATGGACTGGTAACCGGACGAGAGGCCGTGGTTCCCCCTATGATTTGTCTGTCTTATCCCTGGGATAAATATGCAATTTTATCACAACCTCCACTTTTATGCACATTTCAAACATTGTCATTTAAGTAGTCGCACCATGTTTATTATGGTGTCGAAATCAACTATATTTTCTGGGAAACACGTAATGCACGAGGGAAGTTTAGTGAATTTCCCAAGTGTTCGTACGATGAAATTTTTATCATATATTTAGTGATTTCCCTGCATAAGAGTGAAATCCCTCCCCCCACCTAAAATTTTCAAGTACGACACCATACTTTAATTCTTAGGCTCATATGCCGGCGCGGCTCAACGGGCTAAGCGTTAGGAATACGCTCGCCACCGCACCTCTAACTACTCTGTGTGGGTTCGAATCCCATGCACGGATGGTTATGCGCGGGAGGATTGCTGGACTCCTCGCTGTTGTTGGATAGTTCACGTAACCGCTGGCCGGTTACGGCTTCCTCCACCACCAAGTCCATGCTTCCGAAAACAAACAATACAGTAAAACTAATCCCATACCCGACTTGGAATGGTAACCAGACGAGATGCTGTGGTTCGCCATATGGATAAGCCGTCTTATCGGCTTTCCTCTCCCCCGGGATAAATATGTAAATCCTAAGATGATCAGTCAATGACATAACACATATTTTATAAGTTCCAAATAGTTTGATCACCAATGACTTGTAAATAGCTAACACTCCTCTAAATTTGGACCCTCTCCCACTCTAAATGAAAAATCTAGGGAACATACTGGAGCAGGGTAATCAGAGGTGCTATTGTGTGTTCCCAATGCTTGGCATGATGCCAACTGCCATGTCATTAACAACTCTGCCCTTATATTCGATTATTGTTCAAGAAGATGGTGACTGATTCGCAGCATAAGAATATGTCTAAAATGTTCCGCTCTCCTTTTGAAACATGATTCTTGTAAATGTTAGCAAATCAATTGGTTCAATAGTTGAGGAATCAAGAGCCAAGAGTTGATAACATTCTCACTATCAAAACCATGTGTATTCATTTCAAAATATTTTTACATAATTATTCTAAGAGTAGAGTTGGTAAGATGTGTAATAACATGATAAACCACAGCCACCCATAATTATCATTCCAGATGCAAGGATTTGATGATGGTGATAAGGATCCAAGTCCATAAAACTGGAACGATTATCTGGAATTATTGAAAACCGAACAATAGACCTTCATTCGTGTTAACAAGCTGTTTTATTACCTTTCATTTCCTCTGGATGAAAGTACAAAACAGTGGTATATACCGTATCTCTGAAAGTTCATGCTTCCGAAAACAAATAACCGGCTAACTAATCTCCTACCAGACTTGGACTGGTAACCAAACGAGACGCCGTGGTTCACCATATGATTAAGCCGTGATTCGCCATATGATTGGACCGCTTTTCTATCCCCCGGGATAAATATGTAAATCCCATCCTATCCTGTAAAAAACGTCTCTATTATAGGATAACTTGAGCCCTTCCTCAACAATTTTTTTAACAGTTCAACACAATATCAGAACTGAAAGCGACAAGGGAATCATTTAATATTAAAATGCATCACTACCAGCTAATATAAGTGAAAAAAAAACACAAATAGATGGGAATAGTAAAAAATTACAGACACCATAACAGAGACAGAAGTTTTGACAGAGGCAGAAACAGCCAAATGCTCTCCAATGTACTAGCTTCTCTGTTGTAGTGTTAAATTATATGAATCGAATGAAATGCATCAAAATTTACATAGTGGCATAGATTGATAACGAGTCTCAAGTACAAAAAGAAAAACAGAGGTTTAAATACAGGGGGGCCATGAGTGCTGTACGCCTCCGGAAGATGGCCATGAAAGATTGGAACCATTGTCTTGGTGATTCAAACAATTTGCATAATAAACAGCATGGGTTTTTCCTATTCCAACACTGGTTAATGATAGGCTTCAGCATATGGTATGATCAGTCATAAAACAAGATGTTTCATCTGGAGGGAAGTCAACGAGACAGCTTAATCAAATGATAGTCGGTTGTTCAGTTTGTTAAATGGCGCTTTTCCAATTTTTTTTTCAAACAAGGCCTGCGAGTCTAGGTGCCACTGATATTCAAGGTATATAAGGAGCAACTATTTTTGCAAGGCTAAGAATCCTTCCAGTTCGGCCCTAGCCCCATTAATTTATCACACCTTGGGTCAGGTAGGGGCAATGAGATTTTAACTCAGATGTGTAACCTGTGTTTACCATTACCAACACAGTTCAGTCGGCACTCCAGAAGTATGTGCACCAAGATGGCGGACATCGGAACGTAGTATGTGTACCAGGTTATGGTTAGGCCATAATTTTATACCAATTTTCCTCATTTTAGTTCTATTATGTGTTCGGGGACTAGCCAGTGACTCCTGTGGTATTTGTACCTGAAATTATGACCTAACTCCAACCTGGTACGCATACTGTGTTCCGGTGTCCACCATTTTGGTTCACATATTTCCAGAGTACCATTCAGTCCAATACTTTTACCACAAGACCAGTTTATTAGTTAGGAGCATGAGCATATATATGTTGTTTCATACAAGAGATTTTTTTCATTGATAATCAGTCGTGTTGTACATTTGGATTACTGCGGTACAACCAGGAAATTGCATAAATTATGTTTAAAAAATAAATTTGTCAGCATAAAACATTTGGTGAACTCATGAATTAAAAAATACAGTGAAATAACAATGAATTGTCAAAAATTCTATGAAAATGGAAGATAATAGGTGAATTAAACAATGTTATAAAAATATTAAAGATCGGGGAAATTTACTATTTTAATCCAATTCATAACCAGTGGGCACACTAGTAGGACATGCATAGATATCTCCAGATTAAAGATTAGGGGACGATTACTGGCATAGAATGGTTTATTTCACTGAGGATACTTTATACAAGCCACACAAGCCCACTCTTTTACCAATTTTACCTATTCAGATTATCGAGCTTTTGGCCACGGGGAATTCTTTATACCAGGGGTGTGCAACCTGCGGCCTGCAAGGAAAAATTGTGTAGAAGTGCCAATTTTGAATGATATGCGGCCTGCAAAATGCCTTTCGCTTAAAACAAGGCACTATACATGCAGTCACTGATATTTAGCAGATATTTGTGGAATGAAATGTGAGGAGGTTACTTGTTATTTGAATGACAGTAATCTTTTCTGTTCTTTTCTTTTCTGTTCTACCCGATTTAAAAGCAAAAATTTGATATCGGATGCTTTCTTGACCTCTCAGCATAAATTTGTAAGGGGTTAAGTATTATGGGCTCAAGAATATTCCACGAACAAGTTTTCGTTATTTCTTCACATATCTTTAACCTTTTTCCCTGTAATTAAGAAAAAGTAATTAATTTCCTCTCAACATAGGCGCAGCACTTGACTAAAAATTTGACTATCGCAGCTCAGTCGAAATCAGGTAAATTCATAGAGCACAATAAAACTGCAACCACGGCCAATTAAAAAACATGCTGTGAAATAAATGTACCACCAGGGTGACCTCAAATAAAACAGAACCCATATATTTCATAATTACTTCGACAGATATTTCAGTCAATAAGTTCAGTCAACTCACTTCAATAATACTCGGGATCATCAAAATCTTCTTCTCCTGTACAATATGAAGATATAGATAAATGCAACTTTAAAAAGAATAATAGTAAAATAGGCGTCTAAAAGTCTCTAATTTTTCGATAGAAAAGAAAAGAGAGGATTAATAGAACCATGAATATCTGACTCATGTCTAGTTGTGGCAAAAAACTATTAAAATTGGAAAAAGTTTTTGAGCAGCGAAGTTCATTATTTTCTGACAATGAAATGAAAAAACACCAACATTTTCACCACCAGAAGAGATGACTCGTCATGAAGGGAATGAATAGCAGTCGTAGAAGTTTATTTGAATGTATCAAGTTGAAAAATTTGAATACAATCTCCTTAATAATATCTATATGTTACGATAATCAATATTTCTGAATTACGATCAACTTTACGAACTAAATATAAATTGCTACAGTCCTTCGTGACATTTTTAGTCATCTGGAATACGACCCAAAAATTTAAAGGGAACACCGCCTAATCGTATTTGCTCAGAGGTGTGGCGATCGATCAAAGTTGCACCTGGTCAGAAATTGTAGCTTTATGTTATTTTGTGAAATTATTACCGTATTTTCCGGCGAATAAGACTACCCGGCCAATAAGACGAGGCCTGTTTTTGGCACCAAAAAAAAGGGTTTTTCCGTGTATTCGTCCAATAAGACGAGTAAGAAAATCGCAACCCTGCGTCTCCGTTCGACAGTTAAGCAAAAAATATATCAGTAATATAAGTTTATTATTTCGCCGTGAAAGATGTCTACATCTACAAAAAGAATGCGTTATGATGCTGCTTTCAAACTAAAAGTAGTTGAGCTAGCCTTACAAACAACAAACGTGAAAGCCGCTCTCCAATACGTTGTTACCGAAAAACTGGTCCGTGATTGGAAGAAAGCAGAATGTGTACTCAAAGAAATGCCGAGAAAAAGTAAATGTAACCAGAAAAAGCAATCGAAATGGCCAAAACTGGAGGAATGTGTAGCGGAATGGGTGGAAGCAAACCGAAAGAAAGGCTTGACTGTCACGCGTGCACAGGTCCGTCTTTATGCACAAAACTGGGCTGGTAAAAATGAAGAAGATTCATTAAATTTCAGATCAACTAACAGCTGGTGTAATCGCTTCATGAATCGGCACAACCTAGTACTTCGTCAAAAAACTAAGATTGCGCAGAAATTGCCAAGAAATATGGATAATAAAATCGCCTCGTTCCAAAAATTTATCATTCGTCACCGTCAAAAACACGATTACCCGTTACAGATGATCGGAAATATGGACGAGACACCTGTATATTTCGATATGGTAGGAAACAAAACTATTAATAAAGTTGGCGTGAAAACTATATGGGTTAGGACATCAGGCCACGAGAAACAACGTTTCACAGTAGTTCTATCGTGCCTTGCGGATGGAACAAAATTGCCGCCTATGGTAATTTTTAAAAGGAAGACCTTTCCAAAAAAACAAAAATTCCCGAATGGAATGATCGTCCACACTCAAGAAAACGGATGGATGGATGACGAGGGGTGTATAAGGTGGATAAATGAAGTGTGGTCGCGTCGTCCTGGTGGACTCCTGAAACCAAGATCCTTGCTTGTTTGGGACATGTTTAAATCACATCTCTGTGAAAATGTAAAACAAGCAGTTAGACGGTGCAACACAGATATTGCCGTGATTCCCGGTGGTCTAACATCTGTCACGCAGCCATTGGACGTATGTCTAAATAAACCTTTTAAACATCGGCTGCGTAAATGCTGGAATGAATGGATGGCTTCCGGGGACCAAACTTTCACTCCAGCCGGAAATATGCGCGCCGCATCACTGGCCACGGTTTGTGAATGGGTTTTGAAATCGTGGGGAGACATTAAGGTTGGAACAGTAGAACGGTCTTTTAAAAAATGCGGCATTTCGAACGCTATGGATGGGACGGAGGACGATCTCTTATGGTTGGATGACGGCGAGGACGACCGCAATACTCAACCAACACCAACCGAAAATGACCCCTATGACGATCAGGTGTCCGCCGAAGACTGGGGTCGATTGTTTGACGATAACGATGATGATGAAAAAATTTACTTGACTTGAATTTCGTGTTTTTAAAAGTTATATATTTAAATGTCCATTGTTAAATTTAGTTTCCGCTCAAATGTTGTTTATTTGCGTTAATATTATATTATTCAAATATTTCTGCGGCTAATTATAAATCCATGGTGAGACCTCCGTATTTACGCATGGGCAATTCAAAGTATTGAAATTTGATATTCGGATTCGGTCATCGCGCAATAACTTTGATCTGTTTAGTAATGATTAACAGATTGATGTTTCTCTCGCGATGGCGTGCGCGCCCGCCTCTCTCATTTCATCGATTACTTTTGCTCGTGATGCACACACAAATGCGACGCCATCTTGGCGACTTATACTCTGCTCGTGATGCACACGCAAATGTGGAAACTTCAAATACAATAATTAAAAAGCGTTTATATTCCAGATTTACCAAGCGAGAACGCCTATTCATCAAACTAAACTGTCGGGGAGGGCATATTATCGCTCGCAAGATATTTCATGGTCCTAATTGCAGAATAAACTGACATCGAAAAAATTAATATTACCATATTCGCCCAATAAGACGACCCCCCCGGAGACCCATGACGGAGGCCCATTCTGTGCCTTTCACTGCATAATTTATTAATTCTGGGAGCCATTTGTGACAAGCAAACTCCTAGGTCTGACTCTACGGGCAAGTCCCGAGCTGTATTTTGTCATCATATTGACAAAGACTGAATGAGCTGCCTCTCGCATGTGGGTCGTTGCGAAAGGCAATGAAATTTTCAATTGCCTTTTCTGACAACAATAGATATTCGTCTGCAACGCTCAACAAAAAAAAGAAAAGGGAATTTTTAATTGAAATCAATCATTAGAGATCGATCAGACTCTTTTCATATCGTTGGAGACCCCCTGTGCAGTCATCACGGACCGCCAGGAGTCCGCAGACCCCAGTTTGGAAAACTCTAGGCTTGTTGCTCTACTCCAAGTTATACTAATTTTGAAAAAAAATGCGCCATGAATTTTACATTCATGAATTTCACAAGCTCAATGGAAAACAACTCAATGGAAAACCGTCATAATTAATGAATCGTCTTAAAGGCATCTTATCCTAAGATAAACCTATAAATCTTATCCTTTAAGTTGTTCAGGAGCTTGTTGTGAACAAATATATATAGAAACGAGAATGAGTGAATTATTTGGTTTCAGAAATCCATATTTTGCATAAACTGACCCATGTCATCATCATCATACAACCAATCATAATCTGGTGAGTAGTCTGGTGAGTAGTCTTCATAGTCTGGTGAGTGATATGTAAAAAAGAGTTAAACATAACACAGAGCAAAACATGGAAAATGGGTCGCATCATTTCTTAGATGCTCAATGAGAATGCGCAACAGAGTACAGTATAGCAGCGTGATTTTCCATTTACACCAAGCATACAAAGTTGAGCAAACAAGTTAAAATCTTGGAAGTCTTTCCATATTATTCTGCACAATATACGATTCATTTACCTTAAAATGCAACAGACTAGACTCTCCATAATATATAAACTAGCAATAATGGTGCAATGCCCATCATTTCCACAGTGTGAAATCAATTAAGCAGGTAATGCCAAATTAGAAAGCTCCCAACTCATCAATGGCAGCTTGTCTATACCATTGCTCTAATTAAGTTGGATTACAGCTTGATATATACATAAAAAAATTAGTGAAACTCACACAAATATTCTGTGTCATTCATCATCTCTGAAAAAAACATAAAAAGAATTAATTCAAAATACTCGTATGTATAATCAGAAACCACCAAAATAGGAAAAACCACATTTCGGGATGAATTATGTAAAACTATATTAAGTCTGGAGCATCAATAGTGATTCAAGAGTCTTGCTGCACACCATCGTTGAAATCTAGGGTAGCCTGACTGCAGGCGGAAGAACTATTGCAGAACACGGTATATATTTTTAGTGTGCAGAAAGACTCCTGAATCACTTAGAATAGCTATCTTTCCTCTTACATTATATGCTACACATCCATCGACGCAGCACAGGAGAAGGACAAGTATTCAGTGCCACAGATACCCAATGGAGTATACATTACATATAAGGTAATTTACATGTTCTAGCTGTTTTATCATTTATTGTCAAAACATGTACAATGCCAACTGCATTGTTCAAAATATATAAACGGTCATACGTAGTAATACTATAGCAACTTTTCTATGTTTATTTAATGGCATCTAAATATTTACCCATCAACTTATTAAGCTCTTCTTGCTGTGCTTTCCGAGCCACCTCATCCTTTTCTTGCTTCATTTCTTCTTCCAGGGCCTTGATTTTTTCAGAATATTCTTTCTCTATTGCCCGGCGTCTTTTTTCCATTCTTGCTTCAATCTCTTGACTCTCTTTGTTGACAGCAGAACCTGTAGAGCAGAGAAAATTTTTTTATAAGTTTATAAGCTGTAGTACCTGTCTTAGTTTTGATTTTAGGTGCCTTATGTTTATTCTCAGGTTCGGCTGTTGGAACCAAACTACTATAAAAATTTCTCAAAGCTTTGGTGACATAAGCTAATTTGGCTATACTTCGACTATATAGTATTGAATGTACAGGGTGATCAGACCAAGTGTAGACAAATATTAAGCGATTCAGCAAAATGTTAGCTTTTGAAGGGTAGAGCAAGCAGATCTGGCGCATACAAAGCTTTAAACGTTTGAAAGAGACAGGCACAACCTTTCCTAAGGTGAATATCACTCCATGTCACAAGGTTAGAACGCCAAGACTTTTCAAAAATATCAGGGAAAAAAATCAGAAGGGATACTAAAAGAAGCGCGAAGAAAACTGGCCTTCGCCTCTGGTGTGAGCCAGAACGATGCAAAAATTGCTGAGAAATGATTTGTCCCATTACGAAAGGACAAAAGCTCCATTACTGTCACAGGCTACAAACATATCCCATACATACATATCCCATTAAACGACAGGCTGCAGTTTCAGAGACGAAAACCAGCATCCGTCATGGTCTGGGCCGGGGTAACCACAACTTGAGAGATGAAGCCTATCTTCTTCATTGAAGAGGGGGTAGACGTGAATCAAAACGTGTATTTGGAGTTGATGAGGGAAAAGTTGATGCCCTCAAGGAACAAACTGTTCTGGGAAAGTGGTATTAACCTTCCACAGCAGGACGGAGCCATCTCACACAGCTAATCGTGTCCAAGAATGGTGTAAAAGGAATATGGCTGGGATCAGGCCGAAGGAATTATGGCCACTTTCCTCTCCAGATCTGAACCCTATGGACTTCGCCATCTGGAGTATTCTGGAGAGTAGAGCCGACTTGTGTGGACAGGATTTCAAAAGAAACTATAGGTGCCTCGTGCAGTACTGTTCCGAGGATATATCGAAAAAAAAAAAAAAATTCCATTTTTTATCTTTATTCCATTTAATGTTATTTTCTGCAAAATGAGTTTTTTTATATTAGATTTATATTGTAGATATTTTAACAGAAGGCCAGTCTTGGTCTGATCACCCTGTATTTTATTTAGATGACAGATAAAATATAGTTGAGATGCTCCCGTTTCCAAAAGCAATTACCGTATATCGTATTTTAAGTATTGTCTCAGATATACATGTACATGATAATAATTCTAATTTAAAATCTACATTCTCACAGAAATTCATTCTCATCAAAGTAACTTCCCAAAACTTACTTGGACCAGCAACCTCCCCTCCGAAGTACTTATGCTTCTGGACTTCATCCACAGTTGGCCTGTCTTGCGGTTTGGAGCTGAGCATCCATCTTAGCAAACGATATATCTCACTGTCAGCCTCTAGTTTGCTCAAATCCAACCCACGATTCTTCTTGATATTAGCATTCCATTCATCTGGGTCATCACCAAATGGGTGATGCCCATCAGTCTCAATGAAATGTATAATAAGGGCCAGGGAGTAAACATCAGTTGCTTTGGAAATTACGTTTGAGTTGTAGGTTTCTGGGGCCCTCCAGCCATCAGTGCCAACACGTAAAGTGCTTAAATTAGTAACAGATCTACCACTGGTCATTTGCTTACTGAGTCCAAAATCTATGATTTTAAGATAGTTTTCATCGGTCGAAAACAGTATATTATCAGGTTTTAAATCACGATGAATGACTTCATTTTTATGAATGTGGACAATGCCGTCCACAAGCTGGCGTATTTGCCTCAATTTAACAATGGGACTTTGTTTCTCTTTCCTACTTTTCATGTACTGTGTCAAATTTTGAGTGCCACAAATTTCCATGGCAATATAGATGTACTTCAAATGACCGACATCATAAACCCCAGATTTAATAACTTGGGCAACATTAGGGTGAGGGCAAAGCTTAACAAGGATTTTTGCCTCCATTTCATTTTTCTCGGAATGACTAATACTTTTGATAGCAATGGGAGTTTTGCCGAAATCGTGATGTATTTGTACACCCTTACAGACATTTCCTAATTTGTTAATTTTTTCTTTATGGAGCAAAAAGATGGAATCACTCAGTTGAACAGAATCTGAAAAATAAATATTTTTTAATATACAAGACGCTCGTTCATGTTGTTTGCTCTGAACAAGACCCAGTACATCAGCTGATATACGTTAGAATGTACTATTTTTGATATCATTCCTACTCGGGATCGCATACATAATTGACTACACTCTGAGTGAGGTTTATTAAACTACAGTGTTTGCCAACACAATTAAGTCTAATGCTTAAACCTCTAGGCAAGAGATCGCAATGTTTTGTCACTCGCAGGCCAAATTTGAAAGTTCTCAGATCTTGGCGGGCTGTACATATTTTTCAGTAAAGTTTAAATCTGAACGGATGGCTAATGAATCTAAAAATATTTGAAATAAATAACAGTAATAGTCTTCTAGCGAAAAATACAATCCTCAAAGAATATTAAAGAGAAAAGCGATTTTTCATAACGATAGGAAGAAGAACAACTTAATAACAAAACTATTCACAGGTCCACTTTGTGTCCAATAAGATGAGATTTATTAAAAATTACATTATCAATATTAAATTATGGTAAAAATTCACAGCCGCCATTTTGTCGCTAAATTTCAGCGAGACATCGCAGGCGGAATCATTTTACTCAAGAGGGTCGTATATGGCCCGCAGGCCATAGGTTGCTGACCCCTGATTTAGGCAATCACAAAACCCAAAACCAAAGCAACCTACTCAGATGCTAGATCAAACTTTGAAACCAGAAATGACCTAATATAGACCTGGGATTGGGTTTGGATCTTCAGATTTAGAGCCTGATTCAGTTGAACCTTCTTGATTCACCACCTCGATGTTGGAGGAACCTGATATGAGATTCTTTGCTGTTACTTGATCTGAAATACAGAACAGGCAGGCTTATAAATAGAAATAAGATTGGAGTTGTTCGAATATTCTAATCCTAAAATAAATTACTACTGCCCAAACATGGGGGAAGCCATATTCCCTAACGAATGTACCCTTTTGTCAAATAAAAGTACATAAAGTCAAAAAAATGCTGCTATTTTCTACATCTCTGATTTCCAGTTCAGAAGAGGATAAAAGTAAATGCAGAGTACACCCCCCAAATGCACCCTAAAAGGTGGCTAATGAAGATATGAATCATTCAATTACTGATATGCGAAAGTGAGGATATCGTATGGTTACCAGTTTGAGAAATAATCACCAGTTATTGGTTTCTCAGTTACGTGAACCACCCTACCTCATAAAATAAAATAGGATTTGCATATTTATCCTGGGGGAGAGGAAAGCCGATAATATGTCTTATCTGCATTTTAAAAAAACATGACATAAAATGATATAGAATGTTGCAACTGATGATATGTCATATTCAAATGAGGTATGATGTTATGAACATTTATCATAATGTTGTACTGTCAAATCAAGTCATATGGCAGTACAGTATCCATCATTTAAATTTCAAACATCAAAACATGAAAATTATTCTTGTTCGGTTAAATAAGTGTTATGATGTTATGAACGTTCATTATACTCATTCATTAGCAAATAGCAGTAGTACAAAACAAACATTCATTTCTACTCGCAGGTTTATTTTCTGTTTTTCAGATCGTAATTTGACTATAATTTGGAAAAAACAGGCTCCAGTATGGGGAATGAAGTGGTCTCTAGCCCACCTCTTCATGCACCCAATTCTGGCAACTTTGGTTGGGCATTTTTGGCAATTGACTTCGACTATAATCAGCTTGGCAATATATTTTTCATAAAAGTTTATCTTTACTGTTCACTCCCATTTATAAAATCGATCAATTCGGTAGTGGCAAACATTATAAATTCATTAATACTGTAATATGGTGGCAAGTAATTTTCATTTATTTATTTTTTTTTAACTACCTGTCTGTAATTTATCATGTTCTTCTTACTTTATAACTTCTGTATGGTTGTGTGTCACTTGTGTGTGGGTACGTGTGTGAAATATTTCAATTATTTTGGGTGAGTGAACACGTACCGCTACTTCTTGGCAAAACCTCCCATCTTATATACATTATGTACATTTTAAACCTTATCTAAGGTTTTGTTTGCTCTCCTGATTTCATAATCAGTTTTTATTTATTTATTTTTACCAATCATTTTATTGATATGCTGGTTATGGAGTCAAAATAAACTTATACTACTTATACTACTTATACTGCTGTACAATGTCAAATCAAGTCCTATCCCAGTATCCATCCTTGAAAATTCAAACATGAAAATTACTCCCACCTCCTTTGACAACATATTGAAGATTTTGTTTCACAAATGTTACATTCGTTCCAGGAGCTAATTTCAGGCTCGAAGTTGGTAAAGACTGGAGTGTTTTTTCTCCAATATCCTGGAATGCCTCAAAGACTGCGAGGAGGGTTGGTAGCATAAAAGTCATATTGGGGATGGCAAAATAGGGATGGCAAAATACGGTCGAAAGGTGGCAGATTGGGGATGGCGAAATAGGGACGAAAAGCCAAATTGGGGATGGCAAAATGCGGTCGAAGCGTGGCAGATTAGGGATGGCGAAATACGGTCGAATGGTGGCAGATTAGGGATGGCAAAATGCGGTCGAAGCGTGGTGGCAGATTAGGGATGGCAAAATGCGGTCGATGGGTGTCAGTTTTTGCCAAATCGACTGTCATAATGCGCTGTTTAGTATACAGATAACAATAAACAATTGCCTCAAAATGACAAAGAAATATGGCCAAAGTGTTTAGATTTGGGGCTGATGAAATGGATTAGTACCTGTCAAATTCGGGCTGGGAAAACACAGTCGATGAGTGTCAAAATGGGATGGCGAAATGGGGTCGAAGCGTGGCAGATTAGGGATGGCGAAATGCGGTCGAAGCGTGGTAGATTAGGGATGGCAAAATGCGGTCGAAGCGTGGTGGCAGATTAGGGATGGCAAAATGCGGTCGAAGCGTGGTGGCAGATTAGAGATGGCGAAATACGGTCGAAGCGTGGCAGATTAGGATGGCAAAATGCGGGTCGAAGAGTCGGTGGCAGATTAGGGATGGCGAAATACGGTCGAAGCGTGGCAGGTTAGGGATGGCGAAATACGGTCGAAGCGTGGCAGGTTAGAGATGGCAAAATACGGTCGAAGCGTGGCAGATTAGGGATGGCGAAATGCGGACGAAGGGTGTCAAATTGGGGGTGGCGAAATAGGGTCGATTCCTGTCAGGTTAGAGATGATGAAATATGGTCGATGCGTTTCAGATTAGGGAGGGCGAAATAGGGCAGTGGGTTGACGGGTGTCATGTTAAGGATGGCGAAATGCGTGTCAGATTTGGAAACGAACATTGTCAAATTTAAGGAACTAATCTGATCAGTGTTTCACATTTTAAAATTCATTTAAAAGGTATTGTCCGATTTTACATCGTGTCTTTATTTTATGATTAATTTTAATGTTTTATATATTATTACATTTTTCTCATCAAGTCTTGAACATTCTTTTTATATTTTTCTGATTAATAATTTTAATACAATCTTTTAATGTTTGATATATTATTACGTTTCTCTCATCAAGTTTTGGGTACTCCTGAAGTATGCGCACCAAGATGTCGCACAACCTGAACCCTAACCTGGTACACAACCTGAGTTCAGGTTGTGCGCCAGCTTGTTGCGCATATTTCAAGAGGTCTGCATTGGCTGGCATAGCATTGTGGATCGTGCCTTCATTTATGAGGTCATATGTTTTATCTCTTTCGTCATGGAAATTTCAATTTTTCCCTGGTATTATTGTCCCTACAATTTTTTACGCCACCCGAAGCCTGCGATATTTCTATTCCAAATACTGTTATTAAACAATTCTTTTCAATTACAAATATTTTAAATTGCTCAAGTATATATGTAGAAGAATCCTGTTTTGCTTTAAAATATTTTTGGCATAATTCACGATCACACTGCATGAAGAGTTCATTCTCCGTGTTTCGTTAATTTCAATTCTCAAAATTTCTTTCGAAGTTAATTGGTTTTATAATTTGAATATAACCTTTTGATGTAAAGATGTGTTCGATATATTATGCTATAAAATGATTTTTATGATATTGGGTGAATTCCTATCTAGAGGAGAGTCTTTGAATAGGAATATACGTTGTAGTATTACTCACTTTTGTATAATATTATTCATGAAAACGCGACAAACTATTTGAACTGCGTAAAAATGAAAATGCGACTTTTGTATAACACTGGCAAAGAATCTACAAAAGGCAAGGTAATTAAACATAGGGATTTTGGTATAAACAGTTCAAAAACCAACTAATAGAAGATTTCAACACAAAATGTTGGAAACCACCAAATTCATCCATTTTATCGTTTCTCAGAAAGAAAATGTCGAAGACTAGTTTGACTTTTTAGGAATCTTCTTGCATGCTTTACTTCTTGAGGAACATAATTACCATTACTTGGTACAGAATCCAACCCATGTCTTACTGGATAGCGAAGGAGCAACTTATAAATTAATGTGTTACGTGTAACGCAAGTCTTGTTCTCTGTTGCAATTGAATTCCAAGGAAAGACGCATTTGCGACGAATTTTTCGTGCTGTTTGGAATAGGGTGGGTTAGACCTTGGTGCTATATATATCCGCATTGTTTAATATTTAATGGTGCTTATAACTGGCGTAGTTTCGTGCACCGTTATTTCGCGTTCAAATGCGTTTGATGAGGGATTAATTTTGAGCTAGTAATACGTTCAATATTCATATCTAATGATTGTAATATTTGTTCTGGTGAGTATAAGATACAAAAAGCCTTTCTAGATTTTCAATTGAAATCAAATGAAATTATACTTTCAAAAACTTATAGGCGAAATGTTTTGAAAACATTCTGCGCTGAGCAGGGTCTCTATAATTGTACGGACATTTAGCGAAATAAAGCCAGTGAAATACTTCCCTGAATATTCGACATTTACACTGGAGTCAAATTACTACTAATCTGCAACTGAAAATTTTCAACCTAATTGTTTTTGAACTTTACAAAACAATCTCAAACATTTGATGGTCAGAAAACGCTAATGTTTCATGTAGTAGTCAGGGAACACGCAATTTGATGGGTTAGTCTAGCAGGAATGGCGAACCTTTTTAAAGAATTGGGTCGAAAATTATTGTTGTATTGTAGAAAAGAAGACTGTGGTTCGTAGACAGGGTTGTCCAAAACGAATCAAATATTCGAATACATTTTCGGCTGATTTTCGAATAATATATAGTCTCTTTTCATCGTAAACACGGTTTTTCGTTTTTGCGGGAATCTTCAAACGATTTTACACATTCATTTCCATTACGTCAAGAAATTGAAGATTATTCAATGTCGTAATTGTTATGATACCCAATAAATTGTCGCAAGTCGGAAAACAAGTCGATTTATTAGAGGAAATAATCAATACTTTTTCCCGCTTTATGGCAAATAATTTTGATAATGATATTTGAAAGTTTCGACTTTTTACTGGGATGATTTTCTGTTGTGCAAATTATTCATATCCATGACCGATACCAGCATATAAAATTATTATGCGTTATTAATTTAGTTTTGTTTAACGTAACTTATGGTTGCGACGACAATTTGTGAGCATAAAATGTGTAGTGAACTGCCCGATATTATTCATTTTTGATTCCTATTTTCGGATTTACTGAATAATAAAAGTATTATTACTCTGAAATCTACTGGAATTTGTGGACTTAAAATGTGTGGCAAGGTGCCCGAATATAATTAATTTCTGATTCGTATTCACAAAATAATATTACTCAAAAATACACTACACGGACTTAAAATGTGTGGTAAAGTGCCCGAATATAATTAATTTTTTATTCGTATTTACAAAATAATAAAAACATTATTACTCCAAAATACAACGGCAATTTGTGGGCTTAAAATGTGTGGTAAAGTGCCCGAATATAATTAATTGCTGATTCGTATTTTCGTATTCACAAAATAATAAAAGTATTATTACTCCAAAATACAACGGCAATTTGTGGGCTTAAAATGTGTGGTAAAGTGCCCGAATATAATTAATGATTACGTCATTAATGATCAACGTCATTAATAAATGATTACTCATGATTACGTCGACTTATAAAAGAATAAAAGCGTTACTATCCTAAAATATATATCGCAGTAATCTGTGAATATGAAATGCCTGGTAATATAGCCAGTTATTCCATTGTTTATTGCATGCAAATTCCTTCGCATATTATAGATAGGGGTGGGCAAAATCGAATATTTTTTTCGAATCGAATAGTTCGAATATTTTTAACGAATACCGAATAGTCGAATAACGAATTTTTTTTCATACACAACAGGAGGTCTACAACGTCGGTCGATACTCCATTTGAAAATTAATAAAGACATTGAAAAATCGGCTACAAAGCGTTTTTTTACTGGTTAATTTCGTCATAATCATGATTGTTTTTGTCACCGTGACCGTTTTTGCGGTGATATATAATCTATAATACCGCCCTTTCTGTTATTTGCAAGTATTAATTCTTTCGCGTCGGCGGACATCGACGTTTATATTTCGGGTTTACCCGTGCGTTCACGTCGGCAACAGCTGTTAAAACCATAAAGGATTGATGTAAAAACCCAAATTAATATTATTCTAATTTTTATCATTTGCGTTAGCTTTCATATTACTTTTCAACGTTTGTAAATTTACCGTCACAATATTAAGCGAACGGTGATATTATTATCGATACCGGGATGCAGATATTTATTAAGACAATACCGTAATTAACTTTGCTATGCTTTTCTATGGTGTCTATGTTACTTTACAGATAAACCTCGCAGAGCTGCGATTGCGTCAATCCCGAATGTTGATTTAAAATAGTGACTAAATAATTCGGCAATAAAGGCATTTCTGCGTGGCCATATGACGAGATGACGTTAATAAACAGCGCTTCTTGAATAATAATTTGCATATGCGACCTAATGCTGAAAAAATTGCGCTTTTGTACTTTTGTGCCTAATAGATGGCCAGGCGCTATTTATAACTAACTCTTCCAAGTTCCGACGTTTTCTTTCAACAAACCGCGCGGTCATTATAGCTAATATCGTTACCGAGTAGTTCACAATTTTATTTACGGAATTTGCGAATTCACTTTTACTTCTCTTGACAATTTTGACAATGTCACGCCCTATTTATTAGTGCAAAAATGCTCAAAATATAACGAATGTAATCATTTCCGACGATACAACAATTCGTAAACGAGACAGTGCGCGTTGTTACATCGAAATTCACGATTGATTTTACGCCATACTCCTGTTCACGATTTCTACACTCCACCCGCCATGCATGCCCGAGTGAAATGTTTACACTTTCGAAACATTATTTGGTCAAGAATGAAACGAATCACGAAAGAATTATTTGAAAGTACATTAAAAGAACTATGTCCTGCCATTTCTTTTCTGGTCATAGCTTGTTCGTGTTATACTATGTATATATGGTTTCACGCAAAAGTTAATTCAACTTTTAATTTTCGTTAAACAAATTTATGTTTGGTTTATTCATGAAACGGCTAATCACGTGCCGACAATCATACGGAGTTTAAAATCTGGAATATTTATTTTAAATACCTCATCTGATTTAACGTTTCTAAATTTAGGGAACGGTGTCGTTACCTCTTTGTGCAACATAGGGAATTGAAATGAACGATCAAAACGCAAAGAAAACAAATAACACCACAACGCAAAAACGATTTTTCAAATTTGTCTGTTAGCGAGCGAGCTTGTAGGTGAATTCTCGCGCAATTCACGATCGGTTCACAGACGTTCCGTGTCCAAGCGAAGCGACGCAGATCACGTGGTACCCGATATTCGAATAGTAAAATGCCATTCGAATAATTCAATATTCGATTCGCTATTCGAATATTTCGCCCAGCCCTAATTATAGATAAGCGTTTTTTGAACTTCAAATGTATTCGAAACAGTGAACTATTCGGTATTGGCCACTCGTAGGTATTTAATTGATGAGAAACCCGCTGCCGCAATTTTTCCGTGAGACTCATAATCTTTGAAGTTGAAGGACTAAGGTAATATCTTGTACTCGATTTTATGTAATTTGTGTAATACTAATTACCGAAATATGTTCCAACGCTACGGTAAATATTCCCGTGGTTTCAAAAGAGCTTTGAAACGGGATTTCACTGTATGAGAATTGCATTTTTAGATTGGCTTTCTGCCATGTTGAAGTCACTACCACTCTAATCACAACCCCCTAACGACTACGTGATTGAAGAGGCGTTAGAAACTCTTCATTTCATTTTCAGTTTTCCACGATAAAAACAGTGAATGAGGAGGCCTCTTTATTTCATTTTATTCAGTTTTCCACGATAAAAACAATCTCAAAACTTTCCAAGACTAGACTAACATTGAAAACATATTGAACGGTATATATGTAGGGATGAATTAAATGTCCCTGAACTAAATGACCAGAGAGTTTGACAAGCCCGTGAATCGATGCTCTAAGAACGACCAGAGATCGTAGGTTTTATGGTATTTTCAAATTTGAGGTAATGGCATTGGTTACTTAAGATATGTAAATGGTGAAGGACTCAAAGTAAGGTATAAGGCATTAAAAAGTGGTATAATGGTCTAGTTGTTGTCACTAAGTAGGTTTAAAAAAATCATCATCATCAATCATTTCAAAATTGAGCAACATTAAAGTTGGCTCATGTAATATGATATGATTTTGAAAGTTTTATATTATAGAAACGAAAGCGCACTGACATGAGAGTGAGAGTATATTCCTTCAAATGGCCAGAATGAATCATGTATACAGCACCTAATGAAAGTGATGAATTGAATATTCCCGTTTTTGAAGAAATACCGTTCACAAGCAACAAGAAATATATGACATTGGAAGGCATAGAGAGTGAGGGTTAAATGCTAATTGGAGTGCTTAGTATCAGCAATAGTGTCAGCATCAGCATTTCCCTGATTACAGGGAATTAATAAAAATAGAAGAAAGAACACCAATGTTAAATTATAAATTACAATAGTTTTTCATTCTGCTTTTAAGAAAATTACAAGCAGGACATTCATGAGAAAACATGCAAATTTTAGTGAACCATGCATGTTTATTCATACATGCGCGCAAGAAAGAAGTTGTAAACGGAAATAAAGGGTGACCGTACATTTGAACCCATGCGTATATCCACGGGTTCAATCTATATGCGGGTGCTAAAACCCATGGGTTAGGGTTAGTATGGGTTTAACTATCCGTGAAACAAAAAAAATTCCATAGGTGCAATAGCATACATGTGCAATTGTCATGGGTTCAAATGTACGTGGGTTCAAATGTAATGGAACCGAAATAATAAGATGAAATTTGAGATAACATGAAGCACATAATTTGAGATGACATGATGCTATAAAGATATCGGGTATAAATGCAAAATGGGAAATCCTACATCATTTACAGTAAGGTTCAAAATGTGAACACAAAAATTGGGACCAACCAAAAAAAATTATTACATTATTAAGAAATTAATTCACAATATTTTATAATAATGAAAGCATATAACACCAGTATATCATATTGATTCGAAATGTTGTCACACAATTACATGTGTTTCCATGCATAGTTTGGCATATTAAAACATGAACTTAACCAAAGGACTTAGTAAATGCTAGGACATTATCTGGGGGAAGACATATTTTCACTGCAAGATTTCAAGATTACACACTGAAAACTATTGCTACAGAAAGTAATCAGGAAGTTCATTATAGAATATATATAACAGCATATGCACCCACCCACATAAATAACAAGTTTATCTTATAACAAGAACAAAATAACACAGTATGGAGTAGTAGCAGAGAAATTGTTATTTTAGGATTGCAGACAATGCATTAGTACAAAGTGGTTATGATTCATGAATGAAAATCAGATCTTATTGATTGACTTCAAAACAAACAAGGACTAGACAAAGTATATAATATCGTGTACACAAATGCTACAGTCCCCATAAATAGTGTTTAATAATTGGCAAAAAATACTGAAAGCAAATTAAAACATAATTCTGTATCTTGGAAAAATGTAATCTCAAACAAATACAATTTAGTATGTTGCACGTTATTAGAAGAAAAAATAAATATTTGGAATTTGTGTACACAAGTTGAAGTCAGTGACATTAATTTGAACAGTAGCACAAATAGAGCTATTATGTTATTAAACGACGCTTCCGTAGTATGTGCACTGAGATGGCGTACAACCTGATAACCCTAACCTGATACACATACTATGTTCAGGCTGTGTGCCATCTTGGTGCACATGCTGGGACGGGATGCACACACGGGAGCACCTATTAAACATATAAAGGTATTCAATCTCAGCGATTGTGTGATCTCAGTGATTTTAGGTAGGGTTAGGAACTGAATTTTATGAGAATGTCTTCAAGACACGAAAATGGAAATCACAAAAGTAAGTGAGATTGCATACTAGTAGCAAGTCGAAATGATAAAATATTTGTGGAAGTAAAGGATCAGACCAGGAGAATGCACTCTTTCAAATGTTTGTGTAAATAAAATGATAACTATAGGGCTGACTATGTGCTATTAGGTGAAATCTATGAAAAAGTTGATCTGTCATAAAAATGTTTAGATTAGCTGGATGGATAACCTTGGATGCAACAATGGGAATACAGTTTGCATAAAAAACAGTAGCAATAAATAAACTATAAAACAAGATTAAAAATGAGAGTGATTTTTATGATTGATCCAAGTTACATTAACAAAAATAGGAAAATTATTTTAATAGAAGCAATTATGGCAAATAAACAACTCTTACTAACATATGGATTAGCAAACATACACTAAAGTTTAATGTTTTATATGCCCTTTACAAATAATAAGTATCTAATTTCTCATTTAACATTTGCCTTATAAGCTAAAATGCTGAATAAATATTAAATATTACTAGATTAGAATGGTTCCTTTATGAAATTTGAACATAATCATATTCCAAGAACTTGTGAAATACTACACGAAGCTATTGTGTTAGAAAGTATCTTCAATACATTTTTGTACCAGGGTAAAGTTAACTATGACAAAATAGGAACCTCTGTCAGCTGAACGATAATTATCACTTTTTAATGAGTTGCCCGAAGCAATGATCAGCAATGATACCAAATCTGAACTGAAACGTAAGTTTCAGCACTTCAAATCCATAAACATTCTCAAGTTTCAGAATATTTGCAAATTGAACCAATACACAGTAGAGTATGTGAGACGGTCATCGGTGTTTTGAAGTACAGAGATAGTTTTGGAGATAAAACTATATCAAGTCCCATGTCACAATTCATTTGTGGGCATGTAGTGGACCTATGGATCGTTTTGTTATTATGTTGTTGTTCTTTGACACATATTGAAAAACTGCTTTTCTTGTTGATTACTGGACGAATTGCTTTGAAATTTTCAATGGTTTAAGATTGATTTGCCTGAAGGCTATTACTTCCATATATTTCCAATATTTCTGCATGGAATTCATTTCTTTTGTGCTATGACCTCATCAAAAATTGCCACCATGTGGCGGTTCATCGTGCGCAGCGAGTCACGAGGTCAGCGAACATTGGTGCTTCTAGTGTTTAGCGAACCGTCAAAGGTAAGCTGGACTACTGCTTCGCTCAGGCTGCGTGTCCATATATTTGAGCATCGCTCTCTTGTTGAAAGTGCAAACTATAAAGTTCTTGATCCCCTTTCTGGCACAAATAGACTCACTTCAGTCATTGCAGCAATATCCCTAAAGACTAGATAACCTTAATCTTCATATCTGAAATTATATCAAAATACTTGACAGAGTTTCAAGTAGTCATTATAGACTTAATGTCATTTACGATAAAATTTTATAATGGAATTGGAAGTTCGGGGCTTTTACTACAGTTAATTAACATGACATGTGTCTCGCTCGGATTAACGATAGGATCTACATATCTATCCCAGGAGAGAGATAATGGACCAGATGGTGGAGGAAGCTGTAACCGACCAGCGGTTATGTGAACCACCCAACTGCGACGAGGATAGGGATGTCCTTATCGTTTCCGTTTTCGTTTCGTTTTCGTTTAGAGCCGTATTCGAATAGTTTTTTCCAATTTCGGTTAATCGTAATTTAACATGTATAAAACTTGCGACGTCGCGCACGATCTTTTTCGGTATTTTTTTTTTCAAAGTACGTTAGTAAGTGAATGAAAGTGCTGAATCGTCCGTCGCGTGAACCATAGTGACCTCTGCTTTCTATCAAGCGTGACGAAACGGGCATGTCTGGGCATGTCCAGACTTGTGCGATTATTGCCGACAATCTGATGTTGATCTCTGTTATGGAAGTGATTAGTTTTCTATTGCGAGTTTATCATAACTGCATAACGCACGGTGGAAGTTTTAAAGGTAAAGATGGGTACGGTAAGGTGTCGTTTGATTGAATAGCAGTGCAGCAATACCGTACCGGTAGCCTAATGGAATCGGAGTTTATCTGTGCCAGTACTGCAGTAGGCTACGGTACTAGTACAGTCATACGGCACTGTGCCGGGCGGCAGCAGAAAGAGAGATTTTGTTGAAATGAATATCGGTAGATCTAGTTTCTTTGATTGTTTATCCAGTCACATAGTAAATATCAGTATAACATAGTCTACAATGGCATTGAGGCGAGGAAGAAAGAGGAGTTCAGATGTTTGGAGTCATTTTTCATTGCCTAAGGAAAGGGAGGATAAACTGATAGTTACATGCATACATTGTAATGAAGAATTGTCTTACTGCAACAGCACAGGAAGTTTAATTAATCACATGAAGGCGAAGCACCCTATTTCGAGGTACTAGTGCTGTAGTTTATGTCAAGTGTAAATCAGATCAACGTTCTGACATTAGCTTAATATAGACCAGGGGTCAGCAAGCTTTTGTTGTTTGCGGGCCAAAATTAAAGGTTGCAAGTCATTGGCGAGCTGCACATATTTAAATAAAGTTAAAAACTGAGGGGATGGCAAATGAATCATGTTTTTTTTACACTGATTTCGGTAACATCTCAAGCATTTTAATATTTTTGGCTTCATTAACCACTTGCACTACTTAGCAACAACTTTTTTTCGTTATGTTGCCATTTGTCTAACTAAAATCAATTCATAGACTCTGAAACAAGTAGTTTTGAGTTACATATAGGTAATAATATAATTTAGTGTCTCAAAATAAATTCTGTTACTGGTACACAGAGGCAATCGTCAATACAGCTTTTCTGCCGGCCAGATTCTATTGGGCCATAGTATAGTTTGCTGACCCCTGGATAAACAGAACAGAAAAACCACAGTTTTCACTCATTTATCACAAAAATACTCTTATAAGTGTTGCACTGGACGCCCTTTCTTGTCACAATGCTGACTAAATATTTCGTGTTTATTTTAGCTTGGGTAGATCAGAAGAACCTTCCACCAGTACGTCTTCTTCACATGGCCAAATGACAATGATTCAATTTGGTCAAAGGCCACTCAACAAACAAAGGGATGCTAAAATCACTTCTTTGTTGGTGAACATGATAGTAGGTGACATGCGGCCTGTAAATATGGTACACGGTACCAATTTTACGAAGTTGATGGGTTATATAGAGCCCAACTACAAAATACCCAGCCGTCAATTTTTTACCCGAGAAATAGAGGCCAGATATGTAAACTGTAAACTCAAACTCATTGACTTTCTCAAATCAGTTGAAAATATGGCTCTGACTATGGATATGTGGTCTAGCCCCAAGATGGAGTCCTACATCGGAATAACATGCCATTTCTGGGCGGGCCGTGACATAAAAAGTTATGTCCTGGCTACCTGCCAGGTTATTGACAGCCACACTGGACAGAACATCGCCTCGTGGATTCGTACTTCCATGGAAGTGTTTGCGATACCCCCCAGTAAAGTTGTTGCAGTTGTAACTGATAATGGGGCCAATGTGATATCGGCTATTAGAGTATTGAAGGAAAAGTATGGGTGGTGTTTGCACCACATACGCTGCGCTGCCCATACTTTGCAACTCTGTATCAAAGACTGCCTTAGTGAGACTTCAATAAAGCGTGCAATAGGTAACTTACGTACTAATTACTTTTTTTGAACGGTGGCCTAATCTGTTAATAGTAATGTCTCTGATTGGCTATTTATTCTGTCATTTTCATCTGTATTCATTCATCAATTCCTTAGGAACATTATGAATTGGTTCACCAATAGCCATATAGACTCTTACCTACTGGATACTGCTCGTCTCTCAGTAGATTTTTAGATTCATTTAATGTTTACTACACTACAATTACATCAATGCGAAACCAAGTTCTGTTGTGTTCAGGAGCTGCGAGGCACTTGGTACAGCACTTCCGTCACTCCCCAAAGGCAATGGACGAAATCAGAAAAAGATATACCGCCAACAGGGAGCCAGATACTCCACCGACCATAGAGTTATCCATGGACTGCACCACGCGCTGGAACTCAACACATGATATGCTGAAAAATCTTTGTAACCATCAATGGGTGATAAGGCAGTATTTACAAACTCTGCCCATATCAAAGGCAGCAACATTGGAGATGAAGGACGAGTACTGGCAAATTTGCCAAAAACTGGTGAAATTGTTGGAAGATTTGAAGGTATTTATAATATTGAAAGAGATTCACTGAGATTTACTCAATTCTGTAACACTAAACAAAATTGACATAGAACTTCAGTGAAATTTACTTGTGCTTTGTAAATTTGACTTATCAGTACTGAAACCTAAATGTAAAGTACTTGCAGTAACACAACCCTAAACCATCCATTTTAATTAATTTCAGACTGCTACTACTGCATTAGAGGGGGAAAAATATGTGACCATATCGTGCCTTATACCCATGGTGCGTGGCCTGCACAAAATCTATAGGCCGACCCAAGATGGAACATTCCAAAACAAATTCAAAGAAGCATTTATCAGTTCTTTAAAAACCAGATTTGACAGCAATGTGGCTCATGATATATATAAACTGGCCACATTTCTGGATCCAAATTACAGATCCAGATTTTTTACAAGATCCGAGATTGCCCAGGTACGAGTTTTGTATTCTTTTGTCAAAAAGACCCATGAATATAGCTTACAAAATTATGAAGTGAAAATAGAGGTCTGGCTTGTTTATGCGGCTACATTTTGTTTAAGTCACTTCTTTGATTTGACGAGTATCGTATAACTCATAAAACCTGCCTTTGCTGATTTATGGATTAACGAAGTTAGGTCGAATAGGTCAAATACCAGGTTGTTCTATCTATTGTTATATTCTATTGTCAGTGCATTTATATTTGCAGATTAAAGTTAAACTTGAAATGGAGGATATGGGCCACGATCAAGCTGGGTCATGTGAAACTGTTACACCAACACCAGTATGTGATGAGCCCAACGCTAAAAGCAGTTTTTCAGACATACTTGAATCTGGGCAGGTTTCTGATGGCAGCGATGATTCTTCTCCCAACAATGAAGATTTGATTTTAGGACAAATAAACTGGTACATCCAGAAGAAAATTGGCGGCAATGCTATTCCTATGGAATGGTGGAGTGAAAATCGCACAGAGGCAGAGTATTTATTTGCTCTCGCAAATAAATATCTTTGCATACCGGCAACCTCCGCGCCAGCAGAGAGGGTGTTTTCAAGTGCCGGCCTCACAATAGGCAAACTTCGAACCAGATTAACCGGAAAACATGTAGAAGCTCTAAATTTTTTACATTGCAACCAGGATTTATTATGAAAATACATTCATGTGTGCACATAAATTTCAAAATGTTTCTGTTTCATGTCTCATTTTGATTGACAAGCAGGACTGGGAAGTCTGAAACTATGGTGCTAGATTATAGCCCAGAGAAATTTTAGTAGCTCCCACTCCCAACCATCTTATTAATTATTTTTTGACTTAAATATTTTTATCATCGCATACAAATAATAATAAAATCTACCTTTTTCGGCTCGTAAATTTCTACTTCAATATAATAATATTGATTAGAATATTAAATTAAATTTATATACAGGGTGTCTCAAAAGTAAGTATACACTTTTTAATTTCAATTTGCGTTTAGGTTCTCGTCATAGATCGTTAATTTTTTTCAAAAAACATAGATTTAGGTATTGTTCATCATCCCACAGAATGACTCGAAAAAATAATGTGCAAAATTGCTGTTAAGGCAAGAAACATAAAAATCAGTAAGGCAAACTCGTCAAACTCAAAGAATTTTAAAATTGATTCAGGGTGTTTTCCTCAGTACGTCCCATCCCACCCTTAATAATCTCTCTGATCTTTGTGCATGAACTACATATCCAATTTCCATAGCTTTACGATGAAAACAGTGTTCGCCGTGTCTGGGCCAAATTCGGTTTGAAACGCGAAAACAACAATTTTGCACCTTAATCTCCATTTCAATCTGAGTTGACAAAAATGGAACAATACCTAAATCTTACTACTACTTATCCATACTATGTTTCCTGAAGAAATGAACGATGTGAACCTGAAAAGCAAATCGAAATTAAAAGTGTATACTACTTACTTTTGAGACGCACTCCCATGAAACTTTATCTGGGCTGATATTCCATGTTTTTTGTCGATCCTAAAAACTATATAGGTAAGGAGTTCTGAGCTTGAGTCTAGTTCCAAGATGAAAAATCAGGTGCTCCTGAAGTATGCGCACCGTATGAACATTATTATGTGCACCAGCTTAGGGTTCAGGTTGTGAGCCATGCACATACTTCAGGAGCTCTAAAAAGGAACTGTGGTCCCTGGAGCTGTAGCCAAAGCCACTGTGATTAAGAATCAGCTTCCCAGCTCTGATTAGAAGCTTGTGATGGCAACAGTATGTTTTCTTTAATTCAGAGAAATAACTTTCTCGGAGAATGCTCCAGTGATTCGCATCAGTTTAGTTTGACAGACTATGTCACATGTTCATTTCACCCACTTATGTTGGGAAATAAAGTTACTGAAACACTTGTGAAGTATTATTTTGGTTCTAGTAATTTAGTTTAAACGATATTCGAAATGTTTTTTCAGAAGCATTCTAGAATAGTTTAGTATTCGGATACGGACATCCCTAGACGAGGAGTCCAGTAATCCTCTCGCACATAACCATGGGGTGACGAGCGTATTCCTAACGATCTCCACATTTAAACCTGCGAACCTACACAGACTGACATAGTGTAATTAATAAGAGGTGCGATGCCAAGCTTATTCCGCTTACAGGCTTAGCACGATGAGCCAAACCACTGCTAATTTGAAGTTAGACAATTCAGCAATTAAATATATCAAATAGTTAGAATGCATATTAACTTTTTGCTTAGGTCTGCGGAGTTCACTCAAACAGTCAAATGGCTTTAGCAGTTTCACTTTTTAGTTTATCGCTTGCTCCACACAATGCTGCAATGTTACTGGTACCAGTCCCAATTTGACATACCGGTACCGTGTTCGTGCCTAGCCTACATCTTGCCACACAATAATTCCACCGCGAAGGCATATCTGGTACGGTACCGTACCGGTACTGTCCTTGTAATTACCACCAAAACAACTGCCAGAGTACCGGTAGCCTAATTTGGACCAGAAGAATGTTAAATCTCTTACCGTATTTTCTGTCTACTGCCATTCTCTACGCTGCCCATGCCGTCAGGGACTGGATTAGCCTTGGCAGATTAATGCTGTAATGGGCCACATACCGGTACCGGTACTCACTACGGTACCGGTAGGTGGTACCTATTACCGTACCGTATCCTGGCATATGCAGATACATTCAGGCTACATGCTAAACTTAAGAACCTTAAAATGTTCGTACGGTACCACTGACACCATGCCCTTCACTTTCTCAAAGTCGCCATCCCTAATCTGCCACCACAATTCGACCGCATTTTGCCATCCCTAATCTGCCACTACACTTCGACCGCATTTTGCCATCCCTAATCTGCCACCACGCTTCGACCGCATTTTGCCATCCCTAATCTGCCACCATTCGACCGCATTTCGCCATCCCTAATCTGCCACGCTTCGACCGCATTTCGCCGTCCCCAATTTGACTTTTCGACCCTATTTTGCCATCCCTAATCTGCCACCTTTCGACCGTATTTTGCCATCCCTATTCTGCCATCCCCTATATGACTTTTATGCTACCACCACTATAGAAGACTGCAAGTTCGCCCTTGGCATTCTCACCCGAGGTCCCGGCCTTTGCCGGCCCTTCCGACAAATTTTCGTCACTTGGATTTCTTTTTCTGGATTCATCCATTAATTATATCCAGCTATCAATCTATTCTAAAGCATCTGAAAAACGAAAAGAGCAATTAGAACTGAGTAACAATAGTACCGTACCCAAATAGAGGAAGCAAATTGCTAGGTTACTTCTTCATGACCTATAACCCGGATCAACGGCTACCACGCCCCCCTTTCCATCCTTATGGCACAAAAGTAAATTATGTATTACTAGGGATGGGACGAGTCCGGCATTACAGGGATTCGACGAATACGAGTAATAGGTTAAAGACTCGAATCGAATCCTCCGAGTCATGACGTTACAATGTGAAAGCAGCAAAACACGTTTTTGACCATGCTACTCGTTGGTCGTAGCTCATATTAAAAATATATTTTTCCTCTTTTTGGCGGCCATAATACAAACGTAAACGTGGAAATTTTTACATGTCAATATGAAAAAAAAAGCTTTCGACTACAATGCTTTCCCATAATTCCAGATATTTCTAGCCGTAAACTTACTATGTCGCGTGCGCAAATGGTAGAGAAATGCCACTCGTTGTCAATGCAATGTGGTACATCTGCTTGCAATTTAGTAGTTCATGTAAACGTTCTAATACTAATGCTTCCCATTGCTAACTTTTTAGAGAAAGGATTGCACGTAATAAACTCGATTTAAAAGAGGTATTGGTGAGATTCCCCATTCGGTTAATCAAGAGCATGTTTCATTTTTACGCGAATCAAAAACTCAAAAATATTGCGCTAACACATATTTTATTGTGTACCACATGCATACCAAAAAGGATAGATAGTTTAAAGGCGATTGGCGCAACATCATTGTCATAAGCGATCAATAGTTTTTAACTTGCGTTATATTATCTGGATATACGTCGTCGTTTTTATTAGGAGTGTTTATATTACACACGGGGAATATTGTTACAGATCTAACCTTAAATTTTAACTAGTTTGGGTATGTAGTGAGATATATAGAGGCTAAAGTACAAATATAGATGTATATTAGTAAAAACAGAATTGATTATAGACTCGGTAAAAATGACGTGGACTCGAAATCGAATCCGAGTCCGAAAAATGCCTGGATTCGACTCGAATCCGAGTCCGGATCTGAATCCCGGCCAATCCCTATGTATTACGCAATTTGGGAGAAGGGTGAAGTCTTTAATAATAATAAAAAAGGATATTTTTAAGAAATGTATTCTAAAAGCAAGGTGACGCACGTAAGAGCGGTGATTGGCGAAAACAAATAACTGACTAATCCCATACCCGACATGGACTGGTAACCGGACGAGAGGCCAAGGTTCGCCATATAGTTCAGCAGTCTTATCAGCTTTCCACTCTACAGGGATAAATATGTATAATTCTATCTTAAAAATGCAAAGAAATACTGAATCAATCCATAATTGCAGCGGTGTATCGGAGACCTTATTAAACAATTCAAACGAATACGATCGGGAAAACAGTTTACGGAAATTTACGGAAATTAATTTCTTTCCCTCACGCTTGACTTCTAAATGACAACCTCCAAGCTGCATTACCACATAACAGCACGTATTACTTTGGCCGTACAGAGACAATTTTGAAGCCAGGTTAGGTGGTTTTACGCCAGGTGCGGAGAAGTTAATCTTTGTTTTCATGGGAAAACCAAAAGTAGTGTTGATAGAATTGCAGAGAGAATTCTTTTATGTATATGTTTTTTTTAGACAGTATATAGATTTACTGAGAGTTCATATTGTAACAGAACCTGTCTCAATTTATTTATCAAGTATTTGCATTGGATGGTAATTGACTCAGATGACCGTATATGGTCGTATCGTTATCACCCAGTCACATACCGAAAACTGCATTATGTGTTGTTTTGTTATTATTCGTTATTGTATCATCATGTTTTCTGGTTTGACGAAAAAAATAAATTTTCTCTCTCCCTCCTGGGGGCACAACGGCGTAATGATAAACCCGTAAAAGTTGACCTAACCACAATTGCTTCTCCGATTATCGTCTTTTCTATTTACCCGCGAAAATGACGAGCAAAATGATAAAAATGAAACAGTCGCTCAGCAGATACTTTTCCAAATAAAATATTTCTAGAATGTAACCGAACCTAATGCGATTTAAAATGCTAAACAAAAGATCTAACCATACGTCTAACTTATGCAAAGTTAAATATCGAATCGCCACCTTAGCCTGGATATTATATGTGTATTTGAGAATTTGGATGAGTTCGTGATTACTCCTGGAGAGTCATTACTAGACATTTTCATTAATTTTATGACATAACAAACGAACAACTGGTTACCTGCTGTCAACGTGACTACTGTAACTGTTTATTCACTTTGCATATTGCCATGCCCGACATGTAGGCTACTGACGATTGGACAAAAGAATGTTGTTCGCCATTTAATTAAACAGTCTTGTCTCATTCCCTCTCCTATGAAACACATAACGTAATCTACCATGGGTAATAAAATCTGCGATCTCTACAGTTCACGATACTAAAATAGTAATTTATGTCGGAGGGCAGTATCGCAGAGCTTAGGTTTAGTCCGATTGGGGCGAATCAGACTACTACAGTACTGTGTCTCGAAACATAGCTAATTTTAATAACAACAAAATCTCTTCTGTCATTTCTAACTACATATACCAGTGCGAGACAATTACTTCAACAACTATACGTTTCGAACCAACCACCGTTGCCTGAAAATAAAACCAGATGTGCTTTTACTTACAATCAATTTCGAAAAAGTTTCAAGTAGTTCATAGACGAGGTTGTTACCAAATTTGTGGATGCGAACGGTAAATGTATGGGTATAAATTGAGCTGATAATGAACCTTCGACAATATTAGCAATTTCACGTTTCGTATATAAAAATCTCGCGAATTTGTTCTGGATTCAATATCATCGGAAAACATGAAATTTTGGAAACTCTGCAATATATTTTGCTACCAGACTGTAAAATGACCTAATTGCTTACTCGGTCGAACAAAATTTTAAAAGTTTTTACATATTTTCATGACCATGCGGCAACCAGAAATACTAAACGAATGTCTAATGCAGGGGTGGCCAATCTATGGCGCATGCGCCAAACGTGGCGCATTGCATGATTAGAGGTGGCGCATTGCATCTTTAATCCTTTTCATGCCAAAATTGTTAATTGCACTTGGCTTCACCACGCCAAGCCGTTTTTTGCGATTTACATGGTGACTTTTGATTGTACCTAAAATCTATTCTCCTAACTCCATGTCGCCCACTTACGGCATGTTGGAATTAGAAACAACAGGCGATTTTCGACGTTAGCTTTTGGACGGACTTTATGACATTCATTCTAGACTTTTAGCAAAAATTAGTAAAATTTACTATTTTTTCCCTACTGAAGTAAAAAGTTCAGAACTTCTGGAAAAATAGAAATTCGTCATTTATCAGCTTGAAAACCGCCCAGACTTCCCAAATATCTCCCAATAACCATTGAACAACCAGTTGAATTGCCCAAGCCTAAAAAATTTATTATAAATCAACCCACAACATGCTGAAAATGACCCCTAAATACCACCTTTTTCAACCAAACTTCAAATGACCGTTGTCAACAAAAGCGAACCGTAAAATCGCTTGCTGTGACGCAAGTACTAATCTCGAAGAAGCCTGAAGTAAAATCACGCGACGCTAGGCCAAACAGCTGATTAGCAGAGGCCAATTAGAATCGAGGGTAGAGTAGAGTAGATATTGATACTAAAGGCCTGTTGTCACAATATTACCCCTAACTTTACTTCTTAATCGATGCAAAGCAATATACAATTGGGACTAATTGACTTGAAAACTCATCCATCATTGAAAATTGAATTTGATGAGCTTTCTTCAGTCCCAAGTGCATCTGACATGATCAAGTTCTGGCAATCGTTACCCCGTGAAAATTTTCCAGATCTGAGAAAATTTGCCCAGGGTTTTATATGTCGTTTCGGAACGACATATAGATGTGAACAAACATTTTCTGCCATGAAACTAATTAAAAGCAAAGCGAGGTCAAGACTTACAGATTTAAATTTGAAGAATGCACTGCTTCTCTCAGTAACAAACTTAACTCCAAGAATAAAAAAACTGGCGAAAGTAAAACAGCGGCAAAAGTCTCATGAAGGGCGTACCTAAATAAAATTGATCAGTTTTATTTATTATACTTCCTTGCTTAATTTCTATTCATGTGAAGTTGTAAATTGTAAAAACTACATATACGTTTGTATATATGTGTGTGAATTATAAATTTATATAATTTCAACAAGAAGCGGACATTAGGCGTGGGAATACAAGAGATTTACGGCGCATCTGAAACATTATATTTAAAACGTGGCGCATGGTATGTGAAAGGTTGGCCACCCCTGGTCTAATGCATCTTAATGCCATTTTTTCCACCTTTATGGACATTTAAAACATTGTCTTATTCTTTGTTTTCCCGGTCACTAGTGATCGTCTACTCACCGACCCATGGGTCTGTCATTTAAGTAGGGATAGGATAGGATTTACATATTTATCCCGGGGGAGAGGAAAGCCGATAAGACGGCTTATCCATATGGCGAACCACGGCCTCCCGTCCGGTTACCATTCCAAGTCGGGTATGGGATTAGTTATATTGTTTGTTTTCGGAAGCATGGACTTGGTGGTGGAGGAAGCTGTAACCGACCAGCGGTTACGTGAACCACCAGCAATCCTCTCGCACATAACCATCCCTGCATGGGATTCGAACCCACGCAGAATAATTAGAGGTGCGGTGGCGAGCGTGTTCCTAACGCTTAGCCCGTTGAGCCACACCGCCGCGCCAAGTAGTCGCCTCATGCTTAATATGGAGTCAAAATCAACCCTTTTTCTGGGAAATCGTACACAAGCGAAGATTGTAGTGGATTTCTCAAG